GGAAAGACGGACAAGGGAAAGCGGCAGAAAACTCCGTTCTTTCTTTGGACCTCATCGTGTCATCTATCGTCGCAGGTGGCGTGCTGTGCGGCGAAGAGGCGTTAAGAAGCGACGCCGGGTAGTGGTGCGAGAGTTCAACTTCAAAAATTGTTTTCTCGCTTTAAACAAAAATTACTCTGATTAAACTTTCAGAATCAAAAGACAATCGATTTTTCTTCCAAACCCATCATATGTTGTATTTTTACTTGGACCACCTCAGGGTGAAATAAACGGCTGTTTATGCGTCAAAACGCACTTTTTGCAACTTCAGGATTTTTTTTTTTTTTACTTTAAGATATTTTATTGAGCGGTTTTAAACATTTTTTTTATAGATTATATACCTACAGGGGGCAGCCGGTAAAAAGTAGTTATAATTCCCGGGAGTAAATACATATTTGTTTAATAAAATAACAAAAACGTTAAAATATAAAGAAAAGGTGTTTTTTTAATATTTAGTCTAAACAAAACTGGACAAGCCCAACCGCATTGTTAGTCGAAATTCGTGCAAATTTAATAAAAATAGTTTGTTGATGTTTCATGAAAAAGCAGATTTTTCATTAATTATTGAATGATGCCTAGTTTCACGCTGTTTAAAAAAAAAGAATTAAAACCGCGCTCACGCCATCAAAATTTTTTTCGTCAAAATATTTCACGGCATCACTGCAAACATTGCGGCAAAAGGCCATGATTTTTTTTTTTTTTTAATTGGAGTTGGTCGAGCGCAACGTCTGGCACCTTTGACCATCGAATGAAGCCAAATACAAAATGTTCCCACAAAAAAGAAAATTGTCTTGAAAAATAAGTTTCACATTTCCGAATGCTCAGTATCTGCGCAAAACGTATCACTAGTGGTGCGGACCAGATGCCAAGGCTTCAGAGCTTGCAGTTTTTTTATCTTAAAAACTAGACACGAATTTCGAAAATTTTCAATGGGAAAATGGCGGCCGACGAAGCCCACGAATGCGTGGAGGTGAATGGTGTAGGCTAGCGGGAAAAGGTTCCATTTTTTCATCAAAAAGCTCAAAAAATCAGTTGTATTCTTTTTTTTTTGGCGGGGCACGTTGTTTAACAGTTGGGCAAAACAAGCCCTCAGCCTGTGACGTGCACTCGTCGTTCAGGAACGCGATCGTTGCGGAAACGTCCCGTCTTCGCCACGCGGACCCGCACGTCTAAGGAATGGAGTAGACTCAGTAAATGAAAGATCGTGTTACTGTTGATTTTTCTTTTGTTATTCGGTTGGTGGGGTGGGGGATTGATGGAATTGGCCAATTTGCATATGGAGCGAAGTTTGAAGCTGCGTGTTTTAGTAGATCGATATATCCCAGCTCAATTCAGCACTTCATGGTTGTGTCAATCGTTCTAATCGCACCATGTATTCTGGTGAACCGAGAAAAAGACCACGGATGTCCATTATTGGGCGTAGGTGAGCGTGGGTGAGAAATGTGGCTAAAGCTGGGTGACATTCCTCACCCACCACCACATTTACAATGGAGTTATGAAACAATTCATGCGCCGTAAAACGGGGGCGAAAGGAGACAGACACACAGAAAACGCCTATTGTTTTAAGAACGTTTTTAAACCGTGGTTAAAAGCGCTACAAAGACGAGCACAAGAGGGAAGAGTAACACTGGAGCTACTCACGACTGTATTTGAATAAAAAGAAGATAGAAGAACATTCTCGAGTGCAGTTTGTTGAAACCGGTGGTCGTACATCAAGTTTTGCTCCAGTGCTTTCTGGGGTGCCTCAGAGAAGTGTTTTGGGTCCGCTGTTATTTCTAATCTTTATAAATGACCTCCACAATGTAATTAACGTGCCAATACGATTGTTCGCAGATGACTGCGTGATATGTAATGAAATAAGAACACCCGATGATCAGGCCGAATTAAATAGAAATCTACAAAATATTAACAAATGGTGTCAAGATTGGCAAATGGTTTTAAATCCAGGAAAATCAGTCTTTATGAGAGTTACCAGGAAAAAACAATTTCTGAGGTACGACTACTGTATCAACGAGCATGAACTCGCAAGGGTAACTGAGCACAAGTACTTAGGCTTAACATTCACTTCAGATTTACGTTGGAATGCTTATATAGACATAGTGTCTACAAAAGCCAATAGATCGCTATGGTACCTAAGAAGAAACTTGTCGTATGCCTCACCGGAAGTGAAAAACCTCGCCTATAAAACCCTTGTCAGGCCAGTCATAGAGTACGCCAAAATAGCATGGGATCCACATACTGTCATTAATGTATTTAAATTAGAAAAAGTTCAGCGCTTAGCTGCTAGGTTCATTTATAACAAATACCGGCGCGATCATTCTCCTACTGAGCTCTGTCAAATGGCTAACCTTCCAACCCTCGAGTCTAGGACGCATTTTGAGAGATTAAAATGTATTTTCTTAGTTATTAATGAATATGTAAAGATAAACAAAGATAATTATTTCCAAGTTCTTAAAGACGAAAAATCAAGGCACCGGCATAGTCTATACATAAGAGAATATTCTGTGAAAAACGATTCCATTAAATTTAGTTTTTTCCCAAGAGCCGTCAGGGAATGGAATAAACTGTCGAATGAAACGGTGACATCATCATCCATTACGACCTTCCTTCACTGCATTGAAAACGTTTTGATATGTGCGAGTAACTGAATGAGTATCGTGTGTATCGTCTTGATTACGTGCCAGCACGGGAAGTTATCTATGAAGTGTCGGCATTTTTTATGAGACCAAGCGAAATGCGAGAACTGTGTGTATTTACATCTTGTATCTTTTTGCTTTTTATCGTTTGTACCTTCCACTCCTGTAATGGCCCTGTGATAGGGCTAACAGTATAAATAAATAAATAAATAAATAAATACTTATGTATGTCGGTCTTCTCTTTTGTGTTCGTCTTTTTGGCGCTTTTAAAGAGGCACTGACACCTCAAGGGTCGTATTTTTTTTTTTCGTTGTCTAAAACGATGCAGGCTGTAGCCATAGACCCGAAAAAAAAAAGAAAAAAAAAGAGGAAACGCATCGCGAAAAAAAGTTTTTCACGCGCGCGCGCGCCTTTTTATTATTGGCGCCCTCCTCTGCCGCTCCTCGCTTCTTTTGATTCGTGACGTCAAAAATCGTGAAATTTAAAAGCTTTATAGGCGACATTTCTATAACGTTTACTAACGGCAATTGTAAAACATGTTTTTTAACGCAATTGCGAACGCACTACGGCCCTTTTTTTTTTTTTTTTTTTTTTTGAAATACCAAAAATCGGAGTCCGTTGAGGTGCCGCCTCCTGGATTTGTATCCTCCCTCGGAAAACAGGCGGCACTGCTCAAAACCGTTTTTTTTTTTTTTTTCGGTCCACCGGCGCTCGCTCCTTTCCTCCTCGCTTTAGGTCGCGATGGCAACAGCACGGAGTCGTGAACGAAAGTGGACTCTCACGACTCCGCAATATAATTTGACGTCAACGCACCGGCGCGGATCGCGCGGGAACATCGAATTCGGCATTTGGAAATTGTTTTTTTTTACTTCACAAATACTGAATTTCCAAGTTTCGAATTTTGAGGGTGATGTCTTAGAATCGTTTTCACTCGTTTCGGATGAAAAAATGATTTTGATGTGTCAGTGCCCCTTTAACCATGGTTCAAAACGTCATCACCAACTATACCCAACAACCAGTACTTTCACATGTTTTAAGAATCATGTATACCAACTAGCCCATTTTTCCATTTTAATGAAGAAAGATGGCAAGTCTCTGGAAGGCCGTCGTCATAATTTAAGAGCCTCTCTAGTCTAAAGATAGCGAGCGCAGGTATTCACGCCTCGCGCAATTTTAAGGTGCCTTCAATTACGCTGCCAAATTATCAAAGATAAAGAAACGAAGATTTCATCGGGACATCACTTTGAGAAGCTCAGATTTTGATACACAGATTTTCGTTTCGTCACGAAACCTCTGACGTAACAGGATACCAGAGCCACTAATCGTGACGTCACGCCCTTTTCGTTTTCCTTCCTGCAACATCGAGCCTCAGAAGCTTATTCCTGTCAAGAGGTGTGAAAGAGGCAATGTTTAGATGTTAAAGGGATGCTGAACCGAAAATCGAATTTCAGGAAACAACGCAGAATCGATAGGCGGGACGCTATAAATCCCAAGACGTCACTCATAAAGCGGTATCTCTAATGGATCATCGTATTTTTGTAAAAGAAGAGCGCGGTCGCACAAGGCCGAAAAGACGCGTGACCTCGCGATTCTCATTTCCTCCACTTTTCGCTTTGACTCCGCGAGGGCGCGGAGAGGGAAGGGGGAGCGAGGCCATTTCTCCTTCTGCTCAACTCTTCTGCGATAAGATGACGTCAACATTCCCCCTCATTCATTTTCCAGAAATACGGCCATCCGCTCGAGATATGGCTGTAGGAGTGATGTTTCGTGGTTAATGGAGCCCCGTTGAACACTTCTGCAAGCTTATCTTGTGAAATTCGAATTTCGGTTCAGCCTCTCTTTAAGGAGGGCGGAGAGGGGAGTGCCCTAAGAAGACGGCATCCTGATCCCGTTACGCCACGGCTTGTTTATCGAGGGAGTTGCAATACGGGACAAGCGTTTTATATGCTTTATTCCTCAAATCGTGAGCTGAAATTTCGTGAACGCTTCCACGAGGAGGTCCTGGTGCCTGCCACTAGGTTTTTATGCGAAACTAACTACTTCCCTTTTAGGCTGGACAGGCCCTTTTAACTCATTTGGTCGTCGGAATCAGGCGATGCCATGGTGACGCCTCTCATGACAAAGCAAGATTCGCGAGTTGGTAAAACCTTGCACTGTGTCTTTAAGTTCAATACGGGGCAGAGTCGGTCTGAACTTACCCTCTCTTCTCAAGAGAAACGGAAGAAAAATACACGCGAATATTCTTTTGCTTCAGTTTGAAGCGGTTCACAGAAAACACGGGACGTCGCATGATAAGTTTTCCCGCCTTTTCTGCATTGTTGCCAGGCTCTGACTCGGTTGTGGCCGTCGTCGGCGGAACCAGCAGCGGAGGCGGAGCCCGGGGAGCGGCGGCTGCCGGCATGGCGGCCTGTTCGTGCGGTCTTCCCCCGGCCAGAGGCCTGTACAGCCCCGAGCAGGAGAGGGAGGCCTGCGGGGTGGGCTTCATCGTCAGCATCGAGGGGACGCCCTCGCACAAGGTAGGCGTCTCTGAATTAACAGCTTCCCCTTCAGTGTTGCAATGCGCGTCTTAAACACATCGTCCTCACTGTTTCACCGCAGTGCTGCGGCGTTTGCGGCAGAGCACCCTTTACAGACCTGATTGCGGCGCAAACGGGCGCGCGCCACCGACATTGCCGCAACGTTGTTTCCAGCTTAGTTGCTTGTCTACATCCACAAATCCTACCGTTGGTTTCTTGACTCACATTGTAAACATAATTTTTTTTTTTTTGGGGGGGGGGGGGGGGGGGGGAGGAAGAGGAGGGGGAGGGGGGTTATAGTTAATGGGGTAGAAATACGTCAGAGCAGTAGCCGGTCTAAAAATCCTTTCATCGTTGTTCGTAGTCTAAATCCCACGCGGCAAGTGTGCGGAGTCCTCCGTTTATTGCTGAAACTACGTGAAGTTACTTCTTTCGAAAGACGTAGTCACGCTACGCCAATGTGGGGTGCCGCTTCATCGGCGCCGTGCACCTCCAAGTTCGCTGCGTGTGGCTCGCTCGAGGCTTCCATTTGAAGAGGCTGCGATTATATTCGTATTGTTAGTACGTGTGCTTTTGTATTCGGCGTGAGGTGTAGACCCCGCGGACGATATGAGCTGAAACACTCGATCCGGCATTTTTCCCCGTCTGCGGCTCCCCGAAGCTCTATTATCTTTCGATTTGTCAAGTAGCCCGAACAGTGGGACCTCAAACTCGCGTTCCATTCCTAGTTCCTACCACAGCTCTCTCAAAAATTGGCAAACGCAATTACGCTATACAGTCGAATATCGTTAATTCAAACTCTCTTAATTAGAACTTGCGCATAATTCAAAGTAACTTGCAGGTCCCATCCTATGTGCCTCGATGGGGGAATACTCCCGATAATTCAAAATTTGCTTTATTCAAACAAATTTTCGGTCCCCTTTGAGTTTGATTTAACGAGATTTGACTATATATATATATATATATATAATATTCGGGATTGTTTTAGGTCATTTTGTCCTCCATGATATGGTGTGCGTACTACATACTTTCGCGACGTTTATTGTTAATATCCCTTGTCACTTGCACAGTGCACTGCATCAATTTTTTTCTAGATTTACGGCTCCCAAGACTAAGCACTGACGTTAAGTTATACACTTACAAGCTGTTAAAAAATATGCTGTTACAATGCCTTATCATTATGCCTTATTTTGTACTTTGCCTTAAACTGCAATTTGCGTTTGCGTTCGACTACACGGCAATGCGGCCGTCGTTGCAAAGTGTGATGCTCAATGGCCGAATGGAAACGCAAAGTGCGGTCCACAGCATAACAAGCCTGCCACAATGCTGAGCCGTCCCGTAGTTCGCTTTTTCTGATGTTCGTGCGAAGAGTCAGCGGTCAGCGCGACATATACACGTGCGCAAATGTCTGCAAAATTTTGGCCAAATCTTTGAAGAATTTTCCTGCGAAAGTTTGGCACGTACCGAATCTGGACTTCTGCCTATTGGGCTGTCTTCCCGCCCTAGGGTATATTCTCTATTTCCGCCGACTAAAGGTGTGGGTTTCGTGAATAGTGTTTACGCAATATTTACAGTTTTGTCCCATTTGTTTGTGTCAATATATTCTTATTTTTTTTAATTGTAGGTGAGTGGCAAGACATTTGATCCTCGCCTAAATTAAGCGTTTGGCAGTCTATCGGAGGTGTGAGGATGGGCCTGCATGCCCATTCTTAGGCGAGAGTGCGTGGTATTAAATGCTTATAGGGGTCTAATATACTCCTTTTCATTATCAAATGAAAATCGGGCGGTTTCTCAGCATTTATTTGCATTTCCCTCTGGCTGTGGCGGCGGTTGTGCCGATCCAAGTTTTATAAATCTACTCCTTTTTTTTTTTTTTTTGTTATTTTGAGTCCGAGCTTTAAAACAAAACAAAACCAAATTGATTTGGCATCCTTTTTTTTTTTTTTTGGCCTTCGGATGAATAAAATGAAGCATCATTTAGCTATTTGTGCGTCTTCGTTCATTCCTTTTTACGACGCCGTTGATTAACAGGATGAACTGCAACAGCACAAGCTACCTATCAAGGTATGAAGATAAATTGCAACAGCACGTGCTTGATTAGCAAGCTCGTGCAATTGTCTTGCCTGCGAGAATCGGGTAGCAAAAGCAGAAGGCCATGGTGGAAGTACCTCCTTTTGAAACTACTTAATGTTGCCGCTACGCGGCATCCATTTCGCTGTGTCAAGGAAAGGTACCGCGTAACAGAGATTTCCGTTGCACTTTAAAAGGCTCTCGGGTGGTAGGATTTTATCCGAATCCTCATCTGAGGCATGCCAATGCTTTTAGGTATGAATTGATCCTCAGTCCTCGTCTGGGGCACACTGATGACCTTAGATAGTGTGGCATGTAAACCTGTAAATCACAAAAATTATCTTTTTGACATGACATGGTACCTTGTCCTTAAACTTAGCAGCACGCGGTTTTTCTTAATTCTCCTTGCATCCTCGAACGAAGTCAGCTGGGAGTACTCACAATTACCACAGTGCTTCGCTGGAAGCGCTGGCGTTTTCTGAAGCGTTTATTGTTTCCCGCAGCTCATCCAAGATGCGGAGACCATGTCCCGTCGCATGGAGCACCGCGGAGCCTGTGCCTGCGACAACAACACCGGAGACGGAGCTGGAGTCATGATGTCCATTCCAGACAACTTCTATCGCAAGAAGCTCAAGTGAGTTCCTGGACGCCGTGCCGCCGTTGTTCACTTATTCATTTATGTTGTATAGGTAGTGAAGGTATGAAAATGTCCTTGATAGAAGAAAATGTAAGTAATCTTAATGGTAAATTTGAATTAAAAAACAAAACAAAACAGAAGTTTGGAGAAATGGTCTCGCTATATTTCCGTTACTGCATATTAAGAAGCCAAATTTTCCGTATACACAATTGAAGATCCTACTCTGTGGTTAATTTACTTATAAAGGCAAACATGTTTCGAATGCCAAAACAGGTGTAAACAAGTGGACAAGGCATGGCCTATAGGAGTGAAGGGAGCACTGATAGAGCTCGAATTTATTCTCATTCCCACGGTAGTATGCAATGGAAAATTTAATATTTTTAATTGACTCAGTATTTTCGTAATGGGAAAAATAAGAATTCGGTTTTTAAAGCAGAACATTTATATTGTGTAACAGTAATTGAACAATTATCCACAGTGAAATATAGAAAGCTTATAAGCATATTGTCACGAATGAAGGTGGCGAAAAGCCGAACAGTGAACTGAAAATAAAGATTTAATGGGCGAACTTGTGCCAACCAAAAATAAGTAACGAAAGAGCGTCGGGGCAGCAGAAAAGCGGGCGGCGATTCGGCGGCACTACAGAGCGCTAGCGAGACTGGGACTGACTCGACAAGGTCGCGGGCAGCTGCTTATCTACCCTGCGTCACTATCTCGAAAGTTCGGCAAAGAAGGTTCGAGCGTCGCGCGCTCGGGGCGAGGATGAACTGGCACTTTCAAGAATAACAAAGCAGAGGGAAAGTTACGTCTGCTGCGAGAATGACCGGGAATCTTCTAGAAGACCGTGACCAAGCGTTGCCTTCTCGGCTCTGCGGGCAGCAATATAATACTTGAAGCAAATGGAGCACATCGATAATGTTTGTTTTAGTGCTCTTATGGACCTACGGAGTGTTCCACATGAGTCCCCAAGAGGCGAAAATGCGAGTGAAACTTGCAGTTTGCAGAGCTTGGATTAAGTCTTGTCTAGACTTGACTTCGTGCCACGCCACGCATACAGACCTTCGCATCGCTTATCACACGGGCAAAAAAAAGTCACACAGCAGATCAACAGCGCATGCTCAGAAGGCGTTCCACAGCCCAGCAGACAAAGAGGCAATCTTTACAAAGGTCTATACAGACACTTTTAAAATTTTATCTAAACTTGCAAGACAAGAAAAAAGAGTAAGTTTTGCGCATTGTTCATACCGAAGTAGATCTGACAAGATTATGTTGTCGGAGGAACAAATGACGCTTTTGGAGTTTGAAAACTGTATGTCTTGATCCCTGACATATTTAATCTGAAGTGTACCTACATATATCTCAATTCTCAACACAAAAGGGGATATTAGTAGATCTCTGCGAGGAGCTGGATTTCTTTTACTACTGTTCTTGAGCTGAAAACGAGTAAGATTCATATGCATCTGACCTAAAAGAACTCGTAGCGTGACTCAAATGATTAGTTCGCTAGGCGCTCAGAAAAGAGCTTGAAATGCACTTGTAACGGTACCATAATACAGGTTGCTTTACTTTAATTCAAAGAGATATTTTTTAAAAAGGTTGAAAGTTATATGAGTGCCGTCTCTACCATGTATCTGTCGCGCCTGGCGGACATTAAATGAGGGAATAATCGTCATGGTAAGTTGGCTGATTAACTAAAACTTGTTGATTAACTTTTTAATTATTAATCTTAGGGGTCATCATACAACCCCAGGGAAAAATCTTATATGTGTAAGACATTTTTGGTCCAGTAAGTTCGTATGCTTAGATAAGATCATATAAAAACCTTATGAGGACATATAAGAACACTATAAGATTATATAAGAAGTAATTAGAAACATGATCAGTTTCTTGCAACTTCTTATCTACTCTTGTGTGGTTCCTATATGATCTTATTTGGTCAGACACGTTCATTGTAGCAAGAAATTTCTCAAATACAATTTTTCACTAGGGAATTGCGGTATTGACGGTAATTACTATTGGAGGCCAGATAAATAAAAAAAAAGATGTAATACTTTTTTAAATGTTAATCTATCAAATTGCGCATTTTCTGGTACGATTTAAAAATGAAGAGCAAAGAAAGTGCCCCAAGCCCCGCCCACAATGACGCTTAGAAGATTAAAGTGTAGTGGTTTCAGTCGCGTGGTCATTTGTGTCGTCGGTGCATCCACCAAGGACACATTGCCAAGATAGTGACGACGGGATTGAAACGACTGCCACATCACTCTTCTAAGCGTCACTGCAAAGGGCGATTCACACACTTCCATCCAGTCTCACACCGAGTTCGGAGGTTGCTATGGCAACAGAGCTTCGCCCCAATCTACATCATTCACCACGTGGAGATGCGTCCATTTTGTGTGTCTGTGTGCCACATGAAACTTTTCAGCTCTTCTGTAGTCAGCATCCAGTTTTGTTAATTGCTATGATAACAGAATACACTATCAGGTAAAGAAAAGGCTTATAGTTACATGCACTGGCTATTAATTAGTTGAAATAGATCCTTCGACTGATCTCTTTGAAGCTCGCGGCAAGTGATGTTTCAAGGCGAGAGGTTCACCAAGGGTGATCAAGATGTGGAACATAGCAGTTGCCTTTTCGAAAGAAACAAAATAAATGAGTATGTTCCGTGGAATTGAAATTAAGGCTGAACTGTAATTAAAGTTGAATCGAAGTCTATCATCAATTATTTATGTCTTTCATATTTTCTTCTGATCAATTTGACAATTGAGAATGCTAGAAAACACAATAACAGCTTGGTAATAAAAAAATTGAATTCCTTTTATTCAAGCTACCGTGGAAAAAATAACCAGCAAATAATATTTTATCGTCTAGTCACACACTTATACCTTGCATCCTTCAGACAAGATTCACTTCTGATGCCAGTTGCTCAGTTACTTACAGTGGATTGGAGCACTCCACCAAATCCCAGTACTACATTAAGTCACTTTTATATATCTAGTGAAAATTGCTACATTGTTGTACTTGGCTTTTATTGTTCCTAAGGAGCATGGCTTCTAGCATTTCCTGAACTTGCAAGTATAAAGAGCTGGCACTATGAGTTACCTGTTTCTTGCTGAGGTCAGCTAATCCTGGCCACTGCACACCATTGTCTCCCAGCAGTTCATGGGTCAAACTCATAAGGAAAGAATGACACTCCTAGGATGCTGTGAAAGTGCTAGTTCTTTGTTTTCTCTTTTTTATCTCCTAGTCCCAGCAGGTATTGTCCTTCTAACATATCTAGAACACTGAAGTCTGTAGGCAAAGAGACTACTAACAATGAAAATTGGTATTAATAATTTTTGATAAAATGTACCTCGTAGTATCAAGAGATTTACCCCACTTGTCCTTTTGTCAATATATGGTAGTTTCCTCTTCCTCCATTCTTGAGTGTCCTGAAAGCTACAGTGTGATGCTACATTTATATCTATTTGTGTACACCCACATTTTCAATTGGATTTCACTCCCCTTACATTGTATGTTGTGATATGTAATGGGAGCAACAATTCAAATTGATTTCAAACAAAAGTTAGGGTTGGTGTTTTAGGTTTTGACTTACCAAACGTTTTGCTATGCTTAAAAGAAGCACCGACTGCTACTTTTTTTTTATTTTTTTTTTAACTTGTTGCAGGGAGGAGTTGAATGTGACCCTGCCTCCCCATGGCGAATATGCCACTGGAATCATCTACATGGAGAAAATGACCGCACCTCAAGCTGAGAAGGAGTTTGAGGAGGAAGCCACCTCCAACGGACTCAAGGTAAGCACTTACAAGTGACTCTACATATGTTTGGTATAATTTCCAAAGTAACGCACATACAAGTGACTCTACATGTTTGGTATAATTTCCAAATTAACGCACATACAAGTGACTCTACATGTTTGGTATAATTTCCGAAGTAACGCACATACAAGTGACTCTACATATGTTTAGTATAATTTCCAAATTAACGCACATACAAGTGACTCTACATGTTTGGTATAATTTCCAAAGTAACGCACATACAAGTGACTACATATGTTTAGTATAATTTCCAAATTAATGCACATACAAGTGACTCTACATGTTTGGTATAATTTCCAAAGTAACGCACATACAAGTGACTCTACATATGATTAGTATAATTTCCAAATTAACGCACATACAAGTGACTCTACATGTTTGGTATAATTTCCAAATTAACGCACATACAAGTGACTCTACATGTTTGGTATAATTTCCAAAGTAACGCACATACAAGTGACTCTACATATGTTTAGTATAATTTCCAAATTAATGCACATACAAGTGACTCTACATGTTTGGTATAATTTCCAAAGTAACGCACATACAAGTGACTCTACATATGTTTAGTATAATTTCCAAATTAACGCACATACAAGTGACTCTACATGTTTGGTATAATTTCCAAAGTAACGCACATACAAGTGACTCTACATATGTTTAGTATAATTTCCAAATTAACGCACATACAAGTGACTCTACATGTTTGGTATAATTTCCAAATTAACGCACATACAAGTGACTCTACATGTTTGGTATAATTTCCAAAGTAGCATGGAGTGAATCATAGTGTGATGAATGGAAGGGGAAAGAACAAGCAATCAAATATGTGACACAAATGAGCTGGCTTAAGATAAATGTTTAGTTTTCAATTTTTTTTTCTTTTCTTATGATAGAGATTTTTTATTTATGGAATTTGTCTCTCTTAAAAAATACAAATTCAAATGGTGTCGATCACTTTTACAATCATTTGTTCCTTAGTCTACAAAGATATTTTTATATATATAAAAAAGCGCCAATAGCCTAGAAGGCTCAATCCGTTGGCATTTACATCACTTCTATAGTGTGTGACATAGTTTGCTAAAATACAGCATTCACACTTTGTCATGTTCGACTCATAGAATATTAGTGTTCCAATTTTAGCACAGTGAGAGAACTGACTAATAAAAAAAATTAGTTGTGACGTCATGTGCTTTCATGCGGGTAAGCTTGCATGCTTTCTCATATATACAGTATAGACCACTCACAATGTAACCGCTTATAGTGCAGGACCGGGTATAACGCGGCTTTTTTAACCCACCGGTTCGCCTCCCATAGAACTCCATGTAATTACATACCGCTTAAAATGCAGGCGCGCGAAGGGAAATACCGGTTATAGTGCGGTTTCTGGAGCAGCCCGCCGACCGCGCCGATTGACCGGCGCAGCGAGCACGCTTCCCTGTGCGACACCAGATAACGGTGCGAGCCGCAAGCGGCACTCGCGGGGCAAGGAGGTTGCTCGAAGAAGCGGGGAGAAGTGAAAAGAGAGGCTTCAGTCGCCATAGCGACGGAGGGACGCACGCACGTGTCAATCACGTGCATGCGTCCCTCCGCTGCGTTGGAGTTGGAAACAACCGCAACGACAGACCAATCGCAGGTCGAGGAGAAGTGTTCATGCGCGTTGCATGCCGGTCGCGGGCCGGCCGCTTCTATCCGTAAACATGGCGTCGGTTGTGATCGTCGACGTAGACGGCGTGGTGGAAGCTCATCGTTCCGCGTAAAAGCGCTATCCCTGATTGTGAATTTTCGCTGTGTGTCGCTATGATAACCCAGCACATACTAGAAGGGAAGATCCAGCTACTCGTCCGGCGATGTTGTGGCGGCACTCTCAAGACGGCAGAAACGCCCGTGTCGTCGTGTTTGTTTACTTCAACTACAGGGGGGCTATGTTGTGCTTTTTGGACTCCCAGGAGACTAGGGAGAAGGAAGTGACGTCAACAACGCAGCAAATGCGGATTGGATGTTGATTTTGTTTTCTTCTGTCAACATCCAATCTGCGTTCGCTCTAGTCGTTGACGTCACTTCCTTCTCCCAAGTCTCCTGGGAGTCCAAAACGTGCAACATAGCCCCCCTGGGGTGCTTTCTAAGCACTTGTGTTTTCGAACATCGCCCGGATTTCTTATTTGGAGCATTTCATGCCTGTGCTCAAGTTGAAGGTATTACTGGTGCTTACCGTATAAAGGATGCGAATTTTCACGCGTTCGCATCGCCAGAGAAAAGTGATTAGGGTTAGCAATCCTGAATGCTCGTAACGTCCGTCCGCAACCCGCGACGCCGTTAAAAGGCTGCTCCAGGCAAAAGTCGCTCATTTCTTTCACAATGTGTGGCACACTTGAGAGATAAGTGTACTAGTCTGGTGGAATAAAGACTTTCCTCAAACTAAGCTTTATTTTTCATCTAACATAAAATAAATTCTTTTACAAAGGTAAGTTGTCTGATGGCATGTATTTTGGCCTGAAAAATTGATGTTTTGGTTATAGCGCGGTACCGCTTATAGTGCGGATTTTCGCGACTCCCGCAACATACGTTATATGCGGTCTACACTGTTGTACACAATCTGTACAAAATATGAGGTGCTTACTTTATTATATACTAATCAACTTAGTGAGCCATGAAAATTGCTTTTAAGATCTTTGTAAAATCCTTTATAAAATTTTAATTAGTAGATGGTGGGCGTATATTACAAAAATGTTAAATTATTAATTTCAGTGGGGAGAAATGAAAAAAAAAAAAAAGGTCATGAAAGAACAAGAATGCAACCACCCTGGCTTTTCTGCCCCTGTTATTGTTTTGTTGAAAGGAATAGAATCCCTCTGTGAATGAAATTTGGTGTTTAATGGTAGGGTAGCATCTGAGGCTATAGTGTGACAATGCATCCCTCGCTGCATTTCTTTCTGTTCTGACAAAAAATGAAAGCCGTTTACATTTCCTTGTAACGCCGAATTAGAGTGCAGCTTTTGAGGAGGAGGAGGGGAAGGTATGGGGAGGGGGCTATGTTGATGGGAAATAAACTTACTTACTTACTTACCCTCCTCCTCTCCTGCTCGCTCCTGTTTAGGGGAAAATTTTCCGCTAAATTTTTTCACTAGATTTAGCAGGGAAATATTTCCGCTAAATTTAGCAGGGAAATTTACCCAACATGCACCGTGCAGTTACGCCGACGCCGCTCAAGCCGGAAACAGGCGCCTAAGAGCTGTGCTCTAAAATTTGGTCGATACATAGAAAAGTAAGAATTTCTACTTCGAAGCTCTTGCCTAGAGGCATGTTTATGGCCTAATCACATTGTTTGTGAAAAGTTACAGAAGTACCTCATTTCTCAATAAATTAGCAGAATAATAAAATAAATCATCATTCTCACTGAATTTTATTATTTGGTCAGCAATGAGTCGGCAGGATATTTCAATTCCTAGCTGCTTTGCTCCAAACTAGGAATATGGTAAGACCAGTTGGCTTCCAATTGGGAATGGTTACAGCTATAGACACCCAACTGGTCCCAGTTAACCCCTCAACTGGTATCGGTTAACCCCTCAACTGGTACCAGTTGAACCCCAAATGGTCCCATTGAATTATTGCTGGAACCGCTTGATTTTCATTTGGACCAGTTGATTCTCAGCTGGTCCCAATTTAACATTTTTACCTGCTCTAGGAAGGTGAGTAATTGCTTGCTTCCATAGGTTCTGTGCTGGCGGACATTACCCACGGATGACTCCACTCTGGGTTCTGTGGCGAGGTCCACGGAGCCCTTCATGAGGCACGTCTTCATTGTGGCCACCAGGGGGCAGACTGGAGACACATTCAAGAGAGATGTGAGCATTCCACACTCTTGGATGACTATAGATATGCTCGCTCGTTTGTCAAGAGGGGCGGAAAACTCAAAAGACAGCCTCAGGACCTGCATGGTCACTCTCCCTGAAGTATTATGTTCTTTTGTTAGTGTTTTCTTGAATTAGAAGTTGCTGGGTTTGGGTATGCATCTAGGTGCGTGGAACGTCTTTTTAGAAGAAGGGTATATCTTAGGGGTGGCCAAGCTGCGGCTCTTCATGTGTTAAAGTGCGGCTCGCGGCTCCCTCCCCTACACCCCCCCCCCCCCCCCCCCCCCCGCCAACCTCCCGGTCACACGAGCACTTCCCCAAATAGGGAAATTAAACGCGTTTTAAATCGAAAGACAAGTTTCGGTTTGGTAGTCTTGTGCTACTGCTACCTTACGTACAGTTGGACTGCTTTTGACTCGGGGTGAATTGTGCGTAGTTCGAGTTTCGTTTAATGCTCTAAACGAAAGCCCCCCCTCCGCAACTCTTTGAAGTTTCGTGGTTTTGTTTGCGGCTCTTAGGCCGGGTCAGTGTGGCCACCCCTGGTATATCCTCTTAAGAATTGTTGAACCTCACATAGGTAAATGTCTCAACTAAAAATACACCTTTCGTGATTTCTTGTATAAAATTGTAGAAACTTTGTAGCTTCTTCTACAAGCTTTTCCAAGATGTTTGCTTTCATTTCTTTTAATTTTTTATTAACCTGTTTAGGCTGAGGGCTTGTCGAGCTGCCTTTATGAACTTTGTTTTCTTTGGCCCTCACTATAAAGTGGTAGGAATAAACTGATTGCTCATATTAGTATTAACATCAGTGCAGTCTCTGACGGTACAAAAGTTGCACCTTCAAATACTATTCTGGAAAATAGATCAAGTTTACTTGTATGTTGTCACTGGGTCGACATTCTTCAGCCAAAGAATTTCTTAGATACACCAGCACAAGCAGAAATCAGTTTCAGTAAACTAATAAATGGACAGTGTGCTTTACAAGAATGGCTGAAAGATAGCAACATATATATCAAGCCTCTTTACAGTAGATGGAATGAGGTCTGAATGGATGCACAGACAGGATATTGCGTTTGAATAAAAAATGAAGGGGACAGTTCAGAGCCAGCTGAAAGACAATACTGTTTAGTTTGTTGCTTTTTGGTTGTTCCAATTCCACTGAAGCTCAGGGGAAAATTATATCATGAATATTCTACAAACTGAGTGCCCACGTGCCATAATGAAGGAGTAAAGAAATACAAATTGCATTAACAATGAAGACAGGCTGAAGTTAGATCATCAGTGTTCTCTGCCGGTCTTTTTGTTTTATGCTGCCGCCATCATTAATATTAAAAGGGAATCTGAACTTTTTTTCCAGGTGTTCGTGCTCCGCAAAGCCTCTTCACACAAGATTCCAACTGACAAGCTGAGATTCTACATCTGCAGTCTTTCCGTTGATACCATTGTCTACAAGGTTGGTTGCATGCTTTTGCAGGCAATTCCGTGTTGTGGCACTGCTATCTATATTTTTTGCTCAACTTACAAGCATTATTCATGATGTACTTTTTTTTTTTGTCTACAGTGAGGAGGTTTTGCCTCAGGAATGTCAATATTTGCAAATGTTTTGAGTTTTTAAGTCTCAAGATACTGATGTTCACAAATTAAACTGAGCATGACTTGTTAGAAGAAAAAAAACCTTTGCCAGAAATGTTTATAGTTTAGAGCACGAAACTACTGTTGCTAGCATTCTTATGGAGGAAAGTTATTTGCAACCTTTATCAGCCTTGGATGAACTACTGAGGCACCTTGGCTGGTGGTTATGCAGTACTATATATGATGCAAGCAATGCTGGTTTCATTCTGTACTCACAGGAATGGCTCGCTTATTTGTTTTTTCTTTAATTTCTGGGGCCACTTTTTGTCAGAAGCCTGTAAATATGCCCAGTGACCTCTTAGCTGTTTGCTCTAAAAAGTTTAGAAACAACATTCTTAATTAAAAATTAAAACAGCGCAAGGACACGAAGATAGACGAACAAGGCGCCTTGTTCAGCGCCTTGTTCGTCTACCTTCTTGTTCTTGTCCGTGTCCTTGCGCTGTTTTAATTTTTAATCATGAAATACCAACTAGCCCAAACTTCTACATTATTCTTAATTAATTTTTAATAAAAATAGTGTCATCTTACTAATGTATGTGAATAAAAAATTATTGTGTTGTACAACATTTGAGAGAAAAATTTGAAAAGAAAAACGAATACTTACGGTATCATAATGTGGTTATGTTTAAACCTAAAAATAAAATAATTAATGTACATATGCAACACTGCCTATACTCCATTTTGTTGTGTAGTAACTAAGCATGTGCAAATAGTGGATTATGAGTTAGAAGCTAATTCGAAGGAATGAATGAATTTGGAGTTTTCTGGCGCAGCAGCAACATGGGCCATAGTGCGCCCGAAGGAAATAGTGGCTTTGACTGAATAGTATTATTGAATTGAATACCAAACAGTTTCTCCAAGCCTTTCACTAGTGTTGCACCATGGTTTCGAAAACTCAGCTGAACTCGTAAGGGTCGTTCCCCAGCTTCTGCTTGTCCATCTCTAAGCGTAGTGTATCTTAATCTAACTATACTTGTGGACTGTGGCCTCAGAAAGTTCAATGCCTACATTGAGATGGCAAGCAAATCATGGATTTTACATAAAATGAGACCTATAGAGACGCCCAGCTAATTACCTACCATGAAATCTTCTAAGGGAACTTACCCAAAATAGAGGTAAATGGTGAAAAACATGCGGTGGGCTATCTTCTGGCATGAGACAGCAAAACTTTATAAAAAAATAATGATAAATATGAAGGGGAGCTACAAATTACATGATACAGGAACTGATATTACAGATCGCGGACACGGCGAATTTGCGTTTCACAACGCAATAAACACGTGGAAACTGGGTGCAACCTTAGGTGCCACGGGAACCGATAACACGCGCAGATCCCAGTATTGATCTTTTTCGAAGCTTTGATTGCTGCAAGTTCGCCCCGTTGAGCACGCTTCTTACTGAGCACCGGTGCACTGCGGAGAAGCGACACCCGCGGAACCGAGCTCTGCGGGTGCTACTTCTCCTCAGTGCATCGGTGCTTGGTAAGACGCACGCTCAACGAGGCTAACCTGTTGCAATCGACGCTTTGAAAATATCCCTGTTCATCTCGAAGCAAATATCGAATAGCGTATATTATTCTAAACTTCTATTTGAAAATTTAAATATTTGCACAATCCTACACAACTTAATTTTTGTTGTATTTCCAAAGTTTTGTTTTACCATATCTACATGTGTTTATATAACATGTCACAGTTAGCATAAACAAGCGATTGCCATTTTGTTTATTTCTTTTGGAACTGTGACACTATCACCAAATATACTAAGTGTGGCAGAGGAAATGTGCTATCTGTGGCACCGACTTAGACGGCACAACTTTGTGCTCTACACTAAGGATTCTGAGCAAGACACGAAAATGCATTGCTGTCCCGTTGTGCCAATTGTGTTCCAGTGTGCACCAGCTCAACCATAATTCATGTGCAAATTTTGCTTTCAGTTCAGAGATTCATATGCATGAAATTTTCTGAGAAACTATCTATCTGAATTGGTCTTAAGAAAGTTAAACAAACCGGTAAAGACAATTTTCATTTACTGCTCCTGATCATGTACCAAGGACCTTTAGAATGAACACTAATCCAGGCACCACAAAAAAGGAAAATTATGTGTTATTAATTCTGACTTAGCATGTAATCAGCTTTTGTGGAGCTAGCCACCTATTGTTCATGTGTGGTGTAAATTGAATGGATCTTCTCTGTGTTCTGCAATGTTCTATGTACAGGGGTAAATGCACTCAGTCAGCACAATAATTACTGTTTAAAATGTCATTTTTCTAAATGCGGCAAGTGTAGGAGATTTGAAGTGCTAATAATCAAAACAGTGATCATGTATAGAGAAATGATAATTACTTTAACATTTTTTTTGAGAACCTAGGATACTCGTGCATACTTATAGCCAATAAAATGTAGTCACGAATAGCTATGCAAACAATATAGTGTAGGAAAACCTACTGATTAGATGGAAGATGACTGAAGAAAATGATAGAACAACCAGAAAAGAAAAAACTTCCTCATGGATTTTCCCTTTTTTCTTGAAACAACGACAAATTAATTTTTTATTTTGGGGGATTTCATGTGCTGCTTTTAAGTGAGGAGGAGGGAAAAGCAGGGGAAGGAATGGTCTCAAGGAAACCGGGGAAACCATTTTGTTTATTGGCCTTGAAATTGGCTCTTTGACTGCACTGGCTTTAAAAATGAGCAGCAGCTACTTTCCTACTTCCTTCTCCTCAGCTCCAGCGTTTTCCATTGCTGTATTCCTGAGTCACGAAATTGCACATTGAACAAAAGCTCCCATTACAGAATGCAGGGATCCTGAATTAAATCTCTGCCTGTTTTGATTTGGATGACCGTCGTACCGACATACAGTACGTTCATGTATCAGTACTGTGTAGTGCGTGTTATAGACCCCAAGTTAGCAGCCGTACTGGACTGACCAAGTTTCCCATCCACGGCACGAACTAGCGTCGCCGTGTGCCTCAAATGTAGACCGACTTCGCGCCATCTAAACGCAAATGCCTATACGGCGTGCAGGTTTGTCTGCTCCTTGCGCACCCTTGCATTTGTTTACCCTCCAAATGAGCCCGCATATTTTTGCTTCTCTTCAACCTCAACCGACGATAGCGCACTATTGGCTGCGTCGTCATCACATGTTCCCCGTGTGTTTTTCGTGTTGCCATTTAATTGGCATGCCCTGTCTTGCACTCGGACTATCGCTAGGCTCGTTCAATTTACCTGCTCCAGCCTGCACTGGTGAAGAAAAATGTGGCGTGGTGCAAAAAAGTGTGAGACAATGTACTTCCGGTTGTGCTTTGAGTTCGGCTGCGCTCGTAAATCAAATGTGGCGGTGTGCACTGAGTGCAGGTGGCGCTGTAGATGCAGATAAATCGAATGAACCCACTGACAGCGGAATCTGGGGTAAGGCAAGTCCCTAGCATTTCCTTATTACTGCACGGCCAATGAGATTCCGACATTAGCCGGTATGAATTGCAAATTAAGAAGCGTAAACGTGATAGGCCACGCCTATGCATTTCTCGACCTGTCAGCGACCTCAATTTGTGTTGTCTTTGCTTCCGCTACCCAGGGCCAGCTGACGACGACCCAGCTGTGGCGCTACTTCCTGGACCTGCAGGACCCGACGTGCGAGACCTACCTGGCCCTGGTTCATGCACGCTTCTCCACCAACACCTTCCCCAGCTGGGAGAGGGCACACCCGCTCAGGTACACGCAGACTCCCTCCTCGCTCGGGCGACCTCGAAACGACGCAGATGGATGCAGCACTCGCTGAAGAACATTGTAGTCGACGCTAGTGTAATTCAAACTTTCTTATTAGTAGATATCTGCAAAAAATAATGAACTGGATATTACCGTATTTGCACGAATATAACACGACCACGAATATAACGCGAGGGCAGGTTTTGATGCCCTCAAAAAGAAAAAAAAAATATTATTACTATTATAACGCGAACCGAGGATGCGTCAATTTCTCGCACTCAGGGGCATAGCAGATGTGAAAAGTCAATGGAAATAGAAGAAATATCAGTTTATGTTTTTACTACACTCATCCTCACAGTTCAGGTCCTTCCGTTTACAATCCACTTGGCGACTACGCAGATAAGCAGCAGCACGGCACCTGCTTGTCTGGTAGTTCTCTTTTCTTGCGAGCTCCTCGGCAGCCCACAATCCAAACAAGGCACGAAGCAGAAGCACCAACACACAAACACCAGATCACTCTGGAGCAGAAACTAAACAATGTGCAGGCAGAAAAAAAGACTACTGAATCCGATACACGATCACACTTCTTGTTCTGGTCCCTCTGCATAAACAAATGCCTCGTGTTCCACGATTGCGTAAACGCGGTTGGTGGTCTTGGATTGGCTTGTGTTGACTTGACTCGGCCCGGCTTGGCTTGGCTCGAATTGGCCAGTGCCCGCATGACGCGCGCGCGCGCCGAGTTTCTGCGGCATGCGCGCGTTGTACAAACACAAAAGCGATAAAAATGCTTTTTTATGTTTTCTATTCTCCCCTTCACGTAGCCCAATAGCTCATAAATTCCCTTCCACACCCCCACTTCTTTTCCCACCGGATATTTTGCATTGAGCCGGGGGATGGCTTTCTCCTCTGGCTTTCTCCAGACTCGCGCGCCTCGTGGCTGAACTCGATTCCGAATATAACGCGAGGTGCGTTTTGGAGCACGTAATTTCGAAAAAAACTCGCGTTATATTCGTGCAAATATGGTACGTGAAAGCAAATAAAACATGCAGTAGGTTGTGGCGCGGGCTCGAACAGGTACCTTTTGGAATCTGCAGAATGGGAGCCAATGTTTCGCTAGGAAAGCTCGCTTCTCTAGGGTTCAGTCTCTGCACGACTTATCTACGGCTTGAATCAGGGACCAAGCCCCGAGGAAGCTAGGTATCGTAGCGACGCGTCAGTTGCCATAGCTTCGGGCATGATAGAAAACATAGTGTAAAAATAACAGGGTTAGCGTACCACACCCTCTTTATTTGAGCGTCAAAAGGCGAAGCTCGGTAACTCACCGCCTTCGCACCTTTTTCCTTGTGCAGGGTCCTGGCGCACAACGGGGAGATCAACACGCTGCGGGGCAACGTGAATCTGATGCGAGCTCGCGAGGGCGTCATGCACACCACCATCTTCGGGGACAAGCTGAAGGAGCTGTACCCCGTGGTGGAGCCCAACCTGTCCGACTCCGGCAGCGTGGACACCGTCCTCGAGTTCCTTGTCATGGCCGGACAGCGCTCGCTGCCCGAGGTGCCTCCTTCGATTCTCCTCGCTCTCCGGGCGACCGTTGGCCACCCCGGTGGATCTGAGGTTCACAGGTTCCCAGGCGGCGGGCTCAAATCCCGGCCGAGTTGCCCGCGATCTGACGGAAGCTTGTTACAGAGAGGGCGCCGTGTAACCGAGCTTTCGGTTGCACATCCCCGGGTGGTCTAAAAGAATCGTCAGTCCTTCACTGGGGCGTGCCAGATGCCTTTCTTCGGCTTTGCACGTAGAACTTGCAGATTTGGCTCTAAGACTTTCATCCGACCGGCCACTTCTGAGCAGAGTTGGACGGTACTCAATACAAGTGATCAGATTAGTTGTAATCACTTACTTTTTGGGGTAATTTTGTATTCATTTGAATACATTTATTAGGAAGTAATCGCTAAAGTAATCTGATTGGTCTTAAAAGTACTAAAATTACTCATGACTGTTAGTATTTTTCCTTCCCCTTTTTGCGCTGGTGTCCTTTGTTTGTAAAAGCTTCCCTACAAAGGACCCTCAAACCAAGACTCGGAAAAGGGGAAAGTTTATCAGATCTGGTGAATCAAGAAGATAAATATAGCTTATAATTCGGTGATTTCAATCCAATGATGATCAGTCCAAAAAAGATCAGTTTTCAAACCGGTAGAAAAATTTGTCGTTTCGAAAATTTGAAGTTAATCAGAAAAGTAACGGATACTTCTTCAACTAACGTCCAATTACTTTGCTTCTCAAGTAACCGAGTGATCAAATTGAACACTTTTTAACCAAGAGAAATTGTAATTGTAATTTTAATTACTTTCTCGAGTAACGTGAACAAGAACCGCTGCCAAGGCTGTGCTCACTTTTACATTAGTGCTATTTTGGGGTATTGCACATTCATAAAATCATTTGCGAGGCAAAAAACTAGTGCAGTGCTGTTTTTGGTAATTGTTACATGTGTTAATTTTTTGTAAATAGACTCAGCAGCACTCGTTTTGGTTTTGCTGGCTCGTATAATATCTACGTTAAACATTTCGGTTTTCAATCTCAGCAGGCTGTTTACGCTATTATTTCCATATTTATAATATATATGCAAGTTTTTTTGTTGCATATATATTCGTGAGCACTTGCATTTCAGCTTCCAGGCTGTGATAATGGTGGTGCCAGAGGCATGGTAGAGCAGCATGATACAAGATTGCTTTTCGGATTATCCGCACGTTTGTATGACATATGCAGATGGATTTTTGCTGTATATAGTAACATCTTTGTGTGCACTTGCTCGAAATTTCCCAGGCTGTGATGACGATGGTTCCGGAGGCGTGGCAGAACAACGACCAAATGATTCCCGAGAAGCGCCAGTTCTACCAGTGGAGTGGTTGTGCCATGGAGCCTTGGGATGGACCAGGCAAGCACTCGCTGCTCCCGTATAATTTCTGAATGACTGCTGAATTCAAACTTGGGCTCTTTTATTTTGTTGCGTTTCATTGGAGAAGTGCATCGAAGAAGATGTATGAAAACTTCTCTCAAGGTTTTTAGTATGTTTTAGTTCGAGGTGCTTGGGCCTGCGTATACAGTATGAACTCATTATAATAGACCTTGGTAGTGATGAAGATTTTGGTCTGTTGTAAAAGGAGTGTGTAGAAGCAGTTACTCTTACTACAGACTTTGTAGGTCGACTTTAGTCTGTTCTAACCAGTGAGATTGACGAAATGAGAATGTCTATTAGAAAAGAACTGGTTCATTAAAACTTCTAAACTTTAAAAGGTTGTGATTTTTTATCGAGCTGTACCGATGATCGTCATCACTGTGTACTTTGCGGTCATATGTGTCTCACTAGGCACTGAGTGCGGTTACCGCAATTAGTAAAATGGATGCGACCGCTACCGAACCAAAGTAGCGTAATGTCCGAAATAATGACTGCTGTCAAAGATTCTGCTATAATGGAATATTGAACTACTTCTGAGCTCCCTAATATAGTCCATTACATTTGAATGTATATGTTATAACAGAATCTATAATAAGCGAAGTTGGCTCAATTATGGCACAGATAGGAAGACCAACCAAACTTAACAAATCAGTATGTTATAAGCGAATGTCTGCTGTAACCAGATCTGTTGTAACGAGGTTAAACTGCAGTGGAGGTTTGGTCATTACAGAGTTTTAGTAGATCGTTCCGATGACTCCCATAACACTACCCGATACTCTGCCGCCGCCTTTGCGCACGCATCATATCGTTATCAGGGGTATCGGAGATATGGGAACGATCTACTAAAACTCTCAATTGAATAGTATATATAGCGTCTGAAAATCGACAAGCAGAAATCAAAAACATTTTTGAAAGAAATGTTTGTTGGTCATTGTCCCAAGTTTTCATGAATGAAGTTGGTAAATACATACATTTTCGTCCCATTATTGTGGACAACCCACATTACGGATGGTTTTTTGAGGGAATGAAAGTCTCCATATCAAGACATCACTGTAATATGGTTCAATATCAGAGAGGAATCCTCAACCATTATCACAGATAAACTCATTTAGCGATTCCTTTTTTCTTTTGTTTTCAAGTGACGTGTTAAGAGATGTTGACATCTGCTCCAAAACTGTCAGTGGCCGCTCCAAACCAATATTTTGCCTGTTACAAAACCTGCTACAAATGATCAAATGCCACTTCCATAACTTCTACTGTTTATTTCTTACTAAATTTTGTAATAACCTGATCTGGTCTAATAGTGTGATCTATAAAATGCAACTTTGGAGTGTTTCCATCTAGCAAGCTGACATTATTTTCAGCATGAAGCAGTTGTGCAGTAGAGCAGTAAAGTGGTTCTAATAGGGCAGCTTTCTCCACACTGTATGCAAGCATGACATCCTTCTTACAGTGTCGTGTTTCTGCAGTACATCGCTCTGCAGTAAATTGCTACGGTGTATAAGTGCTGTATAGCAAAAAGCGGCACTAATCAAAAAAACTTGTTTTCACATCAAAAACCAGAGTAGAAACAATTAACCTTCTTGTGGAGCATTACTTTCTCCTTGTAGGTTGTGATACTTTTAGGTGCATTTAAGGTCTGTTATATATTTTATTTTTGAAAATGTACATTTTTGAACTCTTTCGCAACTGTGTAGCAAACTGCTGGGCAATTGTGTTACACGCGCTCTTCATCGGATAGTACATCACATATAGACTTGATCGCAGTTCCTGGAATGAATATGCTGGCGCTAGTCGGGTTTTAGAGCCTGGCAGTTTTCCAGAACCTCCCATACTCACCGGAACCAGCCATACCAACCAATCAGCGTCGAGCTCCGCTGTCAATTTTTTGGTTTTTGCTGAATCTGACGAGTCAAAGAATGTTTCACCTTAAAACATTGCTCCTGCCTCTAATGGCCGAATCTTATGATAACTACTTCATGCAGTGTGTCAACTATGCACACAACTTGCTTGTTTCTTGTTGTAAAATTGAGTATGGAGTGGCTTCAAGTGAAGTGTTCTATTCCACTTTGCTTCTCTTAGCACTGCTGACCTTCTCTGACGGGCGCTATGTGGGGGCCATCTTGGACCGTAATGGCTTGCGTCCTTCCCGCTACTACATCACCAAGGACAAGTACATGGTGATGGCCAGCGAAGTGGGTGTCCTGGACATTCCCTCGGAGCTGATATTACAAAAGGTTTGTCGCTCTCTGGGCTTGCATTTCCTTCTCAGTCCTGCCTCAATTTCTTTTTTGATTTCAAAAGGTCTGTCACTTTCCTAACCACTTCTTGCCTTAAAAATGTTAGGTAGCTAACTATACGATTTCTGGCTGCTAATTATCATGCATGCCTTAAAAAAAAAAAATTAAATGTTCCTAAATGCTTTAATCCTACTAAGGGTAGAGTCAGGAGACAGAGTATGTAGCGAAAGGATGGTCACATTTTTATTTATAAGTTATTAATTGTCATTATTAATTGATGATAATTAATTAGCAAGACCTGCTAAGTTGAGCTAGATTTAGCAGCAGTGTAATAATTTTTCCTGATGCTCTTTCATAACTATACAATCATCTCATGAAAATCGGCCCTATATGTAACATTGTTGTGTTAATGTTAAACGGATGTTCTGAATTTTTCTGCTTTCAGCCCACTATGCTGAGCACAAACCAACTTACTATACTAAAAGTGTCACTCATGTGTAACAGCAAGAGGGAGTACTTTTCCCCCCGTGCATCGGTGTTTTGCAGAGAAACTGAAAACAGGAGCTGCTTCACATGAAATATAAGAATAGGTGCTGGAATAACTGTTACGTCAACAATATTTGTTTAGAGACCTTCAGTTTAAAGCTAACAGGGCCGCTGTGACACAAGTGCAGCCAGTGTGCAAGCAAACGTGGCAATTGTGGCTTATGGCCATAATACTGTCACTACCAGCAACTTCAAAATATTTTCTCAACCGAAACAAGAGCCATATCTTGAATTGTTTCACCATTACTATCAACCAACTAGAACAATGCACAGTGGATCAATTGATTCAGTGTCTGCCTTATGCTAAAACTTTATTAAGGGGGGACATAAGCCTAAATTTCAAATTTGGTTTTAAAAAATAATTTTTCAAATATGAGGTTTTTGGTTGTAGAAACTAATTAGAGTTGAACCCCTCAATAACGAAAGCCATTAAGAACGAAATTCTCGCGGCAACGAAGAAATCTGGCGGCACGGTGAACGTCCACAGAGTTCAGTGCATTTGCACCCTCTCAACAGCGAAGTGTTTTTAAAGACTGTCCTGCATTAACGAAAGTTGGAGGTAGTGATCTGCAACATTTTTTCGGCACATGAGTCAGTTGGGACCCGTGAAGTATGAAAAGTAGAGCAGCACACTCATCTGTCAAGTCGGGCACATACGTTTCCGACAAGCATCGGCGCGGCCATTGTTGTGTACGTTTGCTCAAATAATAATAATGATAGCAACAAGATTTTTTTTTTTTTTTTTTGGTCGCTGAAAACAGCATTTTGCTAGCCCTTCTGTTGCAACTACATAGCTATGTGATGTTTCACGTGACGGATGCACGCCGAGATCACTCGCGCCTTGTTTACTACCTTTTGTTTGGCCTGTCGGAAAGATGCCGCCTCCCGTTAAAAAACAAAAGTTTTTGATGCTTCAGGAGAAGTCTGCGATCATCGCCAAAGTTGCAAAAGGCAGAAAAAAGTCTGATATTGCGAAGGAGTTCAGTATCCTGAGCAGCTCACTTTCTATGATTCTGAAATCTAAGGACAGCATTAAATTTTGGTCCTCGAAAGTGATAGGTGTGCTCATTTGTCCATTTTCGAGAACAGCGAAATTCTCGCGAGAATTAAAAAAATTTTCTTTCCCAGCTTTTTTGTTGATGCGGGGTTTGACTGTATACATCCTTACGCTAAATTTGATAACTATATGCCAAATAGAAGTTGATATGAAATATTTTCAACACATTGTGAGGCAGTAACAAAGTAAATGAGTTCAATGTTTGAATGCATTTTTTTCCGTTCCACTTTTTGCTGCAAATTTCATACGAAGGAATCTTTTGTTCAAAGGTAAAAGTATTCTGATTATTACAATCAAGATATTTCTGAACTGAAATTTACTGGGGAATTGGGCTATCTACTTTATTTTGTTTTAAGTTCAAGTCCTCATTGAGAAAAAAACAATGTTTTCGAAAATTGACATGGGGCAGATATGCATCTCATATTTTGAGGTAATGGCTCTTTCTTAAATATTTACATTAGAGTTACAAAAACAAGATAGCCCAAAGTCCCACATCCCCCACTTTATATTCAAGCAGTCAAAGTGGTGCTTAATAGGTTCATTTGCATATTATAGATTTCTTAATGAAGAGAGACACATCTTATATAGGTATATTCAATTGTCCTAGAAAGCTAAAAGTTTTCACAATACACTTATATCTGATGTTGAAGCTTCCCTGTGAATTTCGTTCCAATTCCTTGTGTAGTTCAGAAGTTAAATCTCTAGCCACTGTCCCGCCTGAAACATCTCTTTTCTTTGATGTCTTGCAGGGACGACTGAGGCCAGGCCGCATGCTGCTGGTGGACACTGTGGAGAAAAATGTGACAAAGGACGAAGAACTCAAGCTCCAGATCGCACGCCAGCGACCTCTTGGCGAGTGGCTCAAAGAGATGGTGAGACTCTGTTGCTTGACCTGTTGACTTTCCCACGTGGCATTTGCAGTAGTATATATTCTAAAATGAAGACACAGGACAGATCTTATGGAAGGGCTGCCCAAACAGGACATGTTTTCTGCAGTCAAAGCATTGGCTGTACAGGAAAAGTGAAGGTTTTTGTCCGGTTCCAATCCGCTTTGGCACATTTCTTTCTGCCCGGGAGGCGGGCAGCTCCCCTTTGGTTGTGTTCTTGGACAAAGGCTTGGAGCCTGCTCAGCATGTTGGTTCAGACAGCCAGACAGCCACTCACACTCTGCTGACTGTTGTCAAGGCCTAGCTCCACCATTGTTGTCAGTTCCCAATCTTCCAAAAACAACAAAGGGGAGGAGACGACAGCAGGTAGGCGAGTAGGAAAGCTGTGTTGTTTGCTTGGTAGATGACCTCACTAAAAACATACGCACGTGCCACAACTTCACGTGTTTTGCAAAGCGCGCAGAATTTTTTTTTCTTCATGTGCAGCATCTTTTGCGTTTTATTTGGACAGTACTTAAAGGGGTATACTCTGGTGCCTTCTTCATAGTCCCCAATTTGCTCGACAATTTGCTAAACACACAAAACACACCACTGAAATCCCGAATATTAGGCCAAAGTAATATTTTTGCGCGTAGTCATCGATTATACTATTTTCGTCCTCATCGTGTTTTTCAAACTGAAAGTCTCTACTAGCAACAACGAAAAAGTGACGTCAGCTGAAGGCAGGAGTTCACTCTTTGGGCTGTAGACTTTGTTCCCAACTGATTACAAAGAGTTTCATGGTGTCAAATTAATCTTTTGAAAGCTTACTCCAGCACGTGCACACGGCAGCACGAAACAAATGCTCGGCATAGTACATTATTAGACTGCTCGCCCGACCTGCAAGCCTGTCTTCCGCTGACTTCATGGCACTGAAAAGCGCGGGTATATTTGAATGTTTTTTGGGCATCATTTTCGCTTGCCAATTTCACAATAATTAGGTATTTTGAATTTCGTGATACCAAATAGCAGACCAGAAAAGGTAAAGGCCGGTGACTCCAAAATTATGGTTAGTTGGGGTAGCTCAAGAAATCGCCGGAGTACCCCTTTAAGCCACGCTTGACGCAAGCCTAAACCCCGTGCAGTTCACGCTGGATGACCTCCACGAGGCTGCTGGTCCGGTGAAGGTGCCGGACCTCAGCCCGATGATAGAGCGCCAGTGCTCCAAGAGCAGCTCAGTGTTCACGGACCGCCGCCTGCCGCTGTTCGGCTACTCTCCGGAGACCATCAACCTCCTCTTGCTCCCCATGGTGCAGACAGAGTGAGTCCGCTGTCGGGTCACCTTTGTGCCCGGGATTGGAAACGGAGGAAATGAACCAAGATGCATTTTTTCAGACTGTGTCCATATCAATGCGTCATGTTGCTCAAACTTTTTATTCAAAGTTAGTATCCGATTTGTGTGCAGTTTTTCTCTTATTTAGTTCATTTTTATATGTTGTTTTATCATACGATGCTGAAACGACGATGCATAAATGGTAATCTCTACAGTTTTTGTGAGCCGGTGCGAGTGGTTTCTCTGTTGTGAAGCGCTTCCGTAAGCATTACTCTGGCACACTCATTGCCTGACTGGGACTAGCTTTTTCCATCTGCTAAGGCATGCTGTAACACAATGTAGCGCCTTTTACAATCTGTCCCTTCTTTTTGGTTAGTACGGTACACTGTCCCTTGAATATATACTTTGTTTTTGGAAGAAGCAAAGACAAGCAAACAATATTGAACAAAATCAATGGGCAGAGTTTCTTTCTATCTGTTACTGGTTTTCAATTTGGATAGTAGTTGGCTTTTGTTGAGCATCCTCTTTTGACACCAGAGCTCTGCATAGAAGTCAATCACTTTCTATTTTATCACCTAATAAAATTAAGACGATGATAAAGAATAAGATCCAGTACAATTAATCTTGTATATGGGGCCAAAAATGTGAACCATACCATATATCAAGACTGAAGAAGGTACTGACACATCGTTTTGATAACACTGAGGCATAAAAATTTAGAAATTTTAGATTGATTTACAAACTCACAATTCATGGCAGACATGTACACTAAACATCAATACTCAAGACACTTGCTTTGATATGTAGACATAGGGCACACCAAAAATAATTTGAAAACAATGCTATTCAATTTATAATAAATTAATTCGTGCAATTTTTTACAGCATACCAGTTTTTAGGGGCGAAGCTCCTTAGGGTCTAGCCTTGTCCAGCGTCCGTGCTCACATCGATTACACTGCCTCCGGGATCTGCCCACTTTTAATAAAGAAACGTCCGTCCGCTCGGGGGTTCGAACTCAGGACCGCTTGTTTACGAGGCAGACGTCTTAACCAGTACGCTACACTCCAACGTTGCATGTAGCTGCTCAACGTCTATACAGGAGAGGGCGCTGCGGTCAAATGCGTATATAATCGTGTTAAACTTTGCATGCATTGGCTCAACGTTTATAGACGAGAAGGCACTGCGGTCAAATGCTCAACTGCGTATATATCCACGTTCCATACCACACATTCTCTTTCTGACATGGACCGTTGACTTAAGCGGTGGAGATGCGTTCCCACGGCTTCTGGCGGATCCAAGCTGATCCGCTAGAAGAACCACTGGCTCTGCATTTCACCGACCATAAAGCAGTAATAATGAAGTCAAAACGAAATCCGGAACTAAGCATTACTTATGAGCAATAAAAAAGAATCAGCACCATTAGCACTACCTATGAACAATAAAATCAGTATCATCAGCACCACCAGAGCTTCGCCCCAATCAACATCATTCACTACGTGGAGATGCGTCCATTTTTTAAATTTCTGGTTATTCTTATTATTCGCAGGAACTTCCAAACAAAACATTTTCAGGGTTTGCCTTACCTGATGAACAGTAGTTTTGTCTACATTTCAAGCCTCTAAGAAACACTTGAAACTAAGTGATTAGGTTGGGCTCGGAAAGCCTGTATTGAGTTATCGGCCGGCTGAGACGCGTCGATCAATTGGTTGATTGATTGGTTGACGCCCACGTTTCCGACAGGAAAGAGGCCCTGGGCTCGATGGGCAATGACGCTGCCCTGGCCTGCCTGTCCCTGTACCAGCCCCTGGTGTACGACTACTTCAAGCAGCTCTTTGCCCAGGTCACCAACCCTCCCATCGACCCCTTCCGGGAGAGGATTGTCATGTCACTGGTGAGGACCCGCTTCTTGAACCGGGATTCTAGAGGCGAGAACAGCTCTGCCGCAACGAGGGTGTAGCTGTAGGATCGTGCAAATATTCGGAAGTTTGAGTTGTAGTTTCGAATAGTAAGCTATTCAATTTTTATTTTACGATGAACTGTAATTATGGAAAAAGAACAGCATACAGGATATGGTAGACACAGATATTTTGTTTACTTAAAGAGAGAGATGCATGTGTTGGCCCGTTTGTTCCTTATGTTTATTCTTTCTTCTTAACTTACCACAGCCAAAACGCTGTGAAGTTTATTTGGGAAACATCAAAGACCTGCTTTTGAAAAACATGCACAAGGGTGAGAATGGATGACACTTGTAGTGTGGGGCCTCTGTTACGATCCAAGCACCATAAGATATAGACTTGATTGTAATGAAAAAAAATAAAAAAATACCATGCTAAACATACTAAAAAAATTGAAATAAGCTATTTTAGGCTTTTATTTTTTGCGCTTGAGGAGGCATTTCCTTTGCAAACAAAACCTTATGCTGAGTTTAATTATGAGTTTTGTGTTGGTTGGAAGCTAGTATTTTGACCAGATTTACATGTGAGGCTCTACACTTTGCCAACTGTTTGGAGAGCATCAGCACTGATTGAGCACAAATAGATTTGAGCTGATTCACTAGACGACTGCTGGTCCCTAGTTTTTATTTCTCTAAACCTTCCTTGGTTTTTTAAAGGGGTACTCCGCCGATTTCTTCATGGTCCCCGATTTGCTTGAAATTTTGCCAAACTCGCCAGACAACATCGCCAAAATAGTATCCCAAATATTAGGTCAAAATAATTTTTTTTCACGAAGTTATTGAATTTACAATTTTGGTCCACATCGTGTTTTTCAAACTGAAAGTCTCTACTGGCAACAATGAAAAAGTGACGTCATTGGAAGTGCAGGGGTTCACTCTTTGTACTGTAGAATTTGTTCCCAACTGATTCGAAGCAGTTTCATGGTGTCAAATGAATGCTTTGGAAGCTCGCTCCAGTCCCCGCGCTCCAGCACGGAACAAATGATTGGCATATTCTATTTTTTAGACTGCTCGCCCGACTGGCAAGCTAACCTTCCAGTGACGTCACGGCCCTGAAAAGGGCGGGTATATTTGAATGTTTGTTTTTGCATCATTTTCATTTGTCGATTTCGCAATAACTATTATGAATTTCACGATACTAAATATCATACCAGAAAGGGCAAAGGCCGGGGAGTCAGAAAATATAGTTAGTTGAGGTAGCTCAAAAATCGGTGGAGTACCCCTTTAAGCGAAGCATAATGGATCATAATTTTAATTGCTGCTAAAAATTTATTTTACCAACAATATTATGGGGATAGTGTTACAACAATCAGTGATTTACTATCTCCAGATATGTGGATGGCTTTTTAAAGTAAACTCTTTTTCCTTCCAGAAGCTTACCTAGAACGACTTTAGTGCAGTTTATTCCTTCCAATTGCCTCGGGACAATTAAGTTTGGTGTGACATGTCGCACCATTGAGCTCAAAGTATTTGCAATACTGGGAAGGTCCTTTTGCCAGTCCCTTGCTCGTGGGGCTGTTCATGCATTTCTTCGAAGGTGTTGAATCAAGGTTTCTTTTATTCTTAACATCGCTATCAGCTGTCGCAGAAGAGCAAACATTAAAGCTGTTGACATTGTTGCGTGCCGGACCGTTGCAGCTCCGAAAGCCTAGCAGGCGTGAAATTCCGCAGCTTCCCGTCGAGGCCACGGAAAATACAATGCCATCGGAGATGAAAAACTGCCGTAAGCGGTATAAAATGAGCATTCCATTCACGTTACATTACTCTAAATGAATTTAAAAATATGCTATTTGACTCAATGTATGGAATTAATGCGCTCGAAGTAGGATGTCGTATTTGGGTTCGGTGCGATGACTCCGTAGTGTCAGATCAATCTCTTGACATCCTCACTCCTCTTTGCTCTGCAGACACGTCTTGTTTGAATGACATTTTGCGGACAGTTGTGCTAATGAAAAGTTTGAGTAGACTGTTTTCATCCGCCCGTTCTGCTTTATAAAGAACACAATTGCCCCTGCACATGCACGGTAGAACGACGACACAACGCTCGGAGCTGGTAATAAAAACGACATCTCGCAAGCGTACGCCGGTGTCGCCTCATTTGGCCACGGTGGTGCTGGTGATCAACCGATGGTGGCATGCTCTGCATTCCTGCTCGGCACCTATACTATTTGTCTTGTTTAACTCTCTCCCACTGTTTATTGATCACCTGTCATCAACGGATTCAAGCACCACCAAAATTGGAATATGGCGCGAAGGAACACGTGCCATCTCGTGGATAGCCGAAAAATTACATCTCTGGTTTCGATTGCATTTTGCGCTTTCTCCCAAGCCGCTGAGGTATCATAAATAAATCTCTGCACAACACCTTTTAAACATGGTGTCCTACTGACTATGGGGACTGCTGCAAAGATACAGTTGAACCTCGATTTAATGAAACCCGATTTCACAAATTTCCCGATTTAACGAACAAATTTGGATTCCCTGCGCAGCTCATGCGCGAGGTCTCCCTTCCTCAATATTACGAAGTTCCCGATTTAACAAAATAATTAGCTGGTCCCGGTGACTTCGTTAAATCGAGGTATAACATATTTTGCTGCTCACTTTTTTAATGGCAGCAGTGGTGAGATGATGTTGCATAATTTGATTTGAGCCCCTACAGCGACGCTTCATTTTCGAGCCGCTGAACATGGACGGGTGCTTCATTCTGGTTTTCCAGGTGGTCTTGAGCCAGAACTTACATTTTATGTGTACTGCAAGCCATAAAAACTCTAGCAGAGGAGAATTTAGAGCAGTGCTTCCATGGACAACATAATGCCACAGAGGCACACTTGCTGACAGGCCAAAAAAAAAGACAGTGTCAGCTAGAGCTCTCGGACTTACAGAAGTGGTAGTCTTCTGTATGCACTCTAATTTATATGGTTAGGATTTTTAAGTATCATAGTATGATTAATTATAGCTGCTAATGTTCAGACTTTTTGTTATCATTTTTGCACAATTTGCAAGTTCAGCATTTAAATTTCCCATACTTTTTTCAGACATTAGTATAAACCTCTTTTTTTCTAAAGAGCAGCTGGGTACAGTTTGGTGTATCATAACCCTACAATAAGTAGTTCTTAAAAAAAATGTTTTGTCCATCTCTTAAAAGTTACCACTTTTGCCCGTGGTATAAAAAGTAGGGGTGTGCGAATACTCGAATATACGAATTCGAATCGAATAGAAAGTTCCCGAATAATTCGATTCGCGAATCGAATTCCTAGTATTCGGTTACTCGAATATTCGATATATTCGGCCAAAGACGCGCGGTGGGCGCGGAGCAAACAAAAAAGCAGTTTTTTCTCCCGATGTAAGCGCCGTGATGTTAGACAGACCATGCGAGAAACACCTCTTGGTCCGACCGTTCCACAAAAATCTAACGCACAGGTTAGAAAACAGAAAAGTAACGAACGCCACAAACTTTATAGCACGAAGATTTACTCACGATCATGACACAATCTACCCTTGAATCACAACCGAAACATCCCGCTTGCGCCGCTATTCCGCGCCAAGCATAATTCTTTTCACGAGTTAAACTCCTCGTTTCAAATTGAAACGTGATGTAAAACACACTTGCCGCACTCGCAGAAATCGTCTACTGCACCACTGCACGATCACAGAAAGAAAACCAACGTTACCACGCCGGCGAAACCAACCGAGTTTTCATCGTCGTTTTTTTGGAACCGCAAATTCTGATTCCGAATCAGAACGACAACTCGGTTGGTTTTGCCGACGTGGTAACGTTGGTTTTCTTTCTGTGATCGTGCAGTGGTGCAGTAGCCGATTTCTGCGAGTGCGGCAAATGTGTTTTACATCGGCGCTTCAATTTGAAACGAGGGGCTTTACTCGTGAAAAGAATTAGGCTTGGCGCGGAAGAAACGGAACGGAAAAAATAGTGTGCCTAGATTTGAGAGGATTTCCAACAGCTCGATAGCCGCGTTTGAATTACGAACTGCGAGAAGGTGCCGAAAAGGCGAAAGCGTCGGTCGGGTTCGGGCAGGCAGGGCAGGCGTCGTCGCTCTTCTGTTTGTTCGCCTTCTTTCCACGCGACAACACAACACATGCGCATTCACGATCAATCTGTGATGGAGCCATCTCTGTGGTTTCAGTTTCGGTTGCTCCCTCTTTTAAATCAAGGCTCTCTAAAACAGGATAGATAAACGGAAAAATGGATGCGTAGCGGCAGTTGGACGGTGACTTGCGCCACCTAACCACGTTTTTTTTCTTACTTTAGATTATATTGTTTAAGTCAGTATATCTCGTTGCTGTTTACTCAGATTTAACACCTGTCTATTTATTTATGTGAAATCAAATCCCAGGTGCCATTTTTTTCCTTAAAATGGAAACCAACTACAGTGTAGACCGCATATAACGTATGTCGCGGGAGTCGCGAAAATCCGCACTATAAGCGGTACCGCGTTATAACCGAAACATCAATTTTTCAGGCCAAAATACATGCCATGTGACAACTTACCTTTGTAAAAGAATTTATTTTATGTTAGATGAAAAATAAAGCTTAGTTTGAGGAAAGTCTTTATTTCACCAGACTAGTACACTTCTCTCTCAAGTGTGTCACACATTTTGAAAGAAATGAGCGGCTTTTGCCTGGCGCAGCCTCTTAGCGGCGTCGCGGGTTGCGGACGGATGTTGCGAGCGTTCAGGATTGCTAACCCTAATCACTTTTCTCCGGAGATGAAAACGCGCGAAAATTCGGATCCTTCATACGGTACGCGCCAGTAATACCTTGAACTTGAGCACACGCATGAAATGCGCCAAATAAGAAATCCGGGCGATGTTCGTGGACACAAATGCTTAGAAATCACCACTGTAGTCGAAGTAAACAAACACGACGACACGGGCGTTTCTGCCGTCTTGAGAGCGCCGCCACGACATCGCCGCTCGAGTAGGTGGATCTTCCCTTCCAGTACGTGCTGGGTTATCATAGCGACACACAACGAAAATTCACAGTCAAGGATAGCGCTTTTACGCGGAACGATGAGATGAACGCCGTCTACGACGACGATCACAACGTTGATCACAACCGACGTCATGTTCGCGGATAGAAGCAGCCGACCCGCGACGGGCAAGCAACGCGCGCGAACACTTCTCCTCGACCTGCTATTGGTCTGTCGTTGCGGTTGTTGGTTTCCAACGCAGCGGAGGGACGCACGCACGTGAACGACACGTGTGTGCGTCCCATCGTCGCTAGGGCAACTGAAGCCTCTCTCTTCGCTTCTCCCGCTTCTTCGAGCACCCTCCTTGCCCCGCGAGTGCCGCTTGCGCAACGCTTGCGGCACTCGCAAGCGTTGCGCATCTATTATCTTTTGTTATTTATGTTTTTTGTTAGTTATCTAGTGTCGCACAGGCAAGCGTGCTCGCTGCTCCGGTCGTCGGCGCGGTCGGCGGGCTGTGCCAGAAACCGCACAATAACCGGTATTTCCCTTCGCGCGCCTGCGTTTTAAGCGGTATGTAATTACATGGAGTTCTATGGGAGGCGAACCGGTGGTTTAAAAAAACCGCGTTATACCCGGTCCTGCACTATAAGCGGTTACGTTGTAAGTGGTCTATACTGTATCGCAAAATGCCCCTTTTCTGAGATATACAAATATTAAAAAAAAAAAAAGTTGTGGTGTTAGGTTGTGTTTTTAAAGAGAAAAAAAGGCACGCGTGGCTGTAACTTTTTTTTTTGTGACGTTTAGGGTAGATAGATTATGTTTGCACCATAAAATTGGATCTTTAGTGCCCAACGTTCAACAGCAACTGCTTTTTTTTTTTCACCGGAACTTTTTTACATTTTGGCTTTTGTTTTGTACAAGACGTATATTCTGCACCAGGCGCATACTCTGCACATATAATAATCGCATTCGGAGCACACTTTGAAAAATTCCTACGAATAAAATCACTATTCGATATTCGATTCGATATTCGTTTTTTTTTTCTTGATTCGATTCGGTATTCGATTCGAAAGCTACTATTCGGTATTCGCACACCCCTAATAAAAAGAGTTAATAGCTAGCTTTGTTACTTTTTGCAAAAATATAAAAGGACCATGCAGGTGATGCATTCTTAGGTGGTTCCACACCTAGCTTTCCCCTATAGATGAGTTTGGCCAATCTCCCGAATGATGAGTTATTGTGGGACTGTTCTTACAGCGGCACTCTGTCATCATACATTATCCCATCCGAAATATTAAGATTGTTCAGATTAGTCTGCAGACCCTATAGCTGGGCCGTTGCAACTACTCTTCGTTGGTTTGTCACGTAAATGCCCCATTTTGCTTTACTATCATACATTAGGGAGCGCTATGTCAAACTGTGGTATGAATTTTAAGAGACGAACTGTAATGCCTATGGTAAAAACGTGAATGAACAAACTCATTACAAAATTCAGTTGAGTCAGTGTGACAGTATTTGCCTTGTGCCATTCCCAGGCATGCCCCATTGGTCCTGAGGCAAACATCCTGCAGCCCAGCCCGGAGCAGTGCCGCCGCCTGTGGCTGGAGCAGCCCATCTTGTCCCTGAGGGACATGGAGGTCATCAAGCGCAACACCTACAAGGGATGGAAGGTGGGCCATTTGGCTACTGAGGATGTGTCTGCATCCTGACTCTTCTTTCGTAAATTATAGTTTCACAGCTATAGCTGTTAGGGGCTCTTCTCCCCACTCAGAACGATGAAGTTGGGGTTGTAGGGCCTCCGTTGTCGATATCGCGAAACACTTGAAAAAAAAAATTCCCAAAACCCGCCACGATTTTCTCGCGAATCGATTCTGGATCCACTGATTGTGAGACGAACATGCTACCGCAGAGCCACCCCAGCTGCTTCTATGCACAGCCTAATAAACAGCACGTGTTGTGGACAGGTGCACATACGAGCCCTGTGCAGCACCCACTTGATGGCCACAATTGACCTTTTTCAGAGATTGCTGGGCGCATGCGCCGACCCTGAGAGAGAGGGAGGAAAGGGAAAGGCGCCATTTTTGGTGGCTCTCTCGTCCGCTCGGTCGCACAGACAGTGCTGGTTCGGCTTGACTCCTCCGCTATTCTAGCGGCTTGGCTTCATAGTCGTCACGCCTCACCACCGCGCAGCTGTAGGTTGCGCAAATAAAAGCAAAAATGGTTCAAATGGAAGCCTTTATGGAGTTTCAGCAGCCCTTGCGGGTGGTGCACAAAAAGACTCGATGTCAAACACCCCGCCATTTTGCCCTGGTTTCAAATGCTTAGGACGCGAATCGCCGTCAGCCGGCTGGATCATCAATGTGACGGCGCGACATTCTGATTTTAACTTAAATACAGTAAATAGGACATAGAAAAAGGACAGGCAACGTCTCTTGAGACGATGCCTGTTCTTTTTTTTGCGTTTCCCTTTTCCTACATCAGTCTCAGGTTTAATGCTTAAAAATGAGCGTGTTGGTGAATGGATACGAATACATGAAAGGATAAAAGATCAAGGACACAGGACTTCTCAAAAGAAGTCCTGTTTCCGCCCTTGTCCTCGATGCATATTCGTATATCAAGTTTACCACCATGTTCAACTTACACCAGCTCGCCTACACTCTCCACTATTTTCCCGTTAATAGTAAATGTGCACGCGAGGTTGTGTGACGTAGTCACGCCATACACGGCACTCAAGTAAAGAATAACACGATAAAGGTTTCCGTCTTTCAGGCGTGTGCTATAGACATTCGCGTCTTGCCATGTGAAAAGAGAAGAAAAAACAGATAAAAATATCAGTCGCAGGAAAAACATTTAAAGCGTGGGAAACGAATTTAAGCTTCACGGAGACAGAACCCTGATGGAATGCCTTGGCAAGCAACCGTGAACTCCTTTGTTTGCTGGGCTCACTTTGTCGAAGGTTCGTAAACGTGCTGAATTTAAAGAGAGATTGTTTATAACGTACCTTTCCTTACTTTTTGTTGGTGCCGGCGAGCCTTCGCGATATCAAGACCGCCCGGATTTCACACCACCCTAGTTTGTTTACAAATTCCCGAATACGGTGATGCTCGTGCGTTCACGCGGTACACAGGACGGCTAAGTGACGGACGCAATAAGCTCGAATAACTTAAGCAACCAAGGGGAGGAAAATCAGCTGTTTGTAGTGGCCGGGCCTTATAAACGGGGCTCACAAGCTCCGCACAGGGCAGGTGGTTGGGTCGGTACCGAAACTGGTCACCAATACTTTCCTTACATAACACTCTAAGACTCTGCCTTGAAAGCGGACCCCTCTTTTAGTAGCCAATTGCAAGCCTCGATACCGAAGTGACAATTAAGTGGCTCCGAGTCGATGGTAGAAACTGACGCAGCGTCGAATGTCTATGCACCCTAAAGGTGTAAAAACGAACGAGGTCCTCTGTATCGTAGACAGTAGCTTTTGTTAATCATCCAGGTCGTTCTCAGCCGTTTCGAAGAAAATATGCACGCCAAACGAAGACAGAAAGACACGTTCATAATGGGGAAAGACGGAACAACGCCACCAGAGGAGACATGTAAACACATGGACCGGGAGGCACGCCAGGCCTGGCGCGGACGACGGAGAGACGGTGCCAGAGCCACCAAAAGTGTTTCGAGCGATACCCGCGAGGGCGCGCCACGATCGTGGCCGAACCATGAAAAAGGTCAATTGCGGTGACGGCGTCGTGAGGTGCAGGACACGTAAGGATAATTTAGGGTCCGAGAAAGGGTCGCAGCTGGGGCTGCAATGGTACTTGGGATTCACGGGGGACTGCTAAATATTTTATGGAGGTATTGGCATTGTAGGCATGTTGACGCACCATATCTGAAAGAAGTGAAAGATTGTGCTGGGGCAGCCTTTGTCCACACTCTCGCTGCCAGTGCTGAGTCTGCTGGATGCTATAGGAGCCTGATTTTGTATGGCCATCAGCCAGTGAAAAACCTGCTTGATGCCTCACTAAAACTGACAATCAGCGCACCACCAAGATGCCTATCTAGTTGTCAACTAGTGACATTCCTTTTTTAGTTATTCCTACCAGCTTCTTTTGCTCTTGCGTTTTATGGCCATTACCGCATGGTATATGTAAAGACCCCCAAGTTGTAACACCGTAAAATGGGCTCGTAGATCGCCTCTCATTAGTGATAAAATAATTCTGTGCCTTTAGATACACTTGCACGCAAATCTATTAATATACCTCAGTTATTAACTTTGTCTTTTGTTTTTATCTATACCTCAAGCAGGTCTGTCTCTGTTGATATACTCAAGTGCACCTGATTGAGGCACAAATATCTTGCTTTGCGACGACATAAGTACCCGATGCACTGTACAAAAATGCAGTAATCTATCGCAACTTTTCTTACTGCACTTTTAGATTGTCTTTACGGATTGTGGGGCAGGTGCTAATTACAATATTTTCTTTGATTTCCTTTTTTTTTTTCTATTGTGATGGCTTCAATTAATAGTCTCCAGTGTAATCTTTTTCTATTTCTTCGTACGACAAAGCAAAAAAGTCTAATTTCTGTGCTGGCATTTGCATACTCAGTTAGTTATGTAGCCAAGAATTTTTTTCGGGGGGGCATGGTGGTTGGCTATGGAGCCAAGCGTGAAGAGTAGCGTGTGAGAGGAGGCCGGATCAACCCCGACTCTGCCTATGCCGCTGAACTTTGTAGCGGCTAAAGGACGACTCTGGCCTTTGCGTGACGCAGACCAAGGTGATCGACATGGTGTTTGCGGCCAGCGAGGGCGTCAAGGGCCTCTTCCGGGCAATCAACAGAGTTTGCGACGAAGCCTGCGTCGCTGCCAAGAACGGCTACACCCTGCTGGTGCTCTCGGACCGCAGGGCGGGCCGGGACTACATTCCCATCAGGTGGGTCCTTCCGCTCGAGTTTCCTCGCGTTTCCTCACTTCCTCCAAAAGGAACTTCTCAAAGAGCTTCTGAATTGTGGCCAGTTTAGACACTATTTTAGCGGATATGAGCCATTCACCAACTCATGACAATGAGCCAAACATTCCCTTGTATGTACGTTTTCGTTTACGAGGTTCGTAAGGCTTCAGCGCCGCTTTATTACATCGTTGCCGAGACCAGCGGCGGTTTCACGGCTTTCAGTCGAGCCAGACGGGGGTTCCCCAAGACTGAAAAGTTTGAGAGCTCTCGCTCTCAAGGATGGTTTACGCGTGTGGTGCAGCGTTAAAATAGTGGAAAGTCGGAGCTGCACGTCGGCGATAGTGTCGGCACAGACCAGGCGCCGACTTGGCGCCACATTATGTGCATAAACGGGAAAAGGCTGGGTCACGCGACGGAGCGTACATATAGTTTCAGAGTCATTCTTAACAGAAAATATTTCTTGAAATGTAACTATGGTGCTGAAAAATGTGTTTGGGGGAGCAAAATTTATTTTATGACATGTATGTCTTATTTGGGCACTTTAAGCAAAACAGTGTTTATTGGGGAGTTCAGTGTTTCTTTGTCGGTCTTTACGCGGAACCCAAGAATTCTCTGATTCTCTCCTCTATCTCTGCTGCTCAGCAAAGTGTTTAACGGATCAATCACAGTTTATGCAGATCTGAACTAAACGTTGATGCGCAACTCTGGATTGAACACTTTGTTTCTTATTGGCGTGTTCTATTAACGTTAATGAAATGAGTATCTAAAAGTTTTTGAACATTTTGTTTGGGATGAAGAGTAACAAATGTGAGAGGTGTCTCTCGGGCTCCCAAAGCTTGGGGACCTCTGCACTGTACACAATCTAAGGCAGGTGTTAAAAAGGTTTGTTTGTGTGCCTATAGCTGCTGCAATGATTCCTTGGATAGGAAATTTAAGATAATTTTATGGCACATTTTTTGTGAAACTGATGACGGCAACTGTAGAACATAAAGCTGGCACCCCTGGTTTTACAACCGCTTGCCCTGTTTTTCATTAACCTCAGCTGTCTTAAACATTAAAAGCGCAAGCAAATTTCACTCCAGTAAGCACACTGTTCAGGTTTTAATGCGAAAGCATTAACTGTCTCATGAAGCGAGCCGACATCATCAGCTTTGAAACCATGCAAAACAAGACCTTAATGAAACCACGCACAAAGCTAGCTAATGGCACTTTTTACACTTCGGTCCTATTGGCTGGCGCGCGTCGACGAGGCTCCCATTGGCTGCTGCGCGTCAGTTTGTGTGGTGTCATCCTGACTGTGTTATCACACTGTTGTGTTATCACTGATCACCGCGTTAGCTCGCCTCTTATCGGCTGTATGGCGCATGGCAATATATACTGTGTATTTAATAAACCAAGGGGTTTTTTCTGCTGGGAACTACATTGCTGTCTGTTACTTCCTCGCTCCGCAAGGCACACGACAGTGAACGATCGCTCACCCGATGGTGCTGCATGTACGGGAGACAGCGGCTCCACCGTTTCATGCCCAAGGTCAGCGCGTTGTACGCTGCCGAATAAAGAACGGAGCGAAGAGCGGCGTGGCGTGCTTTCGCATTTACAACTCATAAGTGCTTAGGTGTACCTCGAGCCTTTTCTTGTGATTCCTTCGTTTGTCCGTTCGGTATAGTAGAGCATATGTGCAAAAATTAGACCAGTAAGTTGCAGAAGATGGTGCTAATTGTTTTTTATTCCTACTCGGTAACATCCACCCGAGGATATTCACTGGGTAATATAAAATCACCTGTGTTCAGATTTTTTTTGCGAACGCAATGAAACAAGATGCAGGCTACATCTTCTTTAAGTGCTTGAATCTTGATTCCTAGAGGCAATTTAGGTATGAAACGAAAAACCTATAAGAACATTTGTCTTTTCACTTTTGTTCATAATTTAGGTGCTCAGAGTACTCTCTAGCAACCACCAGGTCCCTAGAAACCCAGTTTGAAAATCGGCGCTTTAAGCCGCAATTTCCTAAATATAAAATGCTTCATATTCCTGTAAATTTTTTCACAATTAGGGAATTTGATACATTATTTTTATTTGTTCTTCATGCTTTAAAACTATTTCTCATTTATACGAATACAGTCGGCGGCAATATGAGCTGGCCTAGTCTAGTGCAAGCCAAAAGGAGTAAACTGCCGCTCAGGGCGCCTCCAGCATGCTAAGTCATGAAACCGACTGCCATATTTCGACAATAGGAAATGTGGCAGTCTATCCAAATTGTTTCTTTTGTGTCACCCCAGCCTGAACGCCGCTGGGCCTACTCATAGTGCAGCAACATGTACAGGTTTCCAATAAACGGAACATTACCAGCATGCTTTAATTCATTGAGGCGTACATAATAAAGCCCGTCCTACTGGTAGTTTCTCTCCCTATGGGTTGATTTTAGGCAAGGCTATATGAAGGAATGCTTTTCTTTTGCGTAGTGCTGCCATGGCATTGGGGGCCGTCCACCATCACCTCATCAACATGAGGCAACGTATGAAGTGTGGACTCATTCTGGAAACAGGTGAAGCTAGGTGAGGCTCTTTTCTTTCTCGTCTATGGATCTTGGTGTTACTCCTTACAGTTTTTTTCAGACTCACAATGGCAATACTTTTGGGGTCACCTATCGGGAGCTTTTCCCACAGGTGTGACTTCCTTTGTAGAGAAGAATGTTCCACATACCCTGAAGCTGTGTGAAACGTGCCCCTCGGATAGTGGTCCAGGATAGATTAGACAAACTTTCCTGTTCTCATGTTTTTCTGCTGGCGTTAGGTTATCGTAAGGTACGGGGAGCGGTTGTAAGGACCAGCACAATTGGCTCACCTTGCAAAATCCGAATTCTAAGTGTTCAGTGCTCACCAGACTTATACTAAACACGAGAAGTGCACGTTTTCTCGTGGCAGCGCTATCCTGGACGAAGCTTTTTTTAAAGCTCAACTCGGAGGTGGGGATATATTAAAAATAAGGCAAAAACGGTGGCGAGGCATTTCCTATGTCTTATACCAGATGTTCGTTGTCTGCACACTGGTTTGCGAGCTTGCTCTCGGGTGGCCATCACTCATGAGAGGAGGAACATATTTCGTTGAAATTAGTGCTTATTGCAATTATTCTGCTTGTTGCCAGCCTCTGCTCTGGCAGTCTCAGCGTTTTTTTATTCAGCAAGCCACCTGGGAGCAAGCTCTCAAACTAGAATGCAGACGACGAACAGGCTGGTATAGGGCATGATAAAATGCGCTGCCGCCATTTTTGCTTTATTTTTAATATTTCACCAGCTCCAAGTGGAGTTAAAAAAAAAAATCGAATGGACATAAATCTTTTTGTGAAACGATGCCCGCTTGCCCAATTTTAGGTGTTGTATGTATGTTTGGAAATTGAATCTGGTGAGGTGTGCCAAATGCGATGGTCCTTACAGCCTCTCATTGTATGAATATTATTAAATTGGTGTCGACTAACTAGAGTACTTAGGCCAAGTACCTCATTGCCACCCTTGAAAGTACTGGCATGGGAGTAAGTGCATGAACAAGATTCCTCTTTATCATTGAAACATTTAGCAAATAGCAATGCCACCCTGCAAATCTCTGCTGGGTTGCCACAGGCTGAATCTGCTTCAGATGTATTTTTGTTATGTGGATAGCTACGGTTTATAAACACCAAGAATGCAACAACTTTGTCATCACTTACGGAAGATCTGGTGGGAGAGGAAAACTTACCTTATTTACTCGCATAATGAACACACTTTTTTTCCCAAAAAATTGACACATATTTGGGGGTTCATTACACAAGGTAAAATTTTTGCATTTACACACTTAGTGCAAATATCATATTAGGTGACAATATGACACGGCAATGTACTGTGGCACGTCTCCAGTGATGGAGGCGCACCCACGGCTGGTCGGGGGCACGCCACAATATCCGTGCTTTATAAATTGCAAACCTTTTTAGGGCGCTTTCGGGGTGCCTTCTGCCGAAGGAAAAGCGCCCTACGAAGCTCACTCAGCACGAAAAGCAACACGACCGTTCTTAGGCGATATATATTGCTTGTATCCGGAGGGCACGCTTGGGTATAACCCGCGACTACGCGTATAAAAACTCGTACAAAGTTCAACCCCCGACCCTGGAAGCCAGCTCGCATGAATCAAGTTTCATTCACGGGGACAAGAACTTGTACCAAGTCAAACCGCCGACCCCCGAAGCCCGCTTGCATGGGTCAGGTTTCGTTCATGGAGAGGCTACCAGTCACTCTCAGCCTATAGCACAGCGTGCACCTCGCTGTGCCATTCTGTTGTGGATTAAGTAAACGCATTTACTCGGAGTATGTGAAATTAGGCCTAACCACTTTCACGATTTCACTGTCCGAAAGTGGACCACAGACGACGGCTTGTTTGTTGACATCAATGCATCCGATAGGCAAAGAATGTCCGGGGCTCGGCATTTCTTTGACCCAAGCTTCATCAAGTGTGCACGACACACGGTTCCACGGTTGATGGCTTCCCTAACTACCCCAACTACGCACTTGCGGCCATTACGTGAGCAGCCTGGCTTGGCTTGACTTGGCCGGACCGCTTGGTGGCAAAAGAAAAGTGGCTTAGTGGCTTGCTAAATTGGACGCAATTCGAGAGTTGTGGCTCCGAAAATTGGAGGTGCGTTGGTTACGAGAGGGGAAAAAAAGTAAAAATATTGGTGCCCGTTGTGGGGGGTGCGTTTATTATGCGAGTGCATTTATTATGAGAGTGCGTTTATTATGCGAGTAAGTACGGTACAAGGCGTTCTGGCTTGCAGGCAAAAGAAAAGTGCAAAAAACAGGAGGAACACATCAAAGAAATCGACAGACCTGGAACTGACCTACAACCGAATTGATGTTAGGAAGAAGCTCAAGCTACAAAAACAAAAAAGAACTAGTACCGTAAAATTTTGAGCAAGCACCTTCTCAAAATCTGGAGACAATCATGTAAAGCTGGGGGATGGGTGCCCCTTAGGTCAACAATGTGTAAAGATATGTCCCTTGAGTATTTTCCAAATGTTACAAAATTGGGGGGTAGCGCTTAGTCGCGGTCGTTAATATTAAAGTCGATTATAACGAGATAGCAGCTATAGCCAAGTGGTCACAATTTCCCACTCCCATTGGCACCTTATCAATGTATTTGCGTCTGTTTTTAGCAAAGGAAGTTAAGCGACTCCTGTAGATATAGAAAAGAGAAATTTTGTGAGAATTAAAAAAATATATTAAAATTCGGAAAGTTCACCAAGTTGTAGACCGCCGCGCTTTGCCGCCGCAGTCGATCAGCCACCCAGAACGGGTTGCTGACATGCTCCAAAGGCCGCCAGCAGCAGCCTCTGCGTTGTCGTCTGCCTTTGCTCCTTATCTGGGAAGCGGTTTTTCCGCATCGCACGCGGAAAAGCCGTTGTGGCGTGACAATGTTCGGAGTGCTAGCGACGACATACTGGCAGACGGAGGGGACGAAGAGAGCTTAGATTTAAGTGAGAGAACAACTCGAACCTTAAGGAGCATTTGCAATTTAATGGCAGACGCCTCCCGGGCAGATGGGCACAGCATTTGGTTGTCTCGGGGTCAGCGTGATGAGGAAACCTTGCAGAGAGGCGGTAAACACTTTTGAATCTTTGCGTTCTGCAGTTTTTTGTGAAAACGTGGCCCATGAACCACATGACCCCAATGGAGTAGTTGACCCCTCTCTCAAATCTAGGCTCTCTATACCGATAAAACATGAGCTTGAGCACCAACTCGGTGCCGTGCGCTCTTCTTTGTTTGCATCATGTTCCGTGTCGGCGTCGCTAGTCTGTGTGGTTGATGGGGCAGCGCGCTCAAAAATACAAATATTGCAGCGGCATGCTTGGGAGGAAAGCACGCTTTGAGTAAGATGGTACACGTGCATGCCTGGTGTATTTAAAAAAAAAAAGAAGCTTAAACTTTGTGAATGTTGATATCTACATAAAGCACAAAACAAGCATGTTTGTAACAGTATCAAACATGTGGAAGGTTGCACAGAGAAGGGGACGGACAACAATGACTTTCAGCTGTCCAACTGAAAGTCATTGTTTTCCGTCTCCTTCTCTGTGTTACCTTCCTCATGTTTAATATCGATATCTACAACATTGTAAAATTTTAAAAATTAATGAGTAGTTAGTATGTGAGAGCATATGTTAGGCAAAGATGTCCTGACAACCTGCATTCGGTATTCATCATTGACTTTTGAAGCGAGAGCTTTGCTTGTCCCATTACGCGAAAAGGCGTGGGCGTTGTGCCTGAAGGATGGTCATAAAAATATGTAATTCAGCATGCGCCGCTCAAGGTCAAAGCAGACCCATTTCAGATATAAAACGCAAAGAAAAGCACAGCAACACAGATGCCACATCACAGAAGGCAGCAGGGGCACTCAAGGTCAAAGCAGACGCGCCTCAGAAATAAAACGCCAAGAAATGCACAGCAATGAAAATGCTTCGTCATAGAAGCCGTCGTGAAGCCGGCAGGGTTCACCGTGCCTGTGCAGTGGGGGAGCGTGATGTCACCGCAGGAGTGCCGTGTGAAAAAGGAAGACGTGGCGCACTGCTTGTAGGAATGCTTTCACATTCCTACATGTAAGCAGTCTTAAGTGTCTCTGCCGAATTTTTATTTTCTTAGCCTGAGAGTTAAGAAAGATATTTACATATAGCAAGATGATTTGGAAATCTATTTGGTTAGGAGTACTAGCTGGGCATCTTTGTAGGTTCAATTTTATGTCATATGTGCCGTCTACTTGCCATCCGAATGTAAAGCATTGGATTTTCTGAGGCCACAGTTCGTAAATATATAAGATTAGAATTAGCTGAGAAATGAACTAGTTGAAGCGTGGGAACAACCTTCACAGGTTCAGCTGCATTTTCATTTAAAGGACTCATGAAACAATTTTTCAACTTTTTCCTGTTTAGCTTTCCTCCTCATTTCATAAATCGTGCACTGTACCAAGCAGTTCAAGAAGACGGAAAGGGGAAAGTCCCCTCTTGCTTGGACTCTCGTTTGTGTACCCGGACACAGCCATTCTCCCCCTAGAAGATTAGCCCGTCGCTCAAAATTTAGACAAAAGTTGCTTTCCTCACCCCGTTCAGCCCTAAGCTGACAGTAGTGTGGAAGCTACGTGCCCGTTGGGCCAGCCACACTTTCGTCACGTGATCATGCTCTCTCGTGCAGAGAATGAGGTCAGGTGATGAAAGGGAGGTGGCTGATTGGTCTGGCAAGCACGTAGCTTCCATCGCAATGTCAGCTTAGGGGTGAAGGGAATAACTGAAGTCCGGTGTCGTGTGACGTGTGTTTAAACCCGGTGACGCGCTTCGGGGACCGCGGATGTATCACAGTGAAAAGACAGAGAGCTTACGAAGGGAAGAAGGTATGAAATAGTCCGCTGTGTTTTCAAATTTTTATACCGAAAGTCAGGCTTTCGACTTTCTACTTTTTTTCTTTTGGCCCACTGAACGATGTGCTATTAATAAAATCCCAGTCTAAATTGATTTATCCCAGCCCAAAATTCGTTTCATGGACCCTTTAAGAGTGTTAAAATGCTCGGAGAAACTATTCAATAATCTATTAGCAAATACTGTCGAGACCGGTTATAACGAAGTCGATTATAACGATATATGGCTACAGCGAAGCGACCACGATTTCCCATTTCCTTTTGCACTTCGTTGACCGAAGTCGGTTATAACGAAGAAGCGGATATAGCGAAGTGATTTCCGATTCCCGTTGACTTCGTTATAACCGGTCTCGACCGTATTCGGCCAAAGCAGCGCAGGCACGGCACTTGACATCTTTCTTCTCTTTACTACCTCTTCATTTAAACCTCAGCTGTGAGTCAGCGCTCTTTCCTTCCTGTTGTTTTTCCTTCCTTACCTTATTTGCGCTGTTTAGGTCAATTCAGCTAAAGCCACTGTTCGCTTTGATCAAAATATACTATTCGCACATGCCTACCCATTTGTTGTCGTTGCCGGTTTACCATCCTAAAGACGGTGCCCTGCACGAGCCAGCAATTACAAGGACTGCTTCGTGCTTGCAGGGAGGTGCACCACATGTGCGTGCTCCTCGGCTACGGCGCCGACGCCATCTGCCCCTACCTGGTCTTTGAGATGGTGGTCCTGCTGAGGGACGATGGCCTGCTCAACCCTCCCCTCTCGGACGAGGAGATCTTCAAGAACTATGTGGCCGCCATGGAGCGGGGTATCGCCAAGGTGATAACGCTACGAGTTTGGTGCTTGTTTATTGATTCGGTAATCTACAGCAGACCCACTGGTCTGATCTAATGACCAATATCTAGGAGCCGGCTGTTTCTGTGAGGGTCGCAGTGTGGTAGTAAATTATAACTCGGAGAAATTGAAGAAAAAGGTCTGAAGCACGATTCTCAAAATCATAGTTCTACACACTTATTTTCCGTTAGAGGTTTTCTGATGTTTGTTTTTTGCGTGGGCTGTAAATAGTTTGTGACTTATTTAAAATGCAAGTTGTGATAGAGATTTACGTGAATTTGTCAAAATTGAGAAAAATGAATGATTAGGTCTATGCCATAGAATGTAGTATATATACATTTTTAGCTGTTTATGCATTTTTTGCTGCTATAAATGTAAGGATCTTTTGATAATTCTTGCCAGGGCTTTTCACCTATTTACATTGGCACATTTCTTGTGCTGGTTCTTTACATACATGCATCAAAACCAGAATCTTCAGGCAAAGCCGACCGGCTGAAGTTCAAAAATCCATTTTTCTAGATTAAAGACCACTTCTTTGTCTATTTCAAGCTATATGGTTTGCATATAGATGTCTAATGTATCATAATTATAGCTTGATCTCTAACTTCCATTTCCATAGGCCGGTGACAAATTGAGTGTGGCTAACAAAACAAACAAAAGTACAAAAAAACAAAATCTTAAATTTTGTTTACCAACTCGCGTTTGTCTCCTTGTTTCAGGATTCGGGTCCTTTTCTACATGAGTAGCGCCTTGAATTCCTGTACCAATTTTAGAAGCATACTTCAGCTTTGAAAAATCAGATTCTAATTGGTCTTTATTGTGAGGAGTCTCTATTGTTCTCATTTATTTCTTTGTCACAATATTTATTATTATTCTATCCCACATCATAACCTACTGACAGCCCATCATATATTTCCAGTTGCGTAGAGCATTCAAACAAGGTTGGCATTTTTCCATGTTACACAAATGCTTTTTTTCTTTTTTCTTTACTTGTTCATTTTTCACATTTTTGTAGAATGGAAGCACCTCCCCCATTGTATTGGAACTATCCATGGCTCAACTGCTTTCAAAAATGCTCTTTCTTACTTTTGGCTTTTTGAGGAACCATAATTGTGTGTTCTCTGTATTTTACATACCAGTCCAATCAGTCATGTTTGTGTTTTACATATGTGCACTCCCGACTCTAATGTATGTGACCTAAAGTAAAAATAAATAACTACCGTAATATTCCGAGTCATCGCCCACTCCACTGCCTCCTCAAATTCATAAAAAAAGTGGGGCGGGCCATGTCTCGGTAGATTAGCACAAAAAGTATAAAAAATCTGAAAAAAAAAGTGCCCACTTTTTTTTTGCATATCTAGTGTGGCTGCGGAAGAAATACATTATAGGGACTCAAAACTCAAATTAGTTTTATTGTTTTATACAAAAAAATGCTCATAAAAGAATGTATTACAATCATGAAGTCCGTTGCATGCATACGCGCCATGAACATTGCCGATCGGCATACAGCGCGAAAGTTGGTTCCGTGGAAGCACGTTACAGCGCTATGCTTTCCTCGTTAGTTAAAAAAAAAAAAAAAAATTACAAGAAAACAGAAAAACCAATTAGGCGCAACGAGCGAGCGAGCGGACCAAAGAAGCGACGAAGAGCGATGCTGGGAAAGCGGGAAAGCCGGTGATCGCGTTGGCAAATACTTTGGCGTCGGGTCAAGTCGGGCTCCTTGTCAATCGCAAGCTCTTGCACAACTTTCTTGTTTGGTGCATACATGCGTGCGTTCGTGCAAGGCGTGCTAGCAATGCGGGTTAAGCGCGAAACACATGTTAGACGAAACCTTCCGATCCGACGTGCGGACTGCCGGAATGACCTTGGGGGGCAAGGGTTTCCGTAGCATCGGAGAGCGTTGAAAACCCTCGCCTTTGACCGTCGTATTGCGTGGTCGGACGTCGGATCGGACAGTTTCGTCGTACATGTGTTTCGCGCTTTAAGGCGGTGTTTTTGCGTGGCGTGAACGGCACCACGAACACGGAGCTCAAATTGGGGCGCTCTGCAAACGTGCGTCATTCCAGCAAAGCTTTAGTTACCCGTTGGCTTTGTTTTAAACACTGCAATACCGCCGTTGCGACGTGGGTCGGGAGAAGAAGCGGGTTCGTGGCGACCTTACTTCGGCATAGACAGACTTTGATCTTACACTCCTCGGTTACATTTCAGGATATGGGGCGTTTGCTTGCCTTGTGATTCCTGAATAAGGTACTGCTTGTGTTATCTTTCCGACTTTTTTTTTTCTCTGGACAATCTTTTTGTAAGCAATACAAACTTTCATTCTGTCATCTCCATCGTTTTTTTTTTTTCGGACGGATACACTACAACTTTGAGATCGCTCGCGGGGGAAATGCGGGAACAAAGAGAAGTGTCTTTCTCTCTTTTGTTTTACTTTGTCACGGACGGACGTGCTCCAACTGTAAGGTCCGCGGCCGCGTCATTCGGGTAGAATGGATGTTCACGGATTGCGAAGTCAGCATTGGGGTATTTGAAGAAGTGGGTGATGGCTTAGTGTTTTTTTGGAAATCTGTATTAGCCCAAAAAGTGGGGTCGGCGATGACTCGGGGATGGGCGATGACTCGGGATATTACTGTAAATAAATATCTAAGTATTGTACACCATCTTGTGTGCATTCTTGTCCCTTTGTTATTCAAAGTTTTTCAGTCATTGCCAAGCAACGGCATTCTATGTACTATAATTGCCCAATGTATATTTTGTTGAGCTCATTTTATTTAATTTCACTGTCCATGGGGGCTTTATGTATGGGGGCAAAATTGAACAATATGAGAGGACAATATTGAACGAACACTAGTAGGTTATTTTTAACACATAAAACATGCTGTTAAAAGCTGTGGAAAGGAGAGTTGGCAGATTGAAATAAATGTATCAACTTCCGATGCAAACAATGCTCTTGGGTAGATTTTTCCAGACAGAGATAGCCAATTGTGATGGGGAGAACTTGAATTGATTAGTTGTAGGCGTAACCAATTGAATTTTGAGTAGCGATTCATGTGTGGGAAGATATGGAAAGCCAGCGGACCATCACTCTGGATTGGATCTGTTACCAAATCTAGTGAAGGAACTAAAAAGAAAACTGTCAAACTGACGCCTCCCGGACACTGAGTTTTTCCCGTCCGTGGACCGTCCCCCGCAGGTGATGGCCAAGATGGGCATCTCGACCCTGCACAGCTACAAGGGGGCCCAGATCTTTGAGGCGGTAGGCCTGGCCGACGAGGTGATCGACAAGTGCTTTAGGAACACGGCCTCCCGCCTGGGGGGCGCCACCTTTGAGGTGCTGGCGGCCGACCTGGTGCAGCGCCACGGCTTCGCCTATGCCGAGCCGGACTATGACAGCCTGGTACTGCGCAACTCCGGCCAGTACCACTGGCGCTCCGGCGGGGAGAGCCACGTCAACGACCCAGTCAGCATCGCCAACCTACAGGAGGCTGCCAGGTGGGTGCGGCGACTGCTCAGTCGCAGAGTGAGGGTGGCGGACGGAAAGGAGCTTCTGCGCCGGGTGACCGTTGAGAATGAAAAAGTGACGGTTATTTCGCTGATCCTTTGCGAGATAATTCGGGAGTGCAGCCGCACGGGACGGGTGGTGCCATCTAGTTTCGACGTGCGCTAATATTGCACTACGGTGGGGTTCGAAGCGGTAGCATTTTTGGGCTCTTTACCCCCCCCCACTGGAAATGGTGTCCGCTGTCTGTCGCAGCGCCACATGACATCATGACGGCGGTGATTCACAGTGTCAAAATTCTATAGAAATTTTATAGAAGTCAAAAGAGCATTGGAAAAAAACTCTTTCTGGGATAAGTAGCATTGGCAGCTTCTTCAAGTTTATACTCTCTCTGATAAGGCTGACTGATTGACACATTTAGATCTTTTTGTCTTAGGAGTTTGAAGATACTAAGCATGTCTTGCACCAGCTTGTTCAGTTCCCCGTTCTTGCATGTTGTTCCGTGCAGCTCCAACAGTAAGGACACCTATGCGAAGTATGTGGAGAGCGCCATGCAGAGCATTCGGCAGTGCACCCTCAGGGGGCAGCTGGACTTCCAGTACTCCAAGACTCCACTGGACATTTCCGAAGTACGCACATGCTTTTCCATTTCTGTCGCTACATTGTGGACAGGCGTCAAAGTTGTCTAAAATTCAATTTACTTTTAATCTGACTTGCTACTGCATTTATCATACAGCTCCTAAGCCGAGTGAGTCCGTTTGCTGTAATACTGCTAAGCAGCTGGCAATGTGTGCTTCAAGTGCTTGATAAAAAAACATTTTTTGAACACTTCACTTCTACTTATAAAGTCTGAATTATGCAGTGTGCATTCTTGCACAGTCCGTACCTATATGTGTGTATGTTTGTTAAAATGTATGCGGCACTTTGGTCATACCTGACCAAGTCGTCCTACGTAGGACATGTAGGACAGTCTCAGAGTGGGTGCCACTAACGGTTGCCTTAGGCCATGTCATCACGTGACGCAGTGTTATGTGATGCTGTAGCGTCACGTGACATCATGCCACATAATTTAATGCGGACCAAGCAATATACAGTTAAACCTCGATGTAACGAAGTCGGTAAAATTCGCAATTTACTTCGTTACATTGAAATTTCGCTAAATCGAAATTTGGCTTTAGCATGCGAAAAAAAAATTCCGAAGCATTTTACGGGTATGAAAACTCACCGAAAATGACATTTATTTAGGGGCAAAGTAGTCCGCGAGTTTTGCTTGCGCCTTGTCCGACAGTAGCAGCAGTAGCAGCGGCGTCATACGGCGTTCGAGCGCCCAGAGCAATTCTTGCACGGCATCTTGCTGCCCATGCGACGCCGTGTACCTCCCGTATCTCCTCAGTACGTCCATTGCGTCGAGCACTTCCCGAGTGCTCGTGATCTCGGCAGTTTCTTCAGGATGGCGTCCAAAACGTTTGCTTTCTCATCCAAAGAAAGAACTTTACGTTTCCTTATGGCAGCAAGCACGTGAGTGAACCGCCCGGTTAAAAAATAAAGCTGTTTAGTTTAGGCGGTGCCAATGTTTCCAACCTACACAGCACTCTTGACCGCACAGTTTACTTGCCCCCTTGCGCCCACAGTGTACTTGCGCCTTTGCTTTACATCACGATCGCAAGACGATAATCGGTCTTCTCGGTCTTCTCCTAATGGCACTGCCCGTGCGGTCGCGCCATCGCGCCATCACGTCGCTCCCCCGCTGAAGTTGGCTCCCGCGCTACCCGCGGTACAGTGGACTATGATGATCAGTGAATGTCAGTGGTGATGCTGTTATGCCGTGTTCACTTTTTGCTCGGCATTTTCTGGCCAGCCCCGCGGAATCCGCCTTGCCGCATGCCTCGCCGGCGCTACCGGCGCCGCATCCTCGGGCAGCCTAGGAACGTTGGAAGGCCTGTCCCCGTGAAGTAACCTATCAAGCGCTCGCGTTTGCGCATAATTTTTTTTAACCACAATTTTTTTGCGAAGTTGTTTTTTAGAGTTGATTTATTTATTGCCTTCTATGGCAATGGCGCTTCGTTATATTGAAATAGCAGCAAAATAGACTTCGTTATATAGAGACTAAAAATACATGGGGTCTATGGGCAAGAAATTATGAAAAATAAAATACTTCGTTAAATCGAGGATTTCGTTACATTGAAGTTCGTTATATCGAGGTTCGACTGTATAATATTTTTCGGTTAAACTTAACCATTCACTAGTTGAACGCTTTGTTGTTACGTGGCGCTCAAGAGGCACAAACCATCGCCATTACACACTCCGAGTTTGCACTGATGAAGCATACCGTAGCCTTTTCTGTTACGATTGCCTTTAATTGTTCGTATTGTTACCCGGACAGGTGGAACCTGCCAAGGAGATCGTAAAGCGCTTTGTCACCGGAGCCATGAGCTTTGGAAGCATCTCCATCGAGGCGCACACGACGCTGGCCATTGCCATGAACCGTGCCGGAGGAAAGTCCAACACCGGCGAGGGCGGCGAGAATGCCGACCGCTGGGCGCTCCAGCATCCCGACAACAACAAGCGCTCTGCCATCAAGCAGGTAAGCGACGTGCGCGCGCTGGATTATGGAACTGGAAATGAGGCGGTCCAGCTGGATTCCAGCTGGACCCAGCTGGAATCCACCTGTACCGCCTCATTTCCAGTTCCATAATCCAGCTGGAAGTGGACTGATTTTCGCCTGGCGCGTCTTGCGCCAGGCGATCCGCTTATTGTGCATTAACGGTGGGAAGCAGAGTTGGTAACAGACTGAAATGAGCATTTACCATGGTTTTCTCTATTAAAGTGGCGAGAACGGGCGGGGATTTTTCTATTAAAATCGGTATCAAAGATAGATTACCTCGTACCCAGGCGAAAATTTTCAACTGGGACCAATTGGTCCCAGTTGCAACTGGTTTATGGAGCAATTCCCAGTTGCAACTGGTCCCAGTTCGAGTTGGTCCCAGCTGGAATTGGTCCCCGTTACAACTGGTCCCAGTTGGAGTTAGTCTCAGTTACCGCTGGCACCAACTCCAGCAACAATGAAACACGGCACAAAATGGAAGGTTGACAAGACTTTATTGTCAAAAACTTGAAGAATGAAACTAAATAATAGGTTCGGTGACGTACACGCTCCGGGTTTAGCCACTTGCTTGCGACGGTTGAATCGCTTTTTCTGAGATAGTATTTTCAGAGGTAGGTAGTATCGTGAGATGAAGGAAGATCGGCCGCTGGCGTCTGTTAGTGTAGACGTCCTCAGCTTCTCTCCCCATCGCGTGAAGAAAGGTGGTCACCTGTGTTCCCGCGTTGCGCAGGTGGGGTCCTGATAAGATGCGGTAGCGCTCCCACCTTGCAATCTCTGTCACAACAGTCGAACATTTTCGAGGTAGACCTCCCGCCATTTTCGCATTTGTGCTCTCCGCGGCGTTTTCTTTTCTGTCTTTCCTGGGTGCCCTCCGATCGCTGAACTGCATCTTTCCATCCTCGAAGTTCACCGCCGCCACCTGGTGTGTGTACAGTTAGGTCCAAAGAAGCGCAGCTGTAGTTTTGACATTTTCATAACGACGCCAACTTGGGCGATGGCGACTAATGGCGACCCTTCTCTACCGCGTCCGTCCGACTCCGGCATCAGCATAGGCAGCGCCATCTGTCGACAGCGCGTACCACTAATCCGCACCCGCGTGCTACGGCGGTCGGCTAGCTCCGACTAACCAAAAGATAAATTTATTTATTAAAAGAAAAAGAATACTGTAAGTGTTTAAATAAATGTTTTAATATATTTTAATGATGAACTAAATGTTCATTTGGGTGAACACATTTTGTCACTAATTATATTTTCCAATTAAAAAAATATTTAGTTAATTAAAATTTTTATATAATTTTTATAAATATATAAATGTACCGAGTAATTAAAAATTTCCCTATATGTATAAATCTAAAAATTGAAGTGTTTTTAGTTTTCTTCATTAGCAAAGGTCAATACACCCCAGCTTGTCAAAATTGTTGCCCCGTGTGAACTGGAAACGGAAAAGGCATTTGAAGTCCGACTGGGAATCGCTCCAACCAGTTACTTTCCTAGCTGGTTCCAGTTCACTTCATTCCCAACTGGGAGTCAAACCAGTTGACTCCCAACTGGGAATGGTTCAAACCAGTTGACCCCTCAGCCCGTCCCAGTTGGACTCCTATTGGTCCCAGTTCATTCCCAGTTGGTACCAGTTAGTCCCAGTCGAAACCAGTTGAGGTGCCAACTGGTCCCAGTTAGAAATTTTTGCCTGGGTAACTATTGTAGACACCGGAAGGCCCCGTCGGACGAGGAAAAGGGTCCAACTTGCCCTTTCTTTGACGGAGAGCGAGACGGGTGTCTTGTGGGATTATTTCAGGTGGCGTCAGGGAGGTTTGGAGTGACATCTGCGTACCTGGCCAACAGTGATGAACTCCAGATCAAAATGGCTCAGGGAGCCAAGCCTGGTGAAGGTGGAGAACTGCCAGGCTATAAGGTCAGCATGAGCTTCTAGCCTCTCGTCATCTCTCACTTGTCCAATGCATATTAGAAGGAGCTTCGCATTGCGACGTTGCGTGTTTGAAGAAAGGAAAAATTGCACGCTCTTCATATTTACTGTATTTGCAAGCACATTGAACCATTTTCTCAAAAACTGGGAACAGGACGCTAGTGACATTGTTTTGTCAACAAGTGCAGTTAAAGAACGGTCAACCACAAATTCTAAAGTGAAAAGTGCATAAGTAGTGTTTAGTTGTGCAATCGCATATGAATTGTTGCACACGTTGATCATTCTACTTGCTGTGAACTGTGAACCTGCTAGCTGTTTCTATGCTATGCTTTTGGAAAGGTTCCATTTTACATGATGCAAATGTTCATTTTTGTTAAGTGAGCAGAATTTCACTTCAGTCGTCCAGCTGTGCATCCCAGGCGAAAATTTTCAACTGGGACCAGTTGGTCCCAGCTGCAACTGGTTTATGGAACAATTCCCAGTTGCAACTGGTCCCAGTTGGAGTCGTCCAACTGGGATCAGTTGGTCCCAGTTGCAACTGGTTTATGGAACAATTCCCAGTTGGAGTTGGTCCCAGCTGGAATTGGTCCCAGTTACAACTGGTCCCAGTTGGAGTTGGTACCAACTCCAGCAACAATGAAACACGGCACAAAATGGAAGGTTGACAATACTTTATTGTCAAAAACTTGAAGAATGAAACTAAATAGCTTCGGCGACGTACACGCTCCGGGTTTAGCCACTTGCTTGCGACGGTTGAATCGCTTTTTCAGAGGTGGTATTCATGAGATGAAGGAAGAACGGCCGCTGGCGTCTGTTAGTGAAGACGTCCTCAGCTTCTCTTCCCATCGCGTGAAGAAGGGTGCTCACCCGTGATCCTGCGTTGCACAGGTGAAGTCCTGATAAGTTGCGGTAGCGCTCCCACCTTGCAATCTCTGTCACAACAGTCGAACATTTTCGAGGTAGACCTCCCGCCATTTTCGTCATTGTGCTCTCCGCGGCGTGTTCTCTTCCGTCCGGTCTACGTGCGTCCGGTCTTTCCTGGGTGCCCTCCGATCGCTGAACTGAATCTTTCCATCCTCGACGTTCACCGCCGCCACCGTGGTGTGTGTACAGTTAGGTCCAAAGAAGCGCAGCTGTAGTTTTGACATTTTCATAACGACGCCAACTTGGGCGATGGCGACCCTTCTCTACCGCGTCGCCGCGTCCGTCCGACTCCGGCGTCCCCGGCGTCAGCATAGGCAGCGCCATCTGTCGACAGCGCGTACCACTAATCCGCACCCGCGTGCCACGGCGGCCGGCTAGCTCTGATTAGTCAAAAGATAAATTTATTTATTAAAAGAAAAAAAAAAAAATACTGTAGGTATTTAAATAAATGTTTTAATATATTTTAATAATGCACTAAAAGTGTAAATGTAGGTGAACACATTTTGTCACTAATTATATTTTCCAATTAAAAATTATTTAGTTAATTAAAATTTTTATATTATTTTTATAAATATATAAATGTACCCCAGTAATTAAAATTCCCTATTTGTATAAATCTAAAAATGTTAGTGTTTTTAGTTTTCTTCATTAGCAAAGGTCAATACACCCCCAACTTGTCCAAATTGTTGCCCAGTGTGAACTGGGAACGGGAAAGGCATTTGAAGTCCGACTGGGAATCGCTCCAACCAGTTACTTTCCTAACTGGTTCCAGTGCACTCCATTCCCAACTGGGAGTCAAACCAGTTGACTCCCAACTGGGAATGGTTCAAACCAGTTGACTCCCAACTGGGAATGGTTCAAACCAGTTGACCCCTCAGCTGGCCCCAGTTGGACTCCTATTGGTCCCAGTTGATTCCCATTTGGGACCAGTTAGTCCCAGTTGATTCCCAGTTGGGACCAGTAGTCCCAGTTGAAACCAGTTGAGGTGCCAACTGGTCCCAGTTAGAAATTTTCGCCTGGGATTCTTCCCTCCTGCCGGGAAATCGTCCAGATAATTAGGTTTATTCAATGTGCCAAGTTTCAAGGTTCTTTTTTGTACTTTTACTAAGGGATCATACCTGTGTCAAAAAGACTTTATGGTTTACAAGACACTTATATAAACTGCTCAGCTCGATATACTCCATCTGTAAGTAATCCACAGGTATGAATTAATCATACTGAAATTGCGTGAGTGTAGGTTTTTGTACAAAAATGCAGGAAAAGAAAAACTTGATATTGTCACTAATGACAATTGATGAGGCAACAATTGACAGAAGAAAACTTAACATTTACTGCATGCGCAAACATGTGCCCGAAACAAGATAGAAGAAGGCTAGTGTCATATTTAGCACGTACCTATGAGCACCACTGACAAGGAACAGTGATGCCTGGCTAGAGCGCATAGCTGCGGAGCATGGATTGTGCACTACGAGTGACCGACGATGGAAGCCAGGCGCTCATGTTCTGGGCAAAATAAGCCTAAGAGTATTCGGGCTGTGGTGACCATCACTGCACGAATACGACAGCTAGAGTCATTGGCAGCCTAAAGTGTGATCCAAACCAAGCCGCAAAACAGGAGAAAACGGGTTGCGGAGAAATTCGGTGGAAGAGGAGCAACGTAAACAGTCACGTGAATGTGACGTTTTGCGGCTCCTGCTTTGCCGTCCAAAGCTGAAAATATCCATCTTCTCCCGTCGTCTCCGGAGAGCCCTCTCAGTCAAGCAGGGGAAAGCGGTCCACCCTCGCCTTCCTCGCAAACCTTGGGAAGGGGGGGGGGGTGGGAGTGGGGGTGTGGGTGGGGGTGCGGTGCAGTGCAGTGCGCTAATTGCTTTTTGGGAACCCAGCAAAAGGAGGAAGGATTAAGAAACAGTTGCTTCTGCTGTATTCTCGTCCACGAAGCCACTCATAAATCCCACAAAGGGTGCCTTCACTCCCTCTCCCGCCCATCGTGCGCATTTTTCCCTGTCCCTCTCAACCTTTACGTCTCCGACGTCTTAGCGAGCTGTTCTCCAAATTCTTGCCTATACTTGTGCTCTTGTGCACTCCCGCACGCTTCTGGGCTAAAACGGCAGCCGGACGTTATAATAAAAAAAGAAAAACAGGTGCTGCCTGTTTCATTTTTGCGGGCCCGTTTTGCGACTTGCGACCCTGCGTAGCAGCAGGATCGAGCGCTGGGGTGAGACTGCCTTCGACTCGTCACGTGGAGCCCCTTATGTACACACATGGGTTCCTGGGACACTCAACATAAGACATTCAGTGTGTAGAACATTCTTACCTCAATCGGACAACGAGGTTCCCAAACTTACGAGAACGCTAAATTGAAAGAATAAATAAAAGAAGAATCCGCTCCCAGGAATCGAAGGCCTCCGCGTAAAAGCCAAGCACGGTAACCATTCGACCATGCACGCACGCGCTCGTTCGGCGACACGCGTGGCAATATTTCCTATGCAACAAAAAAAAGAGAGAACAAACCATCTGGTGGTTGATGATGTGTGTATTGTAACCACACACGCTTGGATCTGCTGGATCTGCTTTAGGGTGTTCATCTTTAGGAAGCTTTCAAGGTTTTGTACCTTGATGTGCCAAATGTGAGTAGCAGTGTCAACCTGACGGTTTGCTTCTAGTTTCCTCCCACGCATAGAAAGATTTCATTTTCTTATATTGTCACGGGTGGTGACTAATAAACAAGAAATAAACAGGAATAAATAAACGTTTAATGTGGCGAACTTGTGCCAAAAATAAAAGGGTACAAAAGAAAGATAACAACAGAGCGTCGCGGGCGTCGAAGGCGGCGAAGCAGCACGATCAAACGCTGAGGCGAGACTGACTCGACAAGGTCGCGGGCGGCCTCTTATCTAGAGTACGTCGCTATCTCGAAGATTCGGCGAAAGCGGCTCGAGCGTCGCGTGATCGGGGCGAGAATGAACACGCACTTTCTAGAAAACAAAAGCAGAAGATACATGGATATAAATAATAGAAGTTAGGTGCGTGCGCTACATGAATAAACGGGAACTTTCTGGAGGTCCGTGACCGAGCGTTGCTTCCTCAGCCCTGCGCGCGGCATTACTCCCCCCTTTAAAAGTGCATCGCCCCAATGCAGTGTAAAACAAAATAAAAAAGAACGATAAACTCAAGAGTCTTTTGGAGCATGCACATAAAGTCCACAGTCCTATCGAGCGTAGTACGGCTTCAGGCGCACGACGTGGACGACCTCAGGTCGTGGTGGGCGGCGTGACGATGTTCGTGTTCCGTCGGGCATCACCTCGTAGTTCAGCTCGCCGAGGCGACGAAGTACCTTGTATGGTCCAAAGTACCGTTTCAGCAGTTTCTCACTGAGGCCGCGGCGACGGATGGGCGTCCAAACCCACACCCTGTCTCCGGGCTGGAAGTGAACGTCCCTGCGACGAAGGTTGTAGCGGCCCGCGTCGGCGCGTTGCTGGTCTTGAATCCTGAGTCGGGCGAGCTGGCGGACTTCTTCGGCCCGTTGAGCAACCACCTGGGCGTCGTCGCTCTCACTGTCAGCTGGCTCATGGGGCAGCATCGCGTCCAGCATGGTCGTTACTTTGCGCCCATGCACCAGTTGAAAGGGTGTCACTCCGGTAGTCTCTTGTACGGCCGTGTTGTAGGCAAATGTGACGTACGGCAACACCTCGTCCCATGTCTTGTGCTCCACGTCGACGTACATGGAGATCATGTCGGCGATGGTTTTGTTGAGTCTCTCCGTCAGCCCGTTGGTCTGCGGGTGGTACGCCGTGGTGCGACGATGGCTGGTGTGGCTGAGACGAAGGACTTCTTGCGTCAGCTGGGCCATGAATGATGATCCACGGTTTGAGATCAGGACTTCGGGAGCGCCATGCCGGAGGACAATGGACTCGATGAAAAACTTGGCGACTTCAACAGCCGTTCCTGATGAAAGGGCTTTTGTCTCGGCGTACCGCGTGAGATAATCGGTTGCGACGATTATCCATCGGTTTCCTTGCGTCGACGGTGGGAAAGGTCCGAGTAAATCCATACCGATTTGCTGGAATGGGGCAGATGGCGGCGCAATAGGCTGAAGAAGTCCTGCCGGTCTCGTCGGTGGCTTCTTCCTTCGTTGACACTCGTGGCAAGATCGGGTGTAGTGGTGTACTGTCTTCGCAAGCTTGGGCCAGTAGTACTTTTCGCGTATCCTCGCAAGAGTCCTGCTGTAACCAAGGTGTCCCGCCGTCGGGTCATCGTGGCAGGCTTGAAAAATTTCTTCTCGAAGACTGGAAGGGATCACCAACAGCCACGCCGTGTTGCTGTCGCTGAAGTTCTCCTTGTACAGTACGCCTTGTCGGATGGAGAAGGTTGGCAGTGTTCGAACAAAACCGCGGGGAACGGCGCTTCCTTGCCCCTCTAGGTGTGCGATGAGTGCTCGCAGCTCAGGGTCGTCTCGTTGGAGTGCTGCCATGTCGCTTACATCCAGAGCGCCGAGGAAACACTCATCGTCGTCCTCTTTGGTGCAGGCAGGACCGGCCTCGACTGGGGCCCTTGACAGGCAGTCGGCGTCATTGTGCTTCCGGCCGGACTTGTACACCACGGCCATGTCGAACTCCTGCAGTCGTAGGCTCCACCGAGCGAGGCGTCCGGAGGGGTCCTTCAGATTCGCCAGCCAGCAGAGCGAGTGGTGGTCTGTGATTACGCGAAAAGAACTTCCATACAAATATGGGCGAAACTTTGTTATTGCCCATACGACAGCGAGGCACTCCTTTTCGGTCGTTGAATAGTTCCTCTCCGCTTTAGAAAGCGTCCGACTTGCGTATGCGATAACTCGCTCGGCTCCGTCCTGCACTTGGACTAGTACCGCACCCAGTCCGGTGTTACTGGCGTCGGTGTGGATCTCGGTTTCAGCAAACTGGTCGAAATGGCCAAGAATCGGGGGCGTCTGGAGTCTTCGTTTGAGCTCGTCGAATGACCTCTGGTGTTCTTCTGTCCACTCGAACTTTACGGCGTCCTTCGTGAGGTGTGTCAGCGGTGCGGATAGCTTGGCGAAGTCTCGAACAAAGCGCCTGTAGTAGGCACAGAGTCCGAGAAATCTTCTCACGGCCTTCTTGTCAGACGGCGGCGTAAATGCAGCTACGGCGCGGGTCTTCTCGGGGTCAGGTAGAACACCCTTGTTGTTCACGACGTGGCCAAGGAACTTTAGTTCCCCATAGGCGAACCGACACTTTGTTGGCTTGAGTGACAGGCCGGCGGTCTTGATGGCTTGAAGCACGGCTCGAAGTTGTCTGAGGTGTTCGTCGAAATCTCGTGAGAATACCACGACATCGTCCAGGTAGACGAGGCAGCTCTGCCATTTCAGACCTGCCAGCACGGTGTCCATGACGCGCTGGAAGGTGGCTGGTGCTGTACAAAGTCCGAACGGCATCACTTTGAATTCGTATCGTCCGTCGGGAGCGACGAAGGCAGTTTTCTCCCGGTCACGTTCGTCGACTTCAATCTGCCAATAACCACTCTTCAGGTCCATCGACGAAAAATATCGGGAGTGGCGCAGTCGGTCTAACGTATCATCGATGCGGGGGAGCGGATAGACGTCCTTCTTTGTCACGGCGTTCAGTCGACGATAGTCCACGCAGAACCGCAGGGTTCCGTCCTTCTTCTTTACAAGGACGACTGGGGACGCCCATGGGCTCCTTGAGGGTTGAATGATGTCGTTGTCGAGCATCTCCTGGACTTGATCTTGAATCACTTTCCTTTCCTTTAAGGAGACCCGATACGGCGACTGGTGGACAGGAAGTGCGTCGTCGTCGGTAACAATGCGATGTTTCGCCATTGGTGTTTGGCGAATCTTTGATGTCGTGGCAAAGCAGTCACTGTATTCGGCAAGGAGATCAATCAGTTGCCGGCGCTTCGTAGCTGGGAGCTCGGGGTCAATGTCGAGCGGCGGCGGCGTCGTGCTTTTCTGCTGTGGCGACGAGGTTTCCTCGGAGATTGCGGTGACCACCGCTGGCGCTTGAAGCTCCTCGACGTGGCCCACGGTGGTACCCTGTGTTAGGTGCTGCGGCTCCTCTCGAAAGTTTGTCACAAGAACAGTTGTACGTCTTTCTTGGAGATCCGTTACGCCTCTTGCGACGCCAATTCCTTTTTCGAGGAGCAGTTGGACGCTGCCTTCCAGAAGAGCTTCACCGTGCATGGCGGCGTCGGCCATAACGGTGACGAAAACACTCGACCGCGGCGGTAGGTTCACATGGTCGGCGATAACTCAGATCGCGGTTGATGTTGTGTTGGTCTCCACCGGCGGTAAAACAGGTTTCCGCAGCGTCAACTGGTTTGCCCCGAGGTCGATGACGGCGCCATACTCGCAGAGAAAGTCCATTCCGAGGATAACGTCCCTCGAACATTCTTGCAGAACGACGAACTTCACAGGGCACGTTTCACCGTGGATCTCGACGCGAGCAGTGCATCTCCCGACTGGCGTGATGAGATGTCCTCCGGCGGTTCGTATTTGGGGTCCATCCCACGGCGTCATGACTTTTCGCAGGCGGCGAGAGAGCCTCCCACTCAAGACTGAGTAGTCTGCTCCGGTGTCCACGAGTGCCGATGAGTCGAGGCCGTCAATAACAACGTTTAAGTTGTTGGACACCGAAGCAGGAGCGTCGTTGTGATGCGTATCGTCGGGAGAGTGGGAGCGCTCCGTCGTTCGTGGAGGCTCTTTACGTCGGTCGTCTTCGGCAACTCCACCTCCAGGGGTTGCCGCGCCTAGTTTCCCCGGCGAGGAGCGAGGGGCGACAGGCTTTCACGTCGGGGTCGGTGCATCGGCGAAGCTGGACGTCGCGGTGACGGCGACCGGAACTCTCGGCGGGACGCAGGCTCGGGGGACTGGGGTCGTCGCAGGTACTCGTCGATCTCCCAAGGGCGTTCACCATACCGGGGGCGCGGGTCGCTTGGGTGGAATCCGCGCAGCCCGAGTCGACGGTATGGGCATCGGCGGTAGGTGTGGTCTGCCTCCCCGCAGTGGAAGCACAGAGGGCGTCGGTCGGGCGTTCGCCACACATCGGTCTTCCGGGGTGCACGGGGCTCCTGGCTGGCGTACTGGGGCTGGTCGTCGTGGCGTCGGTCGTGCTGCGGCGCAGGAGACTGGCGTCGGGGCGGCGCGACATAGGCGCGAGGAGGAGGCGGTGGCCGTCGGGCCACTGCGGCGTAAGTTAGCGCGGGTTCTTCGGAGACTGCTGCGCTGATAGGAGTCTCTGGTTGAATGGCTCTCTGCACCTCTTCCCGCACGACCTCAGCGATGGAGAGCGAAGCTGGTCGGTCCGCGGCGGGTAGTAGCTTTCGCAGCTCCTCCCGGACGACGTCGCGAATGATCTCGCGAATGCTTGGGATGCTGGACACAAGGTCGCAAGCGGACGGCGGAACCGCGCTGACGCCGGGTAGCCTCTGGTAGTGGCTGGCTCGGGCTTGCAGGGCACGCTCGATGTTCGTTGCCTCGGCGACAAAGTCTTCGACAGTTGTCGGAGGGCTGCGGACAAGGCCACCAAAGATGTTTTCTCTCATGCCCCGCATGAGGATTCGTAGCTTCTTCTCCTCTGTAGCCCGAGGGTCGGCGCGGGCGCTCAGGCGCAGGACGTCCTCTACGAAGCCGGTGACACTCTCGTTGGGGCCCTGGGTTCTGGTTCGCAGTAGGTCCTCGGCTCTCTCTCGGCGGTGGTGGTTGATGAAGGTAGCCTTGAGATCGTTCTTGAAAATGTCCCACGACGTCAGGGAGGACTCATGATTCTCGTACCAGTGCTTGGCAGTCCCCTCAAGCGAAAAATAGACATTGTGTAGGCGCTGCTCGTCTGTCCAGCAATTGTGGCGGGCAACGCGTTCATACTGGTCAATCCAGTCTTCGACGTCTTCGTACTGCTCGCCGTGGAATGGAGCCGGTGTCCGAGGAGCGACGGGTAGGTAGACGACGGCAGGAGCGGCGGGGGTCTGCGACTGGTTGGCCATCGTCGGCTGCCTGGTCCTGGGTGGTAAAGGTCCGTATTCCGGGTGTAGCCCTTGGGTTCGGCGACTTGATCGAGTCTCGATCTGGTCTTCGTTGGGTCCTCGGGAGCTTGGGTTCGGACTTGCAGTGCGGGAACTTGGGGGGCTGCGCTGCACGAACATGCGGTACCCCGCACCTCCACCAAAATGTCACGGGTGGTGACTAATAAACAAGAAATAAACAGGAATAAATAAATGTTTAATGTGGCGAACTTGTGCCAAAAATAAAAGGGTACAAAAGAAAGATAACAACAGAGCGTCGCGGGCGTCGAAGGCGGCGAAGCAGCACGATCAAACGCTGAGGCGAGACTGACTCGACAAGGTCGCGGGCGGCCTCTTATTTAGAGTACGTCGCTATCTCGAAGATTCGGCGAAAGCGGCTCGAGCGTCGCGTGATCGGGGCGAGAATGAACACGCACTTTCTAGAAAACAAAAGCAGAAGATACATGGATATAAATAATAGAAGTTAGGTGCGTGCGCTACATGAATAAACGGGAACTTTCTGGAGGTCCGTGACTGAGCGTTGCTTCCTCAGCCCTGCGCGCGGCAATATTTTTCCGGAGAAACCTGCACTCACAAAAGTTTAGCACAATAAATGTACCATGTAAAAACACCTTCGTTAAAAGTTTCATTGCCCTTCCTTTCTTTGGCTTATTTATAGAAAAAAGATTGTACACCCAAGCAGCGCTCAGAAACACCCTGTAAAATCGTTCGCCTTAAATTTTTATTGGTGATTATTTTCGGTGACCCGCTACTCACACACGCTGCTCATTGCAGGTGACCCAAGACATTGCCAAGACGCGACATTCCATCCCCGGAGTGGGACTGATCAGCCCCCCACCTCACCACGACATCTACTCCATCGAGGATCTGGCTGAGGCAAGCTCAGTTTGAGGAATCATTGTCATACAGTGGAAGCTTTTGTCAGGACTGATATGGTAAAGCTATCGGTACAGTGAAGCGAAGTCGAAGTACAGGTGGAATGGGCATTCAATGCAGGGATATAGTGAAAGTTTACTGATGTAGTACAAATTCCCAAAACTTCCAAGAGCCGTGGGAGGGGGGGGGGGGAGGAGAAGTTAAATTCTTGTCTAGAGCAATAAGCGAAACTTGAACTTCTTCCAATCTATCCGATTCAAAAGCAGTCCAACTGTAGTATAAGACTACCAAGCTGCAACCTGTCTTTCGATTTAAAACGCGTTCCATTTCTCTTTTTGGGAAAGTGCTCGTGTGACCGGGAGGGAAGCGGGGGAGGAAAAGGGGGGGGGGGGAAGGTATGTCACTCAAAGAGCCGCAGCTTGGCCACCCCTGGACTATGTTACAGCTCACATGAATTCGCAGATACTGTATTTACTCGAGTAATAGCCGCTCTGTTTATGAAGAAAACCTGAGGGTTCGCTTTTCCGTGGAGCACACAGAGTGCCAATCACCGCGTTTAACAGCATGATACCAGCTGTTCACAGGACAGAGATAATGTCTGCGTGCCAAGATACTATCTTTGAAGATTGAATTTGTATGGAGAATCATATTCTTGATCTGGTTATTCGGTATGTTATTTATGTGCAACGCAATGATTATCTGTATATGTGTTCTGTGAGAAAGTAGATGCAAGGGCCTTGTTCATAAATAGTGCGGCTATTACCCGAGTAACCCAGGCGAAAATCAGTCCACTTCCAGCTGGATTATGGAACTGTAAATGAGGCAGTGCAGCTGGATTCCAGCTGGACCCAGCTGGACCCAGCTGGACCCAGCTGGAATCCAGCTGGACTGCCTCATTTCCAGTTCCATAATCCAGCTGGAAGTGGACAGATTTTCGTCTGGGAAATACGGTAATCTGTGTTGGTTGGAAAGTTGCACACTGGCAAAGCAGGCTTAAATACCAGAAACTAAAGCGTGACGTTACCAAACGTAAAATTTGCCATTTTGCATGCAAAACACTAAGCTGTGCTTTGCTTTTTAATATTATTTGTTTAATTCAAAGAGAAGGGTAACAGATATACCTGGTGTTCCATTTTAAATTGAACAGATTTATTTTAAAAAATCCATAAAAGATGCACTAATACGGTTTGTGCAGGTGAGTTGTATGGCTAGAGGGACATTATGTGGGTGGCTAATCTTTGCGATAAGTCGGCTAATTAATTATAATTCGTTAATTAACTTTTTTAATTAGTGAGAATAGACATATGGTTTCGATTCGGAACTTACTGAGCGTCATCAAAAAACACTAAATCAACTCTTTCTTGGACGACTTGAAGCTCGTGGGAAACTCGGGGGCGCACCAAAGTCACCGCTCATGCAGCAAGTGCAAAGCTAGCAGAGGCAGAATGCGGATGATTAGAGAATCATCGCGTTCTAGGTATGCATCCCTCAGCATGCATACCTTGTTTTCATGTCAAAATGAATGTCACAAAATATTTATATGCTTCTTTATTTCAGTTCTAAATGAAGCCTTGAGTCAACCACATCTAGGTGTAGAGCACAGCAAAATGGATGACTTGGTTAGCTTCCATCAACGATGAGCAGCCTTGACCGACTCTTGATTTCATTGTGGCCGGTTCTTGTCGTTTCTCATTAACCGAGAGCGTGTATCAATGACTTAAGGAGAAAAGAATTGCTACACTGTGACAGAAATTAGTTTTTCTCGTTCTAATGTTGGCTCCTTCCTTAGCATGAAAGCAAAGCAAAATTATCAGTATCATCTCAAAACAAATCGTCTTTTTGAAAACTTGTCTAGGCTCTCGCAATGACCACATTCAAAATTGTCTTGGGGAATGTTCACTGACAGAATTGGAGCTGTATAAACAATAGACCATAGCATCTTTAGTGCACCTTTACGAGCGCCTAGCCAGAAGAAGAAAGTGCCTGTAGATTAGGCACAGGAATCAAGTAACTTGATAGCAGCTAGCAGTTGCCATAATTTTAGTGCTTGAATGAAACTGAACTTCCCATCTGAGCACTTACCACATATTACAAATGCAAAGCCATTATCTGATTTTAAAATCTTTTTTTACAGAAATTGATTTAATTCTCTTGTCTGACATGTCCAGTTGTTTTATTCATTTTCTGCAGCTGATCTACGACCTGAAGTGTTCCAACCCATCTGCCCGCATCTCTGTCAAGCTGGTCTCCGAGGTTGGTGTGGGAGTGGTGGCTTCAGGAGTAGCCAAGGTTTGTGGAACTCAGCTGAACCTAGCTTGTTTATTAACATTTGCCTGATGCCTATTTCAAGTCAGTCTCAGTGAATGTAGGACCACAAATACAGTTCTTACGCTGGTTCTGCCTCTAATGACTGGAGGCTGAAGAATTAACCGTACGAGCTAAGAGGCAAAGCCCCCAGATAAATCTGTTTCGTGAAGAGCAGCGTGTGTTAAACGCTAGAAGACTAAGCCTGAGCAGCAACAACCTCATGTTTCGCCTTTAATTTCAGCATGTCCCTGCGTTGCACTTTATTTGCTATGTACATTTCTTAAGCAGATACAAAGAGCAGCTGAATTGAGCCATTTCCACATTGAACGCCAACTTTGCACAGTGATTGCTGTTTTCTTGCATCTCTTTGTTCAAGAACTGTTTCCTAAACATTTATATTGCGAGCCTTTTTATGAATCTGCCAATCAAGCACTTGTATGTATCGAAGGTTTCCCTAAACTTTAGTATTGTGTAGATTTCACACAAGTACAAATGAGAACTTTTGTCCCGCTAGTGCTCAATGTATTCTTTGACATGCTCTAAATTCCTTTTTCTTTTATATAGGTTTAGTGTTTCACAAATATTTGCAAGTGAGAGCTGTAGCAATATTTTGCAGGCGCATAATTGTGCAACTGGAAGTGGTGTGCCACATACTTGATACTATGAAGTGATGTGTTTGTGGGAAAAAATTGTAGAGCCCATCCACTTCATGTGAAGATGGAGGACCAGCGAAGCTGTTATCTTTACGGCAACTTTTTCGACATCTATACAACTTACATATGATTGCAATGAAGACACGTACACGACTTCATTGTTTAATTGTCTTTTTTCCGATTTAGCCCAAGTCTCTTTATCAGCATCGCGGAAGCGAAAGAAAAGAAAAGGCGTGTTCTGCCCTCCACCTCGTCACAGCGCACTCTTAGCTGAGATAATTCGGTGGCCGTAGATGATAATAAGGAATCAGGACCTCGCTATCTAATAGAATGCCAAGGAAGGCTGACTCACGCGGGTTGCTCCCTCTTTTTATTTATACTTGCCACGACCAATTGGAACAAAGGAGCGCCGTTTAATTGCGAGTTTTTTTTGTTAACATCCGTGGACGCATTTTTTTTCCAGATCCTAGCACATAACAGCTTCGCTGTAAAATTTCTCGCACTATTCAAATTATGAAATTTGCCAAATTTTGTTTTTTTGCAAAAATTAAGTTAATAAATAGCACTTTAATATTATTCTTATTATTATTAGTTATTATTGCATGGCTGGCAATTTCGTGGTCTCCTTGCACACTGGGTACAGCGTCGTATCAGCGAGGATGTAAAGTACTTGAATGCGGCGGCATCTGCTAGTGGTAGCAATGGCTGCCTTGCCTCTTCTTTGACTGTTGGAAATTCACAGATTCTTTACCAATGAGAAAGGCTTTAGAGGAAGGCACCCTTCTAAGAAATGGTGCACCATTTTCTAAGGAACATTTAGAAGGGTACATTGTTTTCGTTGAGCAACAACCATTAAACGCGCTTCAAAGAACGAAGCATTCGCGTCCCAGACGTTGTTTCTTATCCACTGAGGAGACTACCATTTTGCTGGGGAAAAACTTTGTTGCACGGTTAATCACCCCCTCTCACCATTTCGCGCCTCCCGTCTGATGTGTGGAACAATGCTACGATATCTGGAGCAAGTCTTCGAGCAGTGGGCACAGCGTACCATACTGCCCACGCATCGAAACTTGTCCCGAAGTGGCGACGAATGATGTTGGAGGAGCCACCATGTCATTGCGGTGTTTGACAAGCCACGCTGTCGGACATCGCGATCCGGCAAAAAGTTGGAGCAAACGTGAGCGTCATGGCGTCCCAACCCCTAGCTGCCAAAACTTCCGGGGACTGTCAAGCCGGAGCGTGACCCGCGGCAGAACGGGCATCTTTTGCATCATGGTGTTAGGAAGCTTCTGAAGGCGAGATGAAGCCACCAGAGGTGAAGCCAGAAGTGGGGAGGGACTTGTCCCCAACGATGACCAAAACCAGGAGATGCTATTGAACGAAAAAAGAGCTCACTTGGCGCCAATAGCGTCTCTTGGCTTTGGTCGTCATTGGGTCGTGTCCCTCCACAGTTCTACCTTCACCTCTGGTGGCCTCCTGTCACCTCCAGGAGTTTTCCACCTCCACACTTTAAGCGCACCAGTCGGAGACGTGCTCCAGGTACCACAGTGGCGTGTTTTGGTCGACTGGTTCGCCGCATCGTCATTGCAGTCTGCTCTGCTCGACGCACGTTTCCTTTGGCGACTGCAGGGCAAGGCGGAGCACATCACCATCTCGGGCCATGACGGGGGCACGGGAGCAAGCAGCTGGACAGGCATCAAGGGGGCGGGGCTCCCCTGGGAGCTGGGCATCGCAGAGACGCACCAGACCTTGGTGCAGAATGACCTACGCTCGCGCGTCGTGCTCCAGGCGGACGGACAGATTCGCACCGGTGAAGCCACACTTGCCACGGCGCTCTGGATGGGCGGACCCAGTGTGCCCACAGTCTTGTCAGTGGGAGCACAATGTGTAGTGGCCGTTCTCATCTTGCCAGGAGAAGGGAGTGTTTAGCGGATCAATCTATTAGAGCGAGAGTAATAGTCGACATTGTGGTCCTACCGACTTGGCTTCTGGCGATTTCGGTCAGCCCTTGTTTCGGGTTGTACTCTATTGTCTGCAGTGATGTCGCAGCTATGACGAACCTGCACAATGTTGCGGTGTTTGCATGATTGCTTCCGGGGAGTTTGACTTGGGATGGAAATACTGAGAAAATGTTGATAGGGGCAGAAAAGAGTTAATTTTAAAAAATGTGGGCTTGAGTGTAGCTTAATCTAGTGTTAGAACATTCTTGTGTCGTCCGAGGCACATCCAGCAAATTTAGCATAAAGGAAGAAGACTCGTCTAGGAAGGAATTGCAAAACTCGAGAAGGGAGAAAACAGAGAACATGCTTAAAGAACTATAGTATACAGCAAGATTGAATATCAAAGGAATTCAGCCCTGTTCTGTTACTGTTAAATGTTCATTTATTAGCCCTCTACTTTTCTATTTCTCAATTGTTTGAAGTTTTTTTTTTGTCACATACGTTTAAACAATTGCTTACATATTCATAATGTTTGCACTAGTTGTTTGATTCCAGTAAGACCTTCCCTGTTGCCTCAAAGAAGGAAACACGATTCACTTGTGTTTCTTTTTTCTAAAGTAGAAGTTTGGGCTAGTTGGTATTTCATGATTAAAGATTAAAACAGCGCAAGGACACGGACAAGAACAAGAAGGTAGACAAACAAGGCGCCTTGTTTGTCTACCTTCTTGTTCTTGTCCGTGTCCTTGCGCTGTTTTAATCTTTAATTATTCTTTTTTCTGCAATTATATGCCCAGAGCCTATAGTTAAATTAGTACAATAACACAATGTTTAACATAGAAGCGGAGAACTACTTGAAGAAGAATCCCCAAATTTTGTGCACTAAATGTTCAACGAACGAGGAAAGAAAAAATTAATTTCATTTTATAGTCCTGGGTGCTGAGGGACGAGCAGTATGAAAACTCATCCAAAAGTCGAATGATGGGACTTGCCTTTTTTGCTGAGTAGATCATATGGGACCCTGTAGTGTATAAACTCTGACCTGTTTTCTTTTCCCGCCGACCCGTTCTGTGCCTTCAGGATTCGACGTGTTAATAGCTTCCATTCTGGGAGCGGATGAGTTTGGCTTTTCCACGGCCCCACTCATTGTCATGGGGTGCACCATGATGCGGAAGTGCCACCTCAACACGTGTCCGGTGGGAATCGCCACTCAGGTGAGCATTCTTGCCGGTAGGCGCAGGTTGTTCGAATGTTGCCTTTCCTAATGGTAGGCAAACTACACTCTATGTATAGTGAAATATAGATCTGCAGTTGGCTAACTTGTCTTCAGATTTTCAAAACGCTCCAATAATAATCATAGGGCAACTGAAACACTACAAAGCCTATATTCCGTTCCACCATAAATTGCCGAATGACGACAGCTACAGTCTAAGCTCATTACAACAGAACTGGTTACTACAGACATTTGGATATTAGCGGCGAGATGTTTTGGTGGCGCCCTCCTATGGTTCCCCCTTGTGACGTCATTACCTTGCGAACAACAAGTTCGATGGTGTTTGTAAATAGCACGGTGGAAGCCTGAAATCATTGCGCTCTCAAAGCAACACTGCCAACACCGTCGAAATTAAAGTTCTTTCATTCCTCTTATTTCCGTTGATGGTATACCCTTTCCGACGTCATAGTCAGCTTTTGGGCCAATTGTGGAAGGCCGACCACAGCGACGCTTTCGGTCGCGCACGTCGCCAATAACATACCGACTTGTGAAGTTCGGTTGGTTTTCCTCTGTGTACTACTGACTCAACTTTATATCTGCATACAACATACTCCTTTTACAACAGACCAAAATCTTGGGTCAAAATTTAAGTCTGTTATAACGAGCTTAGACTGTACGACCCCAACCATTCAAAACGCCGCAGAGAGGCATATCACAGCAGATTGTTGGAGTTCACCTTCCCTGCGGAGAGTTGCTTTCCTCCGCCATCTTGATTGGCTTGAGGCGGCCATAGCATTCACACTTCACCAAGTTAGACTGGAATAGAGTATGGTATACCACGTTTCACAAACTGTTGGAGTATGGTATACCACATCTTAAAAACTGTTGCGAGTACTACTGTAGAAGGTCTACTAGGCATAAGGAGGTATACCATAGCAAGGCGATTTGCTTATCCAAGCACTCGCATAAGGAAAGCGTCGGGCTCTTCTAAACGTGTTGCGTGTTTCCCCGACTCCTAGGACCCCGAGCTGCGCAAGAAGTTTGAAGGTAAACCCGAACACGTGGTCAACTACCTGTTCCTCCTGGCTGAAGAGGTTGGTACCACACTCTTAGTCGGATCTCTTTGTGGCTGGGCACCGGCGGGCCGTGTGGTCGCCGCTCGGAGGAGAGGCGATTCGGGTCCCGTCCCCGCTCCAAACGCCAGCACGCTGGTTGCCTTCGGTGCGGGGTCTCTGTGCTTCTGTTGGCGACGTTTACATGCTGACACGGTTCAGTGAACTGGAAAAGGACTGCCCCTGGCTCTCATTTATGATGCAGTCTTAAAACTATGCACCTTTGGCATGGCCTGCCGAAGTGTACGATGAAAAATTGTAATAGTCCTAACCCAATTCTTATACCCTAGTATAACAATTGGCTGACCCTTTGAAAATTATCAGATAGGAAAAAGTTGTCGCAGATGGTCGACCTCGATAGAGGAGGGTTTTGTGGTGTGCAAATCTTGTTACTAATTTTGTTGCCATTCAGACGTGTTATCATAGGTCATATATAATTGACTAAGTTTCTCGGTATTTTTTGTAATGTTTTGGTTACAAACGTAAAGTAAGATGCTTCTTTCATGCAGTTTATTAGATATCCTAGCCTTTATCTGTAACGGAGGTATCCTTGAAGAAAAAACATGCTGAGGTTGCTGAACGTTAAAGGTGACCACGCAACTGGGTCATCGTGAGTTATAAAACACTTTGCCTTGTTAAGACTCACTCTTCCTTGGAGTCTTTGTAAGGTTTGGTAGTAGCCATATTGGAGTGCTTCGCTTTTATCTACTAAAATTATTGTGCCCACTATAGTGGTGCCCTACATGCACAGGGAAAGCAATTACAAGGTACATAAATACCATAGTTTTAGGGTGCATATATTGCAGGAGAAATGCTCAGCTGTAATTTTTTGCATGTTTAATTCTGCATTTTTGTATCTGAACATTGAAGAATCGTTTCAAAACATGCCTATGGCAGAGAGCTTTTGTGTGCAAAGCTCACCATGCTTCTATGTCGTGAATCTAGATTTAGCAAGCCATGTGAAATGTGTACCTTTTAATGGTTGCATCCTTTACCTACTTCTACTCTGGCATTCTGCACTTGTGGCACTAACACTGAAATGAGGTAGGGAGAAGTTGGAGGCTGAAAATGTGTTATCGAGATGGCTTATTGTCAGACAACCTTACAAGTGCAAGCTGCCATGCTGCTAAGAGATGTACAGAAGCAGTCATGTCTTGGTAGCATGCCAGCTACCATTTTGATGGTTTTCCAGGGCTTTTCACTAGCTCACCAGTGATGCATATCTCTGTCTCCAGCAGAGAGTATCGTTATCAAAAATCAGCCATTGTCAGTATGTGAATGTACGTCTACATGTTGTCTGTATTTGTTTTAGCTTTTAATATTGATTCCTTTGTCTGTGAAAACATTTCAAGTGCTTTAACAACTAGTCTTTTGTTTTGTACAGAGGGGAGATAGTGTACGTAGTTAACGACTCCGAGAAAATTTTTTAACGGCAGCTTTTTCTGGCGTTTAGTTATTAGGTAAATGATCCAGAGTTCATTTGTCAATCAAGATATGCATTCTGTGGTTTGGTTCTATCGTTCATCATTTGTGGTTGAGTCTCGCTTATAGACCCTAGTGCTCACCTTGTCATTTTCCTACCAATATACTTAGCACATTTTTGTTACGTGTTGACACGACATGGCGTAGCTCTAAAAACTTTAGATAGTCTTTCCTCAAGATATGTTCATTGAATTGTGAGAGAAGAATGAGGACAAAGTTGTTGAGACAGCAAAAACTTAATTCTGATATGAAGGCAGGTAAAAAGGAGACGAACCTATCATATCCAACGTTGCATTTATCTTAACTGTTTCTACCCCCATATCAAGATGAAGCTTTTACAGTTTTATTAAACTTGGTTAGTTACTCTAGAAAGTATACTAGCATAATGCAAAAATGTGCTCAAATGTGCTTTTCATGTGTCACTTAACAACCAGCTTAGGAAGACAGAGAGTCAAGCTTTCTTTTACCAGGTAGTATTAATGTTGCTTATAGCGAACAGCCAGGTTGTTACCCACATTAACTTGCTAGAATAAACAATGCACCAAAGCAAAAGAGGACAGGACGAGGCATCTTTCCAACTGGCAGTCAGGCTACCAATTGGAAGGTCCTGCCTTCCTCTTTTTTGGTGCATTCCCTTTGGCATTCGTGTGACACTACCAGCACACCCTAATTCGTTCGGTCGAGCTTAAGTTGCATAGCCATTTTCGAAAGGGCTTCACAATGTGCATATATACAGGCTTTTTTTTAGAGGGACCATAATTTAAGAGGGAAAAGAAAAGAGAAGTTGCATCAGGGTTTTTTTTGGTCCTGGGGCTAAGTTGGGGGCCACGGTGTCCATCAGAAAGGAGGTGAAATGAAGTAATCGGCTAATTAACAAAAAAAGCTTTCATTATACTTTTTAAATTTTTATTTTTTGGGGCATAATGTAGGAGAATCGACGTACGACCTCAATATAGTCAAACCGTCAAGTGAAATCTTGATTAAAACAATTGTAGTGAGTGCTGCAGGGCTAGAAGTGCCATTGTTGTACACGGCTTTAAACCCAAACGGCGGGAGAAGTGCACCTGCAACGTCAATCCCTCCGCCCTGAGCCGAATTTGCAACCTGTGTGTCCTTGCCGCAAGTGATGTCAGGAGTGCGACGCAAGCACAAAGCAGAGGGATCGACATCATGAATGCGCTTTGCCGGATCAGTTTCAATTTGAAGATGTGTGCGCAAGGATGACATTTCTTGCCTCGCCTCACTACAGATTTTTTAATCAAAGTTTTAAGTCATGGCTAGACAATCATGAGGTTACGTGTCAATCCTCATACTATCGTATTTTCCGGACCGCAGTCCACACCCGGTACATAGTCTGCAGAGGCAAATCTGGGATCAAAAATAAAAGGTTTTGCTTGATAGTTCGTACCAGGTGCATAGTCTGCATGACGTGCATAGTCCGCACAGTGTGCATAGTCTGTACTTAGTGCCTAATCTAAATGTAAAAGTTGTCATATACACAGCATCCCTTGACAAATGCCTGCTGTATTAGCTCACACTTTGTTATTCCCAAAATGCTTCACATTTTGTCACAGTGAACAATAAAAAAAATCCTTGTAAAGTCTGCACCTGCAGATAGTCTGCATTGGGTAAAATTTCAACTTTTAAACATGTATAGTCTGCAGACTATAGTCCACCGAATACAGTACATTATGCCTCCAAGAAGGAAAATTTATAAATCTAATTAAAACATTTTAGTGAATTATTTAACTAATTAATTAACCCATTTTATCTCTTCTCTAGTAGCCCCCCTGGCCACCAACTTAGCTCTAGAACTTAACGAACCCTAATGAAAATTCCCTTTGAAAAGTCTGGCTCCGCTAGAAAATAACTCCTTGTATTAAAGTCTTCTGTGATCATCCTATGTCGCAGTCACTACAGACTCCTATGCTTTTTCCTTAGTTTCGAGTTTCCCTATTTACTTTGGCTACTTGACTTTTAGAGCTAATAGAGAACTAGTAACTATATTAGTAGGAGTAAAATTATAATAAGTTAAAAAAATATTTTAATAATATGTCTAATGTAAACTTGTATTGATATAATAATTGCAACATAATTTCAACTTGTGCTTCTTGACAAAAGAACATTTTTTATCATCTTTATTAAGTACTATATAGAAAAGTGTTTTGTCTTTTTTTTTTTTAAATAAGGAGTGGGTTTGTAGTGTGAATAAAGGCTTCTACTATTGAATTTGGTTCATTATGTTTGTTTCTTCTCCAACCAAAAATTATATTTTTGCTAAAGGCATACATTATTAGACATATGTGACTTTGTCACTCCAAAATCTATTCATGAAAGGACATAAAATATGGCACAGTAGAAGGACAGCGGAAAATATTTGTTTACCAAACTTTCCAAATAATGAAAGTAAGCATTTCTTACTTTATGAAGCAACATTGCTCAAGCTTTTGGAAAGTTTCTGTCAAATATATACAACATATACACAGAAACATGTGTCAAAAATGTTTGTTCCTGAATGTCATTTGTGTGTATTTACACCAAATAAATTTCTCATTGCCTTTTGTGTGGTGTTCTCAATTCACAGACAGACATCTAGAACCATTTTAAACAGAAGCATTTTTCAACATCTCTTTCATGGCAAAATCATTATCATAAACATTACAAAGTTTATTTCAATACATTTACACATTTTCTTAGGATTATTGCACTATTGATGTATGCACTAACATAGTTCTATTTCTGGTGTGGTTTGTAACATTTGTGTAATATCTTATTGTGTTGGTGATTGACTGGTTAGTCTTCTGTGCCATATTTTGTAGTCTTATACACAGCAAAAGACAAATATTTTCAAAGAATAAATTGAGCGTTTTCGGCCAACAGTAATTTAATAATGTTTTAGTACCACTTCAGAAAGTAGTGTAGTGTAAATACTTGGTTTGCATAATGACCCAATTCTGCATCTTTCTTTATTAAAATATCCTTATTCATTCAAACAGGTTTCTTATCATGAGGTCACAGGTATTTTCTATCATCTTCTGTATTATTTTTTAAATATCAGCTAGATATGCAGTAGTTATATTATTGAATGATTTACTTAGAGATATTTCACAGCATTTTAAAATGGTTTAAAAGACATATCATTTCTAACAAAAACATGGTGAAATTCTTTCCTGTCAAAGTAGTTTTTATAAACTTTGTGAATGTTATAAAAAATGCCTAAAATTCTGGACTATAAATGGCTTTGTGCACAAAATTGTTTAAGATTTATTTGGCACTGCTATTTTATACAAGTGCATAGTTAAACATGGATTTATTTTATCTGCTTCAATAAGGTCACTTCAGGAAGGTTTTAATTCCATTTAACTTTGTGAAGTCTAATGCAATGGTGCCTTGCATCTCAACGTTTACCAACCTAAAGGTTGTTGCTCGGACCTGCGTAGCATGTTTCTTAGCTTGGCTGCTTAGGGATATGATAAAGCATGTCTTTGGGAATGGGATTGAATATAACTTCTGGGGTTCCACTCGTTGAACAAGTTTAAGGTATTACACAATTTGGCTTGTTATATGTATATCTAGCTTGAGTTTCACATCGGGCTTGCTATGCATGCCGGCTGGTTCTGCTTATGAGGCTTATGATTCATGTTGATGACCCAATTACAATTAAGACATACCGTAATATCCCTAGTCATCGCCCGAGTCATCGCCCACCCCATGTTTAGGGAAAATATTGATTTAAAAAAAAAAACGCAGAGTGATTGCTTACCTTTACAAATGCAGGGCGATGGCTTGGGATATTATGGCCAAACTGACAGTTCCTGAACATCTTATTGAGAATGGCTATATCTCGACTCTGTGGGAATGTGGTTCTGAACTTCTTCCTACCATTATGCATTTGTTGCCAGCAATACATTGAATGCTAGAAAACTTCCTTTACATGTCTTAAAACTATAATGCATTTGCAACACCATATGTCTCGTAATGAAACTGTAAGGCTGCTAACATTATAAGCCACAAATGTCGGCTGATTCTGGGGACATTTTTGGCCTATAATGTTAGTTTTAGACTTTAAGGCAACAAACCAATGGTGTAAGTCATTTGTACACCGTCAGAATGGACGGTTACTCCACAGACCCCCAGAGACAAGACAGACAAAAACAAACTATTACGTCACATACAAGCATCAAAGGCACGAGAGCCAGGATATGTTGATGAGGAAAAGCTTGAAAGTGTGAGACTGTAATAAAATTTGAGATTTTGTTCTCTGTCATCAAGCTGCATTTTCTAGGTCGTTTCCTCCTCGGTGTTTTTGGGGTCATGACAGCCAAGAAAAATTACGGCGGCACACTTTGAAAATTTGACATTTAGAAAACGAAAGCATAAAATACAATCCTCTTCTGCCTTTTTTGGGTAGCATATCTTAAGTTTGGGACAGCAGAATTAAGGCATTCCAATTATGCAGCAAACCGTTTCATAGCACCCACATTTCCTGCACGATAAGATCTAGAACGGTGGCTGCTCACCATGGCATGATGTCTCTTGCAGTTTTCATTGTCCCCTTTTCGCTATAGTCATCGACAGAATGAGAAGGACAGGGCGCGTCTCCCAAACGCCCAGCCTCCAGCACGCACTCCGTGCCTGCCGCCTTACTTCGGCCGCACGCGCGTGCTAGAGGCACACAAGATGCCGATGCGTCGTCAAAGGTCAGAAGCCTATGCCGTTTGCAGACGACCGAAGGATCCTCTCTGTCATTCTCATCTTGTCGGTGATTACAGCCCCGCTTACGCATAATCTTAGTGGTACTGGGGCAGCAAAGTGTGAGTGTGGGCTGGTGGACATCTTGTCAGCAAAAGTGTCGCAAACCTGACGAGAGTAAAAACGTAGGATGACGTGGCGTAGAACTAAAAAAATATAATTGAGGGACAGCTTAAAATTTTTATCAGCAGTGCATCTGCATACTTCTGTCACCCGCATAGGAGCTTCAGTTTTTGTTGCCGCTCTCTTGTCGTGATGCCGGTTTGCAGTAGATCTACTCTCGTGGTCTGTATTCTGTCTCGGGTTCTGTGTGGGGTGCCCATCTCCGAGTGATTCTCCTCCTCGTTATTAAACGACGGCTGCCAATAACTCGGCATAGCATTCCCGAGGATTGGATTGCCTCGCCTGTTTTCTTGTCTTCAGCGTCCGTCTCATTCCGGAACGTTTGTGCAGGTGCGCAGCCACCTAGCCAAGCTGGGCTTGCGCAGCCTCCAGGAGGCGGTGGGGCGCACGGACCTCCTCAAGGTGTTCCCCAATGCGGCCAACCCCAAGGCGGCGCTGCTCAACTATGAGCCCATCCTGCTGAACGCGCTGAGCCTCAGGCCGGGCACCAACATCCGTGGAGGGAGCGTCGCGCAGGACTTTGAGCTGGGGAAACGCATGGTACGAGGGCAGTCGTTGCGTGTGCGGAGAAAGACATAGGAGAGTGTTCATGACACGCGGACGGTGCAAGCTGATGATGGTTGTGGAACCATTTATATTTGTTTTAAGGACCCTTTAAACACGCGCAGCATTTTTTTTACATCTTGCACAAACCAGCTTGCGTGAAGGTTGAAATTGTCTATTAGGTATAAAACGTACGGCGCACAAAGACAGAAGGAAGAGGACACACAAGCAATTATGTATCCTCTTTCTTTTCTCCTAGCTGTCCTTGTGCGCTGTACGTTTTAATCACCATACCTACACGCCCAATAAGCTTCCATTCTGAACAGTTTATTATTGTTGCCATGCAGATTGAGACACCTAACGAAACCATGTGCTCACACATGTTGTGACAGCTTCAATGCACTGTGAAAACTATGGTAGCCTCGGCGACATTACACAGAAAAGTTGAGGCTGAGTATAGTGCACCAGCTACTGAAGGGTATTTCCACCTTCATTTTCATTGCAGCCAACTATGCAGCAGACGGTTTTATTCATGCTCGATGGATCGGTAGTTGTCTTGTTATAAATTCTCTTCACTATTCTAATTCTAACTAAAAGGCGAAGTAGTTCACATAAACACAATTTGCTCTATTTTGTTTTTATGCATGTATACATTTTATGTTATTGAACTGTGTAAATGGAAAGTTGATGGTTTTTTTGGGGGTGAAGCGTCATTAGGATGAGCCTGTGCAGTTAATTTTTTTAATTAACTTCACAGTTTTTAAAACATTCGGTGTTATTTCAGTTGTGATGATGAACAGCTCTGATAGCTGTGAAGATTCAAGTCTTGCTCGTGCTTTTCAACACAAGTGCTGCCTGTTGCAGGACAATCTGCTGATCAAGCAGGCCAAGGCCGTGCTTGAGGGTCGGTCCAAGGAGGTCACCCTTCACATGGACATCACCAATGAGGACCGGGCATTTGCCACTACGCTCAGCTATCACATTGCAAAGTGAGAATGTCTGGACTCTCAAGATACTATATTGGTTCAAAGTACAGTCGAACCCGGATATATTGAATTCAAAGGGGATCGTAAAGTAGTTTGATATATTGATAATTTCATATACAAAAATATGTTTAACTTAAGCTCCAGTTAAAATTTCCGCACGTCTCTGCTAATACACACAATCGGCTTGACGAAAGTTTTTTTTTTCTTTGTTTTTTTTTATTTTGGGGCTAAGGAGTTGCGCAGCCACTGCGGTGTTCGGGGAAAAAGGGCACGCTACCGTTCCAACAGCGGGCGTTCCCTGCCCTCCCCATGAGCGCGCATGCCCTTACCGTTATTCTTACCCTTGCTTTTGCCATTCTTCACTTCTTATTTACCTTTTTTTTTCACAACTGTTTTTCTGCTGTGTATCCCCGTGCACCTATGCTGGCTTGGCAGTCTGCCAGCCCCGCAACGCGAGCTATGCGCTCCCCGCCAGCACAATCCAATCAGACCGACCGGGGACGTGCTTTGTTTGCTATATCGAGTGTCCCCGCCATTGAAGTTCGCCATGGGAGGTTGATACAAAAAAACAACACTTTTATACTATTACGATTTTCAACAGCATGTTTGGACTGTTCGATATAAACAATAATTCTAAATACTTGGGTGTGATATAACTGGGCTCGACTGTTATAGTAGCAAGTTTACCGCAAACCAGGAAACTCTTACCTCGCTACTTTAAATATTAGCAACCATTTATGTAGCATAATTAACAATCATGTTTTTTTTTCTACTGACCTGAATGTTTTGGGTTCTGTTTAGAAATTTTTACAGCAAAGCTGTGATGTGCTAGGATCTGAAAAAAAAAAAAAAAATGCGTCCATGGATGTTAACAAAAAACTCCAGTTTAAACGGCACTCCTTCGTTCCGATTGGTCGTGGCAAGTATAAGTAAAAGGAGGGGGCAACCCTCGTGAGTCAGCCTTCCTTGGCATTATTAGATAGGGAGGTCCTGATTCCTTGTTTTCATGCACGGTCACCGACTTATCTCAGCTAAGAGTGTGCTGTGGCGAGGCTGAGGGCAGAATGCGCCAATCTAACCTTCTTTTATTTCATTTCCGCGATGCTGATAAAGAAACTCGGGTTCAATCAGAAAAAGCTGTCCTCGAGGTGTGCCTCGAAAAATTGTGTTTAGAACTTACAACGTCGTATATTGAAAGAGCTCATCGCCTTTATGTATGTATATGTCTTTATTCAGTAAATGTAGCAATTCGCTGTAACGTCGCTGTAAAACCTAAAATATAGCTACCAACAAATGGCTGTGTTCCCTTGTCTCTTCACATAGCCATTTCCTAGCGATGTTATCAGTTGCCCTTTGGACTCGCCATGGCTAGGCCGCTTGTTGTTGGCTCTGAAGAGGAAGAGTGCACCTACAAGGCTCAACAGCGTGAATGTGCGCAAAAGCATCGAGAAGCCAAACGCGCAGCGGCCCAACACGGTGCGGCCGATGGTGTGGGTCCATTGGCTTCGATTAATCCTCCACTCGCCGACGAAGAACGTGCCCGTCTAGAGCGTCGGCGGGGAACAGAAGCGGGAGTGTGAACGTCGTCGCCGGGCGAAAATGATCGACGAAGATCGGGCTGCCGATGCCAGGCAGAAACTAGTAGCTTTTGTCATAAAGATAACAGCTTCGCTGGTCCTCCATCTTCTCGTGAAGTGGATGGGCTCTACAATTTTCAGATATCGGCATATTTCACGTTAATGTGCTTCCATAATATTAGGGACTTTTAGTAGACCGTACGCTGAAGCCGCACTTTGCAAGCGGGAGCTTCTGGCATCACTTCAATGCATGGAGTGAAACTAATTTATGTAAATTTTTTATTTATTTCATCTTTTTTTTTGTTTAAAGTTGTTATCAAACCCTATAGTCCCAACTCACGCAATGCCAAATAGGCCTTTGCGGTATTTTAAATGCATAAATTCTCGCGGAAGACTCGGTAGCTGTCCTTACACATATGCTCGGTGCATTTTCGTGTGTATTTAAATGTATTGTAGATAACACACATCATTTTTGTTTTAAAAGTAGCTTTTTACTCCAGCAGAAATAAACTACTGTAACTGAAACAGGATAATTTGGTTATTTATTATCTGGCACGTGCGAATAGTAGATTTTGAGTTTGGAGCGAATAGGGGTTATGGCGGAATATTTTCAAATAGAATATCCAAGAGCTTCTTCAAGTCTTTCACCACTGTTCTGCCATGCTTAAAGAAAGAGCCAGCTGAACTTGCGATGTGCGATGGTTGTTCCCAAGCCTTTACTGATTCATTTCTAAGCTTAGTGAATTTTAATCCAACTTTTTTTATAAACTGTCGCCTCCTAAATTCCAATGCCTACGTTGGGATGGTAAGTAAATTATGGATTTTTCAAAATTGAACCTATAGAGATGCCCAGTTACTTTACCTAATCGAATGGATTTACAAATTTTCTTGTTATATGCAGACATCCTTTCTTTAATCTCGAACTTGAAAAAAAAAAGGTTGCCATGAGTGATGCGCGCAGGTCGTCAGGGCATATCTGCCTAACATATATTCTTGCATATTGGCCGCAGTTTAATTTTTAAAATTTTATGTTTCTTTTATACATTAGACACTCTTGCACTCCATCTCGCTTTGAAAGTGTGCTTTTCTTTAAGCATGCGACTGCGATATATGTACTTGTCAAACTGTTGATTGCGGCAGGTTAGCCCCGTTGAGCGCGCTTCCTACCGCGCACCGTTCCATTGCGGAGAAGAAAGACCTGCGGAAGCGAGCTCTGCAGGTGTTGCTTCTCTCCGGTGCACAGGTGCTCGGTAGGAAGTGTGCTTAACGGGGCTAACTCGCTGCTACCAACACTTGTAAAAATAATAATTAGCAGTTAATTTCAAAGCGAATATTGAATAGCATATTTTTCGAAACAACTATTCGGAAAATTATAATTTTCACACAATCATTCGTTTTGGAATGCGAACCCCAGGTCGTGAGCTACTGAGACAGTATAAAGTCTGGCAGTGAGCATTTTAGTAGCACTTGAAATGAGTAACACCTGCCACAACAATGATGAAATTTGTAATTAAAGAAATTTGCTTTGCAAAATATCTACTTGCAACCTAGCAAGAAACCAGTTTTAGTACTTTTTTAATTTCAGTTGCCCCAAGAAGGCTTCAATTGGCTGTAGGTTAAGTATAGTTGCTTGCTTGCTCGAGCATTTTTTCTCGCTTTCGCTTTTTCTGTTTCTGGTCCTTCCTAATTTATTTTGTTGATCTTTACTTTTTCGTTACTTATTTCGTGTAGCAAATGTCCGAGCCGTCCACGACTCGTTCCTTTTCTGTAGAAGCCTGCTCGAGGCAGCGCCTACACATGTTTGTTACCTATTGTGCAGAAAGTATGACGACAATGGCCTCCCGGAGGGATCTCGGATCAGCGTCTTTTTGAAGGGATCAGCAGGCCAGAGCTTCTGCGCATTCCTTTCCAAGGGCGTCTATGTCACCCTCGAAGGAGACGCCAACGATTACGTCGCCAAGGCAAGGGTCACCGTTCGGGTTACTTTGGTTGTCTCGAGAAACCCCATGAAATACCCACGTTGCTGGCAGAACTCGCGGAGCAGTGCCACGCCCGTGTTAAGGCTGGTTCACAGATTTGAGTTTGAGTGCACTCTAGTGCGTTGCATTTCTTTGTAATCGCTTACGACGAGTTGGAGGGCTTGCAGTGCGACGCCTGTGCCTCTTTCACCCCAGGGCCTCTCTGGAGGGGAGCTGGTGATCTTCCCTCCCAAGGACCTTCCTCCCGAATTTAAGTCCGAGGAAAACGTCCTGGTGGGCAACACGTGCCTGTACGGGGCCACGGCGGGGAAGGCCTTCTTCAGGGGGCTTGCCGCCGAGCGCTTCTGCGTTCGCAACTCCGGAGCCACGGCCGTCATCGAGGTGGGTAGTGGTCTCGAGGGTGGAGAAGTTTCCTCGTTGAGGTTGAATTAGCACAGGGACGTGCACTAACTAGGTGCGAGAGCTTGCGGAGTGGTGTCCGGTCGAAGCAGTATGTCACACTCTTGTTGTAACTTGCCAAGACCTTGGAAGACCTCAGCGAAATCTTTGTCAATGTTCAACACCGAAACAGAGTTGAGGGAGCTAAACAGTCCCATGTGATTGATGGCTTACATGCCGAGAAGTGTTGTGCGGAGGTGCAGAAGAATGCAAATGCCTTCGATGCTTTTTTGGCTATAATCAACTTCATGTGTGGATAATGGAGTTTAAAATGTGCTTACTAACTATGTGTGGATAAATGAATCGCATGTGCACTGCATGACACGCTATAGACTCATTAATTCAAGTTCCAGGAAGCCACGTGTTTTGTTTGAATTATCCGAAATTTATTTTAATATGATGCAAGGTAGAATTATGATTTGTGATATGGATGGCTACACATACAAAGCAGATATTTTGTAATTTCCTCAAATATATATATTTTTTTTTTGCGGCAGTTCTTGCAGCAGGCACTGCACTCGTGCTTGCTGCCAGTTGTTGATGTCGTCTAGATCCATAGCCGCGTTCTTCGAACTTCGGAATCCTTCCGTCGCTGCACTTGAAGCCTCGTAAATTCATTTGCAAGGCCAGCTGATCTCTCTTTTTTCGCAAGATCGGACCTCTTACCGGCAGGTAATTATTCCATACTCGCTTCAGCCACAAGACAGGGACTTTTTCCAGTTGCGGATTTCGCCGTTTCCCAAAGCCACTTACGATTCGTTGCGAATTTCCTAGCCTTCTCTCGAAGTTGGTTTTTGGCTTTTACAGTCATTGTCAGCATGCTTTTTGTAATGCCCTATATCAATGCCACTGACTTTTTTTTTTTTTTTCACGCCCGACTCAGCTTTATCGATGATAGCCCATCTCTCCTTCATGAGGAGCGATTTCTACTTGCCGCACATAGGCATGTTGATTGGTTGGAGACGAGACGGAGCCAGAGACCGCTAGCGGACTGGGAAATCCCGGTTTACAGACTCGGGAAGACTTCAGGGTGGCGAAGCCCTCGTTGTCTTTCTTTTTCAAGCGTTGAGGCACTCAGGCAGCCGTGAGACCTGTGCCAAAAGTCAAGTGCAAAGCAAAAGCATAAAGTGCAAACGCTGCTTAGGGCTAGGACTACTTGGGCTACAAGACAATGGGAGATCGAACTGGATTCGATGATGTAGTGGACATCATTGAAGTGCGAGTGCCACTCAAAACAACCTAGCATGGCTCACTGCTCTTTTGTCATAAGCTTGGCGAATCATTGAAAATATCTCTGTTTTAGATTACCCAATGACACAGAATTGGTGCTCACTCTTTGTTTTGGTTTGCAGTTTGTAATGAAATTGCAGATGTGTTCGTGCGAGTGGTCACAAAAACTCGTGTAGTGCAGCTCCGAACATTCGGAGAACGACGCTTTTTGGCATACAGGAAGGTCCCCACTTTTGGCAGCTGCACGGGCATCACTGTGGTGCCCTCTCTTTCTGTGCTCCAAGGCTACTACTCCCAGAACATTTTGATCCCACCTTGTATTTATGAGTCGATGTAGTACTTGAGCTTCTGTTTTCTCCTCGCAGGGTGTCGGAGACCATGGTTGTGAATACATGACGGGAGGCTTGGTAGTGATCCTGGGTGTCACAGGGAGGAACTTTGCAGCAGGCATGTCTGGTGGAATCGCCTATGTTCTGGACGTGTAAGGACCGTATTTACCGATTCATGCCATATAAAGAGAGTCCTTGAGATAGTGATTGTGCGGGCACATCTAAGACAAACTGAATCTTCTGTCCAGTTTAGCAATGTTGCGATTATAAAATAATACTAGTATTGTGGCATGACTGCCTTGACTGCCTCTTTTTTCTTCCTCATGCTGAAAACGTTTTTGTTTTCTGGCATCAGCTAACTTCAGCATCGGCTTATTTGCTCTGAAGCATTTATTTTCTCATTACGACCTGCTTTCTTAAGTATAAATATTTCCTTAGAGTTCAATGTTTTGGGAGACGAAATGAAACGTTATCTGTGCATGTTGAACCTATTTCCCAGCTTTATGTTTCTTAAGGCACAAATTGTTAGAATAGTGAGTCCATGTTGTTACACTATTGTCTCTCTTTCTAGGATTTCAAAAAAGTTGTATTGCAGGGAGTGTGCATGTGTAGAGGGTATTTCAGCTCGCTTGTGCCAAGACTCCAAAAAGGCTACCGCACGCTGCAGATGGCGGGCCAACACAGTGTTGTTAACATTCCTAATAAGCGAGTCAAGATACTTTTTGTGATATGTCAAAATGACTAATCTATGAAAAATAATTAGCCAATTTTTTAAAATATTAATTTTTGCACAAACTTCCAATAGAAAAGTTGTAGAGCATGTTGAGAAACATCCCTTCGTATAATTTTTATTGAGATAGTCTTTGTGTGTCTAATTTTTTTCTAGCTTTAAGGAAAGCGCTCGAGATTTAAGAACTCCCACACTACCTGTTTGCGATCTGCGATATTAGTTTCCTTAGTCACGTAGGATTTTTTAAAATGTAGCGCTAATTTTAAAGGTAAAGAAATGCATAGCAAGTTGCTGAACAATTCTATTGCATGTGAAGCGTATGGCGTCTGCGCTCTCGGCACTCCTCATCGTTTAGTTTAGCGACTGGCTTAGCGCGTGGCATGTACGCTCAATAGCAATTCCTGGAACGGAGGTGCCAGGGCTAACCCGAGTTTTAAAAAGGTGCGACAGGGTGTCAAGTTGCTATCTGTCGGACGCAGAGTGGATGCCTTGCAGGGCTTTCTTGTCAGTTCGACACCCTACAAAAATACCGTCACTTGCTCCTAGGGCTACAAACATACTGCATTGGTTCAACATGCATAGAGTGCAGCAGCTTCTCTTAACTATTGGCAAAAGTTGGCTGAAACTACCCGTATAGAGTCGCGAAAGCACAATTGTGCTAGACTTCGGCCTACATTTAAAATATTTATTACCCGCAGCCTACCTAAATTACATCTCTGAATGTGCTCGTCTAACGTGTCTCGTTGCATGTTTGAAGGGATGGCCTCTTCAAGAACAAGTGCAACAAAATGATGGTGGACCTACTTCCGCTGGAGCTGTCCGAGGACCTGGACACAGTGGACGCATTGATCCGCGAGTTTTACGATGTGACCGGATCGGCCGTCGCGGCTTCCCTGCTTTCCAAGTGGCCAGAGTCGGCCAAACTCTTCGTCAAGGTGAGACCACCCCCGCAGTGGGGACTCGAGAGAACTAAGCCCGGCAGCTCGCTTCGTCAGTGGGACGCACCTTTACTCGTGCCGTCCGGGGCCGCTAAATAGGCGTTGCTTCAGAGTGACGACGCTTCGGCCATCTTGGTGGCCAAAACATCACTGTTGCCAGTTGTCCGAAATCGCAGGACACGGGCTTCCGTTCTCCAGAAAGGCTAAAAAAGGACGCGACAGAGCACGGCGATATCGCCCGAGCTTTCCGGCGGCTTAGAAGCCGTCGGGAAGCTAGGGAAGTTGCATTTTCGTGTTTTTGGGGGCTGCCATTTTGATGCACTAAGCACCAAAATAATGCTCTAAAGTGGGGGCCCCCCCGCAAGAAAATTGTGTAATAGAGTGCCGATACTAGGTAAGTGTAGCTTGTCTAGTGGAGCCGGTGTTGAAGAAGGGTTTGGATTTGGGCTAGTCTGTTGAACATGTTTAGGGGTTAAAAGCGCTAAAAACGACGGACGACTAGGAGAGACACACACCACAGAGCGCTCTGTGGTGTGTGTGTCTCCTACTCGTCCGTCGTTTTTAGCGCTTTTAACCCCTAAACAAGCCGGTGTTGACCGTTTGCAGTCTGCTCTTTTGCCACTGTGCATTGTCTGCTGACAGTAAAAGCTCCTTCGAGAAAGTGAGCTCACGGAACGTTGAAGTTACCTAGGTAGCTTGTTTGTCTCTCTAAATGCAGCATGCCGACGATGCACATTCTCATTGAACTGTGCAGTTCTGGTTACATGTCCACATAATTAATCCGTTTATGCGCAAATATATATTTTTTTTTCAGATGTGCGTTTGAAGTGTTAGCTTTTACGCATAAAGAGGAAATTGTTGCTGGGTTCAAGAGGCGGCCATATGGGCTTTGGCCATGTAATTTCATCAGGTAACCCTAAAGGTCTCTGGGATTTCGTGCTTATGCCAGACTTAACCTTTGCAAGATGCCTACTAGTATTGTGCTTATTATAAGACAACTGGTTAAGTAAAGATTGAATGCTAGTCCTGAGGAGAAACCTCTCTCACTTATTTTAACACCCTTTTTGTCGAATTTTTAAATTTTTAAAGTCTTTTTGTAATACTGTAAACAATTTAATTTGTGCACGTCTGGACAAAGCTGAAAGTTTGAAAATTGAAATTATTCACGGGTTCTAGTTTTTGCGAATCGAAATTTAGAACCCGTGGTGGTTGTGAATTGAGGTGACCCTAAATTTCAGATTGTGGCATTATTTTCTTTTAAATTGTTGCCATAATTATGTTATTAATGGAATGTATGTAATGATCATGTGAGAACCTTTGTCTTCTTTTTGCTTGTCATGTTTCCGTTTCGTTTGCTTTTTATGTGCTTGCATTTTCTATGTTGGCACTTATGTATCCCCCAACATAATGCCTAACGGCACAGCAGGTACCATATTTTCCGGACTATAGTCCGCACCCGGTGTATAGTCCGCAGGGGGAAATTTGGGGTCAAAAATAAAAGATTTTGCTTAGATAGCCCGCACCCGGTGCATAGCCCGCACCCGGTGCATAGTCTGCACCTGGTGCTTAGTCGACACGAAAATCTTCTCACAGACGGCACACGTTTACAAATGTCTGCTTTTTAGCTCACAATAAAGTGTATAATGTGCATAAATCATCATTAACATACACTTTCGTGCACAAAATTCTTCACGTCTCGTCATAATAAACAATCTTGAAAAACATAATTCCTGTATAGTCCGCACGCGTAGATAGTCTGCACAACCAGAAATTTCAACTTTTAAACATGTATAGTCTGCGGACTATAGCCCAGAAAATATGGTACATTTAGGTGTAAAATGTCAGCTTTTTTAAAGTGAAACTGTGCCATGCTACAAAGCTAAATGTAAAAAAAAAAAAAAAAAAAAATATATATGTCCAGAACTTTTTTATATCTTAAACAGCACTGTATGATGTAAAACACTGGAGGTTATTTTTTCGGCCACCTTCACTATGTCATTTTCCAGCATGATGTCCTATTAAATATTCTATTGTCTGTAGATAAGAAGATTATCCACTGTTTGCTCTGGTCTACAGTATTTGGAAATAGTATCACTGATCTTGCAGGACCAGTCTTTCTGATGGTGCTCCAAGCAGGATCTTAAGTTTATTACAACATATCAGTAACTAAATTTATACAGTCTAAGTGGTGATAAGTGTACAAAAATAGTGGGCCTGCATGTCCCACCTTCACATTAAAATGTGATTAAAGTTGAAGATGCTCCCCCTCAAAGTCAGCTTCAATGAGTACTGCTACACAGATCAGGAATGTAAAGGAGGGTAACGCTTTCCGCTGCCATGCTAAGAAAAATAAAGATATTTCTTTTGCCGTGCTCACCCTGGAAGAGAGTAAATGAGGGAAAGCAGGTCCATTATTATTGCATTGGACAATACATGTAAAGTAATATTTGTTCATTTGGTTGTCTTCGATTACCTAAATTAAGTCACTGTTTCTTTTTATGATCTTATCTTTGATTACAATGTAATTAATGCAATATTCAACAGTTTTTATTACAGTGAATGCATGTTATAGGTTACTAGATCATCTAAACCCATAGGCAATTTGGCTAGTTTGGGCCCATTTGATTAAAATATTAGGATGACAATCACTAATAATGAAAATACCGAAAATACTTAGAAACTTACAAAATGCCAGGTTAAGCAAATAGTTATATATAGATAGTTTAAAAAAATGAAAGCCGTTTACAAATCCCTGTAACGCCGAATTGGAGCGCAGCTCTTGAGGAGGAGTAGGGAAGGGTACTGAGGGGGGTCACGTGACCTGCGGGTAGTCACGTGACCTCGGGGGGGGGGGGGGGGGGGGGTCACGTGACCTCGGAAAGGGCACGTGACACCCCCCCCGGTTATGCCTACGCCGACGCCGCTCAGGCTGGAAACGGGCCACTAAGAGCTGCGCTCTAAAACTGCACGCATGAAATAAATTGACAGAATCATATTTCAACAGCGACGAAGATTAATTACCGCACGTGATAAGCAAATGAGCATCAAGAAAATAAGAGATATATCCTATTTAAAAAAAAAATATGATGCTTTAAGGAACTATAAAAGTTATGTGGATTTGTGACTGAAGATGGTAAAGTATTCCAGATTTTAATACTCTGGAATTGCAAAAGTCACTGGCCATAGTACATTGCTTCTTATAGCATATTGTATTCATAAAACCGTGCTATAAGAAGAAACTTCTAGTATAACCGATGTGGAGCACGAGTTTATCTGATTTTTTTGCAGGGGTTGTGGTGATGTCAGAATGACGTTGAGCGCTGATTGGCTCTGAATGAAGGATAGAGGGAAGACTTCAAAGCAGGCTGCCTTCAGGTCTACCCACTATCCTTTGATCGGAGCCAATCAGAGCTCGGCATTCTGACGTCACCGCAACCCCTACAAAAGAAGCAGACAAACTCGCGCTCCACATAATTTGTAAAACAAATGTGCCATCCTTGCTTAAGAGACGTAAATTGAATTGTTTCTTCGACACAGGTGTTCCCCAAGGAGTACCAGAGGGCCCTGAAACAGATGGAAGAAGAAAAGCTGACCGCCCAGAAGGAGAAGGCTGCTGTGGACAACAAGGTGGCTGACATTGAGGAGGTCGTGACTGATGCCGAGCTCAAAAAGAAGCAGCTGGAGAACCTCGACAAGACCAGGCAAGACCTTCTCAACTGTGACCGTGGTGATAACGATTGTTTGCGACACATGCAGTGTCTTCCGCATGCTCCGGAAAGTGCATGTAGTGAGAAAAGAAAGCATTACTGATACCAGTGACTGCTCTTTTTAGTTCTGTGTTCCTTTCTTTACCTTTTGCTTTCTTTTTCTTGTCTGTATATGCATTCGGAGTACCAGGAGGGCTTAAGATTTACATTAAAGTTATTCAGAATTTCTTTCGTGCCTTGCGCACCATTTTGGGAGCTTCTAAGAAAATGTCTGTTGACATCATTAGCCCAAACAAAAAGTGGATAAAGTTTTGTACTTATTCTCTGCACATGCAGTTGTTTTTGGACCTTCACACCAGTAGTATAAGTAGTGCTTGGAGGGTGCACTGCAGTTTCTCGGAATTCCTTTTGTAGCTTGTACAGCCTTTTGGTGTCTTTTGATATTGTGAGCCCAACCGAATACTTAGAATAAACTATGCATTCTACACCTTTGCTGCCGTTCTCCCTGCAATATGGGTCTGGGGGCATGCACGCAGGGGCTTCATGAAGTACAAGCGTGAGACCGAGTACTACCGGCCGGCCATGCAGCGTATGCAGGACTGGAAGGAGATCTACAACAAGGCGGCTGTCCGCAAGAACATCAGGGTCCAGGCTGCAAGGTGAAACACCCCCCCCATCAGATCTTTGCATCAGATCTTTGCTAAAGCCTATTATAGCATAAGAAGGTGAAGAAAAGCCCTTCTCACAAAGCTCATCTAGACTCCATAATTTGTCCTTTTTTCCTTTCCACTCACCTCCCCTCCAGTGTTAGCTCTGCTAAAGTGGAATTAGTGAAGGGCCTTGTGAAAGGAGTTTGTCCGAGTAAGCATCCACCCAGAAGTTTGGACTGAACCCTATCGTTTTGTTGAGACACGTTTTGTGGGCTTTTCGTGAATGCACGTTTTATGGACATACGTTTCGACACTAACATTTCATTGGCACTAATGCTTCATTGACACAAACATTTCACCGATTCTCATTACGCAAATCTCATGCTGTAGGGATATTTTGTCACGTGTGTATCACTGGGGCGCATGTTAACCTACCTGGCCCACCTGTTGATAACGCTTCTTGGCGACAGTCTGTAGCAGCTCATTACAGGGAAAAGCTAATCCAAGCTGTCGACGAAACATTGCATGTCGATGTAACAATTTGTTGATGAAACGTTGTTTGTTGAACTGATTGCCACCGAAGCTGGGTCTATAATCTTAAAAAAAAACTGGGGGATGTGTGATTCTTAGGTTTGAGGACAAAAATTGAAACACGGCACAAGGTAGGGCGGGCTTTTGTGGAGCCTTCTTTGCTTGCCAGCCATCTTGTTAATAGATTTGAGTGATTATGACGACCTTATCTGATGGCTCTCTGATGTGTTGACTTTCCTTGCCAGGTGCATGGAATGTGGAGTTCCCTTCTGCCAGTCGTCCCATGGCTGTCCTCTCGGGAACATTATTCCCAAGTGGAATGACCTTGTGTTCAAGGTGAGCTCATCTTGAACATTGTGATTGACTCATTGAGGCCAGCACTGTTGCCGCAAGTGATTGTCATTATATTTTATTCATGCGCATGATGACTGCCATGTTATGGTATGTGACAGTTAATGATTATGTTTATTTCAAAGCTTCACTTCCTTCACTCTTGATCTGCTATAAGAAAGAAAGGGGGTGAAACATGAAGAGAAAGTAGCGAGGACTCAGAGAGTTCAAGACAAGTAGAAAAAGGAAAATAAAATTGGAAAGCTGTCTCGCTGAAGAAGGCCAAGAAACAGCAGGTTTGATTGACTAACCTTTGTGAAAAGTTATGTCATCAAAGAATTTCTAAGGTTTGAGATAAGAAAATTTGTTCATTTTTAGGGGTGTGCGAATATCGATATTGTCGAATTCGAATCAAATTCAAATATCAAGAAAAGATACCTTGGAATATGAATCGAATATTGAATATGTGTGTAGTTTGAAAGAAATGGAGAAAACCAAAGACAAACATGCAAATAAAATTGCTTTTATTATATTTTGGCCCAGTGATGACCTTTTATAGTACTAGGAAGTAAATAAAACTGGATCTGTCTAGGCAGTATGTAAAAAGAGCTTCTAAATAGTCATTGCAACTTGACCAGTGATTACCCACTTAGATAAATAAAACAATAAAACGGTCAATAGCTAAACAGCATGACAAAGATGCAACTGAGAATATGGTATCACAAATAGACTGGTAATGACCTTAGCATATGAAGGATACAACTGATACTGTGGCCGTAGATAAATAATGACATTTAAAAATAGAACAGCACATGACTAGATAATACATATCAGATGTAACTTGGAATCGAGTCATTTAAATTGACTGGCAAAAGAAAGCGAAAAAGAAACCGAAACTGCTCTGGTCTCATAAAACAGATTTTGAGGATTTTTTTTTTTTTTTTTATGTTTAACGAAAACAGATACATAGGTAGCTTTCGGTGAATAAACATATTCTTATAAACTTCAGATTTTTCAGGGCATGGGTGGCGTTCAGATTTAGTTGCTACTTGACCCAATATTTGCAGTTTGTCCGAATATTTGGCCGTGGCCAAATAATCGGGAACTTCCAAACAGATAATTCTCGAATCGAATACGATTCGAATAAGGGGATTGTTTGATTTGTATTTGAAATTTCGAATATTCGCACACCCCTAGTCATTTTTAAATTTATATGAAGTAAGCTCTGAGAGAACTGGTATACTGACTATATATGCAATTTTTCAGATTACTTAAAGCTATAAGTTGCATAGTTCCAGGTCACATACCTATTTATGGCACCTCCATCCAACAGTTATTACAATGTTTTTTTTGTTTGACAAGTTGCGCTGAAGTACAGTATAGACCACTTACAACGTAACTGCTTATAGTGCAAGACCGGGTATAACGTGGCTTTTTAAACCACCGGTTTGCCTCCCATAGAACTCCATGTAATTACATACCGCTTAAAATGCAGGCGCGCGAAGGGAAATACCGGTTATAGTGCGGTTTCTGGAACAGCCCGCCGACTGCGCCGAATGACCGGCCCAGCGAGCACGCTTCCGTGTGCGACACTAGATAATGGCGCGAGCCGCAAGCGGCACTCGCGGGGCAAGGAGGTTGCTCGAAGAAGCGGGGAGAGACGAAGAGAGAGGCTTCAGTTGCCATAGCGACGGAGGGACGCACGCATGTGTCGTTCACGTGCGTGCGTCCCTCCGCTGCGTTGGAACAGTGCCATTGGAAACAACCGCAACGACAGACCAATCGCAGGTCAAGGAGAAGTGTTCGCGCGCGTTGCATGCCGGTCGCGGGCCGGCTGCTTCTATCCGCAAACATGGCGTCGGTTGTGATCGTCGACGTAGACGGCGTGGTGGAAGCTCATCGTTCCGCGTAAAAGCGCTATCCTTGACTCTGAATTTTCGTTGCGTGTCGCTATGATAACCCAGCACGTACTAGAAGGGAAGATCCACCTACTCATGCGGCGATGTTGTGGCGGCACTCTCAAGACGGCACAAATGCCCGTGTCGTTGTGTTTGTTTCCTTTGACTACAGTGGTGCTTTCTAAGCATTTGTGTTTCGAACATCGCCCGGATTTCTGATTTAGAGCATTTCATGCCTGTACTCAAGTTGAAGGTATTACTGGCACGTACTGTATAAAGGATGCGAATTTTCACGCGTTTTCATCAGCGGAGAAAAGTGATCAAGGTTAGCAATCCTGAACGCTCGCAACGTCCGTCCGCGACCCGCAACACCGTTAAAAGGCTGCGCCAGGCAAAAGTCGCTCATTTCTTTCAAAATGTGTGACACACTTGAGAGAGAAGTGTACTAGTCTGGTGAAATAAAGACTTTCCTCAAACTAAGCTTTATTTTTCACCTAGCTAACATAAAATAAATTGTTTTACAAAGGTAAGTTGTCTCATGAAATGTATTTTGGCCTGAAAAATTGATGTTTTGGTTATAGCGCGGTACCGCTTATAGTGCGGATTTTCGCGACTCCCGCGACATGCGTTATATGCGGTCTACACATACTACTATGCAGCTCATGCTTGATAAGATTAAATAATATCTGTTCAATGGATTTTTTCCACTTGCCCTATCAAGCTTATCAAGCTCGATAGCCCAAGCAACAAAACATAAATAGAAAAACAAAACAGAAAGAAAGTGTTGTGCTCTGCATATCTCGAAAGGTAATAGTTTAAGCTTGGATTCTTCACATAATGTCGATTGATGCAGAATGCTTTGTGTCTGTCTTAGTATCTTACTTTCTGACTTTTTGTTGCTTGTAGACTTTCAGGTGTGTATCGTTCACTTTGACTTCTTGGGGTTTTAGACTTGTTTGAGAGGCTAAGACAGACATTGCATCCTGCATCTAATTTCCCCTCTATATTTAGTGGGAAAGTAGCGTCACACATCTTTATCACTGTTACAGTCTAGATGACAAAACCAGCCTATCGATGCATTCTACATTAAAAACAGATAATGGGTATTTGCTCTTTGTTGAAGGGACACTGACAGGTATTTATGATTGCCAAGGTTTTTATTTGTACATGACACATGAGTGCCCAACTACCCAGAACATAATTTGCGACTCAAAGTTTGTTTTCTTTCCGCCAAAACCACCGATCGAGAACTGGCCAGTTTGAGTTGTGCTCACTCTCTTCTCTGTGGTCACATGCCGTTTTCTATAGTTTAGACACAACCACCGAATATAATTAAAGTTGTGGGTCATCGAGGGCCCACATTCAATATTAAAAATAGAAAAAGAAATGTGATACCCATTTTTTGTGGCCTTTAAAAACTGCAAAAACATTGAAAACAAAAAAAGTTGCAGAGCCACAAGACTTCCGGCAATGCCCTCCTACTGTATATTTCTTTTTCCTCCGGTTTTGGTTTTGATATCGAGCAGTGGCTTTTTTTTTTTTTTTTTACTTCATTTAAAATATATGCGATGCTGTAGCAAAATATTGATTGGGTAGTCTTCTGACACCATTATGAATCGCCTGGCACAAAATGTTAAAAACATGTTTTTTGGGGCGTGTCAGTGTCCTTTTAACAACGCACAACATTCGGTGGACTCTGAGCACGAAGCGCACTGACGTACCGTTCCTGTGGCCGCGTTTGTGCAGCAAGACTGGAAGGAGGCCCTCGCCCAGCTCCTCCAGACCAACAACTTCCCGGAGTTCACGGGCCGGGTGTGCCCCGCCCCCTGCGAGGTAGGGAACCTCTTTCCACTTAACCCCGTGTCTTGTAGAAGCTTTCTAACCTGTTTGCGGTTGAAGGTACTGCGGGTGGCAACAACGACCGGCACTTTTAATTGAAACTGCGACGACCGCTTGCGGCCTTTCATATGGGAGAAATCTTTTTAGTCTGTTCTTCTTCACTATGGAATGGGGAAGACGATTGTAATATCAGCTAGTGTCATTGACAAAGTGAGAACAGAATAAGGGAAGAGCTTCAGTTGCCCCACCTACAGTGTGAGTTTCCCACCTTCTACAATGCTTCGGTGTCTTGTGCACCTTAAACATGTGCACAGCTAAAGCACAGTGGAAGGCATTGAGCAGTTCTCAATCTGTCAGTGACTAAGTGCATGCTAGTCATCTAGGAAAGCTGTGCTTACAAATGAATTCCTCCGTCGTAATATATCGAGACCAGTTAAACGAAGTCGGTTAGAGCGAAATAACGGCTACAGCGAAGCGGTCACGATTTCCCATTCCCTTTTGCGCTTCATTAACCAAAATCGGTTATAATGAAATAGCGGATATAGCGAAGTGAGTTCTGATTCCCGTTGGCTTCGTTATAACCGGTCTCGACAGTATTCTGATGGTAAAAAAAAAAAAAAGAAAGAAATTGGTTGGTGCTTAGGTTTACTTTGCCACATAAATATCCGTAAAACTATGGTCACGGCGTAAGAAACGTTCATGCGCTCTTGCATCGCAACGATGTTGGGAGCGCAAGAAGCGAATGCCAATAGATAGGAGCCCGCTAGAGGCAGAGGGGCAGCCCCCCACACTGCCTTCTCCGAGCAGCATACGCGGAATCGCGCACAATCGTTTGTAACACTTTGCCGAGTCGCGTGAACTGCCTGTGCCGCTGAGCGTGCGAGCTTGGCCGCTGTCCAGAGCGACGAGCGAAGACTGTGGAATCGCGGCTGCTGGAGTGGCACCTATCGCCGTTTCGGTCAGACACGAGTGCATCACGTTGAAGCAAGCACACAAGCGAGCTAGCAGATAAGAAAGGACACGCATGCACAGAGCGCAATTCTCGGCAGCAGGCGGCGCGCCGTTGGGGAGCGCACAGTATGTGCGGTCGGCAACTGCTCTTAAAGCGGAGACTCTCCTCGGTGTGCGTTTGGCGGCAGCAGAGTGGACTATGGGTCGTACAAAAGCTCTCGCTTACGGGCTTTGCGTATTACAAGAGCAGCGCAGGAGCGACAGCACCGGGCACAGCAAGTTGAAGAGGGACGAACGAGAGCACCGGGCCCAGCAGCAAGAGGAATTTAGTTGCCATTACATAGTGGCTGACCGGCGGTTCAATTGTTTGTTCACATACAATCTGTTCATTGTGGCACGTAATATGCGCGACAAACTGTGGTTTTTGTCGGACGTGATAAAATGCTACGAATTTAGAATGCCTTGGGGAAATCCCACAGAAACAGTAAATCTTTTTTGTCCATCAACAGCAGTGTTTGCAGCTCTCGCGGCGCAACCGACCGATTCGCGTTGATCGCTCCTGCTTCGCTTCTTTCTCGTTCCCCAGGGCGCCTGCGTGCTGGGCATTAACGAGCCAGCCGTGACCATCAAGAACATAGAGTGCTCGATCATTGACAATGCCTTCGAGAAGGGCTGGATCGTGCCCTGTCCTCCCGAAGTCCGCTCGGGGAAGAGCGTGGCCATCGTGGGCGGAGGTCCTGCGGGGCTTGCCGCCGCCGCACAGCTCAACAAGGTACCATGCCGAATCGGCTTCGTTCAATAGAATTGAACAAATTTGATCGACTAGAAACATCTTGATAATTTATACTTTCGTTGAACGTTGGTCTGAGCACCGCCGTATTCGATTTGGTGTGGATCAGCGTGCGACTAATATTTAGAAATGTAGGAGATTTTTTGTAGATACAGCAAACTTTTTTAAACTTCGTCAATCATAGTATACGCGTAGAGTGTCCATCTTCACGAAACCATGAAATGGTCCATTTTACAGTTAATAAAGAAGTGCGAGGGTTTTGGGCTTTTCATAGAAAGAGATAGGCTACGTCGATGCTTAGCAAGCTCTCTTTACATTGGGAGGTGTCTGGGTTACATAGGTGTCTGACTTAGTAGGTCTGACTGTATTTTTAGGATTGGCTCCTGTTGAGTATGTTTTTTTCTTAGCACGCATGGACTGCGGTAAAGCTATACCTACTGTATCAATTTTGTAGATGCCACTCCTTGGCGGCTCAGTTATGAAGAGGCTGCAGATTTTACGGTGTTTATTTCTAGGGAAAATTTGCGGATATTTTTTAATGTCGTTTATATTTTCAAAAGCAGGTGTATTTCGGAGATTTGTTATATGCAGATGCTAAAAACGGTGATTATTGGTGAAATTAATCCAATGGATACAGAAAAAAAACTTGTGAAAAGTTAAGAGTTCAAATTTAATTTACAATTTGTACATGCCCTTATAATGTTTTATGCTAACCATAATGCGAGAGTGCTCGCAAATGAAAGGCAATGAGTTTAAATAAGTTAGGGTCAAAGCCTGGGTATTCGTTAGTGTAATTACCAGGGGCTTTTCCTTTTCTCACCTTGCTATCTTGCTTTAGCACTTATTAAAGTGCTAAAGCATATTCATAATTTTTTTCTATATTCAAATGAACACAGGAAAAAATGACTGAGGTGAACTTAGATCAAATAGCAGTTATATTTTGGTTTGTATTGAAACATTTGGCTACTTGAACACTAATATTTAATAACTATGCATGGTGGCATGGGCGCACAAACTGGGGGGCCAGGAGGCACTTGCCCCCCCTAGTTCTCAGAGTTGGGGGGCAAGGCATGCGTTTTGCCCACCCCCCCCCCCCCTGAAACTGCCACCACTGGGCAGGGCAAACACTTGCCGGCAGCGCCCAAGAAATACCAAGGGCACTGGCCCCCGGCCCAGGGGGGGGGAAGGGGGGGTCTGGTTTGCCCCCCCCCCCCCCCCACTCAAAAACAAGTTGGTGTGCCGCTGCATGGTGGTATTGATTTCTGCTGCCATTTTTAATTCTCGTTTTTCAGGCGGGTCATTCTGTGACCCTTTATGAAAGGAACGACAGGATTGGAGGTCTGCTGCAGTACGGCATCCCCACCATGAAACTGGGCAAGGACGTAAGCAGTGATGATACCCATTCTCAGCAGATGCAGTTTCGACACTGCATAGTTATTTTTTTTTTTTTTAATTATCTTCTGTCTACTGATGCTAAAGAGAAGGTAGCATTTGGACCACTTTGAACACATTTTCCTCCATTCCACTTTTTGGCATAAATTTTACTTTAGAAAAACTATGGTTTCAGTGTTTAAAAATAAATGGGAAATGCAAAAAAAAAAAAAATTTTTGTAAATTTTTTTACCTGAAAAATGCATATTTTTAAATATTCCTTTTCATAGTAACCGGCAACAGGTATTCCAGTATGCATTTTACCAGAAAAATATGTGGTTATCAACACCATTTCTCAACGATAGATTCATTGAGCAGTTCCCATGCAAAGCTGTGCTTTACTTCGTTTGGGGGTATAGTACCTCATAAAATTGGTTCACAGGGCTGAAACTTTGCATGCCCTCCTTCTGTAAGGCTACAAACACCACCTGCAAATATCACACTGATTGAGTGTGAGCGGTTCAAAAGTTGACATTCCCGAGTTAAAAAAAAATACATGTTTATTTTTCCTCCCCCCCAAGTTAAAAAAAAATACATGTTTATTTTTTCTTCTGTTGTTTCTCAGTCATATAAATATATCAAATTATCTCGCAGTCAACTTGCACCTCGAGTACCTTTTCTGTACTGCCATTCAAATCATGTACAAAAAAATGAAGTCCCACCTGTGAACATGGCATTAGTGCACAATGGAAAAACTACTTTGATTAAGTGAAATAAACTGCCTATTGTTTTGAAAATATCCAGAATTTCCAATAGTAGTTTCAAGTAATACACTAATAGTATTTGATATTCATTTCAAGATGAACTGCGATATATTAATATTTTTCAGTGTTGATTGCAGCAGGTTAGCCTCATTAAGTGTGCTTCTTACGGGGCACGGATGTACTGTAAAGAAGGAACACCCGCGAAAGCGAGCTCCGTAGGTGTTACTTCATCACAGTGGACCAATGCTCGGTAAGAAGTGCACTTGACGGGATAAACAACCACAATCAACACTCGGACAAGTATAAATATCGCAATTGCGTGCTTGGGAGAAAAGCATATTTTCAAAGCAAGGTGGTGCACGCACGCACCTGGGCCGGTTTTCTCGAAGGGATGGTAAACCCATTTTGGTAAACCACGGTGCCTAGGAAGGAAAAAGTACATAGGTACTGTAATAAATGGCTGGATATATAACAATAATTATTTTTGATTGGGCAGTAAGATGCGCCATCTATCGGTGAAACAAGCCAGTCATTTTGTTTATCCTCTTTTTCCGCTGGTTGTTATCGATCTAGTATGGTATTTTAAGTCAAATATAGTAATGTTGTACTTGAAGACCAATTTATTTGCTTCAGATGGTACGAAGATATTTTAGCTACAATGCTAGAGTTTGCCAACGAATATTCGAAAATGTAAGAAACATTTCCTTCAATATGTTTCGCCATAAACAACGCATAACTTTCCCGTGGGCCTTCCAGTCTGGCAACGCCGGTGCTGTAGTCTCGTTTTGTGCCTTGCGACGCACGTTTGTGCGATTCCTGCTGATCTCAACTGTTTGCCCCCTTTTCCTTTTACCCAACCAATCCACCGGTGACGAGGAGCTAAGCTTCTCGTCACCGTTGAATTGCTGGCCACCGGGGATATGTAGAAACCTCGATGGCTGTCGGCATACTGTCGGCGCACTGCGAACAAAAAAAAACAAAAAAACAGTACAATGTCCCAGCTGTTCACCCGGAACGAAGACTTTATCGAGGATAACCCCCTTTCTTTGCAAAGTAATCGTTGGCGCGCATAGTGTAACAAATTAAACGTGTTAGTATAAATATATACCAACACTCGTTCGCAAAACATTTTTTTACTCACCATAAAGACACTTGCAAGGCTTATGTACCGTCATATGTCTTGGATCCCGGACTGCTGAAGAGTGATGCGTTCGCAGAATGCTGCCGTCGGTTAGTTTAGTAGTCCCTCTGAACTACCGCTTTGCTTGACGTGCTAAAAGTTTGATGGTGCATCATTAATATAACAGCCGGATCGAAATGAATGTTCAGCAGGACCAAGAAGAACTATTAGCCCTCATTAAGCGACGTCACGGCCATTTTGCGTGTAGGTACTGCTCCTCCCTCGGCGCCCCTGCTCTCCCAGTCATGTGACCTAGAATTCCCTCTTCTAGGGACAATAGTTAACTTTAACCCATGGTTCGCGTTCGAGAAAACGGGCCCTGGTGTATTTGAAAAGAAACGGAAACTATGTAAATGCTGATATCTATATTACAGTAAAATTTTCAAAATTAAACTGTAGCTGTTATGCATGCAAGATAATATGTTAGGCAGAGATGCCCCGACTACCTGCAATAATCATTATTGCAGGTAGTCGGCTACCTGCAATAATCATTAAAAAAAAAATTTTTTTTTTTTTAATTTGAGTTTGAAGAAAGGATATTTCCATATGGCAAGATTTGTAAATCCACTCAATTAGGTATAGTTAGGCATCTCTATAGGTTTAATTTTATGGCAAATTTGCCGTTTACTTGCCCCCTTAAGGCATCAGACTTTCTGAGGTTAAAGTCCATAAATATAGCTAGAGTGAATTTAGCTCATAAATGGACAACTGGAAGGTTGGGTACAACATTCAAGAGTTTAGCTGGGTCTTTGTTTAAAGGCCGATGTACACTTTATACTTTCCAGTCCTGCCCGCCTCCTCCTTTCCTATATCCTCTCCACTTTTACCTTGCCCCAACTTGGCTGCCCTTGCGGCTTAGGAGAGGGGAGCACGAAGAGGATTATCTTCCCTGCAGAAAACCGAGGTTGTACGTCAGCCTTTAAGCATAGTGCAACAGTAGTGAAAGGCTTGGAGAAACTATTCAATATTTGATATCAAATATTTGGCCAAAACCACTATTTGCTTTGAATTAGCTTAGAACTTAAAATCCACTATTTGCGCATGACTCGAATTGCCACGTCTGTATTCTCCGAGAAAAGGTTGCAGGTTTGTCCATAAAAATATAAGGGTTCTGCTAGTGTGAACTCCAAATGCTAACAAAGGGAAACTTGATGTACATGCAAATGCAAAAAGTGAAAGCTTGTCAATTTTTTCAAAGGTGGTGCAACGACGTGTGGATCTGATGGCGCAAGAGGGCGTCAACTTTGTCACGTCGACCGACGTTGGCAAGGACGTTGCGGGCAGCGAACTTCTGGCACGCTTCGACGCCATTCTGTTGACCACTGGCTCGACCTGGCCTAGGGATCTTCCCATTCCAGGTGACGATATAATTTGGCACTCGTGGCTCACGCTAACTTGACCTAGAGTCACTGAATATTCGTAGAGCACTGAAGCTCCGAAGCCTGTCTACAGAACCGAGTTGCGGACAGCAGTCGCCATCCCCATTATGGCGCTGCCCCGTGTGGTTGGAGCGAAGCGCGTCCAGTGTAGCGTTCATTCTCGTGTGAGCTCTTCAATCCATGTTCCTGGCCCGTGGCGACACTGGTTCGTTTTTATTAAAGTTCTCGCCCTCGTTCCGAGCGGTGCGTGACATGCTCCCCGCTGTCTCGTCCCTCTCTTTTGCCTCAAAACACATCAAAGTCAAGTGTTAGGCTCAGCGTCTGAGGCATAGAGTTTGAAATGCAGGACCAACGCAACCGGAGCGAGGAAATGAGCCGGCAATCTTCTTTGGCGATCCAGATTAGTGGCTACTTGATATAAATATAAAAAGCTAGAGAAAATCGGCGCACGTTCCGTTCGGTCCTAACTCATCAATGCCCTGAGCTTCCACCCGCACCACCCGCCGTAGCGAGGTAACACAGAAACATTTTATATACATTTTTTAATGTGAAAGCATTAACTGTCTCATGGAGTGAGCTGACGTCATCAGTTTGAAGCGCGAAAACTGCACCTAGTTTCCCCGATCCCAAAGGAGCGAAGTAAAGCTGACGGATTTCGCCTTCGATTACATTGGCTAGCGCGCGTCGATGGGGCTCCCATTGGCTGCTGCGCTTGTCAGTTTCCACAACTGCTCACTCCATGGCGCTGCATGTCCATCAGCGCGCTGTTAACATGGGGCGTCTAAGGTCAGCGTGCCCAGGAGGTCACGCGCGCTGACCGGCGACGAAAAGTAGCAGCCGACGAAAAAGAGAGCGGACGAGCAGCTTGCATGCTGTCGCATTCACAACTCTTAAGAAAGCTTAGGTGTACCTTGAGCTTTTTTTGTTGACTTGGGCCGAATCACAAAAATGGCCGACTGGTAACTTCTGCCACGGGCTAAACCAGCCAATCAGAACTGGATTCTGTAGGATTGTCTTCTGGTGGGTGGACTGAATGGAATTCGGTACTCTGACACCTTCAGCGACTCTAATTTGACCGATAGGTATGAGGCATGCAATGGAGTAGGAAGAAAAAGTGTCCCCTGCCTCCCCCCCCCCCCCCCAAAAAAAAAAAAATCCTATCTACACTTTTGCAAGTACATCTCTAGATACAGTTTGCTTAAGAGTGGCTCTTCCATGACTGTATTATATAAATATGGGTTTACAATTAAAAAAAAAACCGTAATTAAAAAGAATATCTTTTATAAAAGTAGATTAGGAGATATGGGATCATAAGACTACTGACTTGTAGTAGATTATTTGAGTGGAATTCTCTCACCTTCCCCAAGATTATGTAGTTTGCGTAGATGGTTTAAAATATATCTTTTTGGCTTTAACTACCTATCTGCCTTTCCTTGAAGTATAAATCTTGAAATGCTATAAATTCTACTTTAAAAGTTATGTGTTAGAGAAATTGCTAACATGAGATATTTTCCCATTTGAACCACCTCTAAAGTTTATTTGCCAATAAAGCTGGTGATATCTTTCTAGACAGCAAAGCTGGAGAATGCACATATTTAAAGAAAATGACATTGTTTGCCTCCATGTATTTATGTCCGAGACTTTTTGAATTGCCATGTACAAGCACTTTACACCATCAGAGAGCAAGCCCACAAGTATTGATATTAGCAAATATTAACTCATTGGCACAGACAGTTACTGATAACTGGCACATCTGTTTGGCAACATCTTACGAGAATATACTATATGGAACTTTGGAAGACTTCCAGATGTCTCGTATAAAAATTGTGCAGAATGCTGGTTTCCCTCATTGGATACCAAATTTAAAAACTACCATTATTTCATCTGGAAACGAATCTGAAATGGGAATAGCTGTGAGCTGCAGGCGTTTGTCACTTCCTCTAGAAAAGTAATTATCTGAAAGAGAGCCGAATTCACCCAGCGTTCTCTCTATAAAGTTCCTGCCTTGTCCGTGCAGGGCGCCACCTGGAGGGTATCCACTTTGCCATGAGCTTCCTGGAGACCTGGCAGAAGAAGCAGATGGGCAATGACATCGACCACCTGCCCCTCTCGGCCCGCAACAAGGACGTCATTGTCATCGGCGGAGGCGACACCGGCGTCGACTGCATCGCCACCTCCCTTCGACACGTAAGTGTCCTGGCCGACGTGCATTGTTGAATATGGCATGTGGGACGCCCGAGTTGGCGTGCCTGATATTGTTGCGGATAGAAAAGGTTCGACGAGCTTAAACTGAAAATAATGGTTTAATCGGCAAACTTGTGCCAGAAACACAAGGAAGATTGAGCGTCGAAATAGCAGCTGCAAACGTCGCGGTGGCGGTGGCGTAACAGCTGGCTGGAGCGAGACTGCGAGAGGGAGTGAGTCGGCAAGGCCACGCTCGGTTCTTTATCTTCTACATTAGGATAAGAGCAAACTCAAATCTTTTAGAAGTTAGAAGTGTTCCTTCTCGGGTCATGTGTGCGGCAATTTATCACTGTAAAATATTGAGCAGGCTTCCTAGCAAAAGTTGGAAATAATCGCTACAGTGGGAATCGATGCTTGTTAGATCCGAGAGCAAAAAAAAATAGAAGGGGCACAAGTGATAGGGGTATGGCAAAACCCTCAATTTTAGAAGCAGCCATGATGCACGGCAAAGCTCTGGCTCTAGCATCAAGCTTTGCTGCTTCACACTAGTGCATGCACATAAAGTTTCGCCCCCTTGCACCGGCTTCTCGAAGAAGCAGCCAACATGGAAGAGCACCTCGACTTGCTGGGGGGCTTATAAGTTTGATAGAGTATACTCCGAACTTCTCGAAAGGAGATTGGAAAAGGAAAAATGCTGTGTTTTACGATAATTGCTGGAGGGAACACCTAATATTGTCAGAGAAGCTTGTCAGAAGTAGCTGGAGTTGGTCAATCCCTGAAGATGAGTCTTCTTTCTGTGTGCTGTCTTTGGCACAAGCGAGTAAAACATGCTCCAGACACTTTTTTGACTTTGACGTGTATGCTGTGATTGATGTCCACCAGGGAAGTTTGGTAATGATGGTAATAACCTAATTGACCATCTTTGTTTCTAAGACAGTTTTAGACGTCTTTATTTAGACAGATCGATAAAAAAAAAAGTTTCATTGAACAGTCTGGAAACTTTTGAAAATTCACAAATTTGGAAGCTGAGCAACCTCATGGGTTCCCCTAGCATTCAAATTTTTTTACTGTCCCTGGCTTCGAGTAAAGTGTTTTTCTAGTTTAAGCACTGTTGTAGCAAATCCAAGTTGCTCGTCGATGCACAACTATGTGCCAAAGACTCCTTAGTACATGCTTTATCATTTGCCTGGTCTTGTAACTTCTGCTATGCTTGCACTTAAAATAAAATGAAGCAGTATAGTTATTGCTGGCAGCACAGCTGTCTTGAACAGCTTTTAGACCTCTTTTCTCAACACTGAGCTTCTGGGAAGCTCCGTCAATACACACGGCAATGTCTAGCTGAACAGCAGAAAAAGTGACCTTTAAGAAGCCACATGCTGCCTCGTAGCAGCCGACATACACATCCCCTTTTCCCGTGTGGTTTCAGGGGGCCCGCAGCATTGTGACCTTCGAGATCCTTCCTCAGCCCCCTCCGACACGTGGAGAGGGCAACCCTTGGCCTCAGTGGCCTCGCATCATGCGCGTGGACTACGGCCATGAGGAAGTGAGGCTCAAGTACGGACAGGACCCCCGGCACTTCTCTATCCTCAGCAAGGTAAGTCCAGCAGTGGGCTCTTCTTACTCTGCCAAATGGAATTACGGGAAGGAGAAGTGAGCTTTGTTTGTTTGTTATTTGGGTTATTATTGCGTTAATCTGCTAATGCAACGTTTTTTTGTTCAAAGCAAAAAAACTCGGTAGGTTGGGATTGACTTACTCTTGGTCTTGGCTAACTCTCGGGATAAACTTTGTTTTGCTACGTTGCTTCCCTAGGAGTTCCTGGACAATGGCCAGGGACATGTGTCGGGCATCAGGACGGTGCAAGTGAAGTGGACCAAAGATGCCACTGGTCGGTGGAACATGGAAGAAGTCCCGGACACTAGCAAGGTTTTCAAGGTGAGACCAGAGGCAACCTGCCAGTCCGCCAGCTGATGCCGGCGTTTGCTGTGTGATGTGGAAACTTTAGGCCACAGGCTCTGAAACTGGGTTCGTAGAAATGCAAAAGTTCCCCAGAGTATGTCAGGGTTTCCTGAGCACTATCTTGGCAAATTGGACTCACCCATTGATTCATAACTAGGAGCCAAGTAATCGCTAGCATGTGCATTACAGTCAAGCTCGGTTATATCGCACCCGGGTATTTAGAATTATTGTTTATATCGAACAGTCCAAACATCCCCTTGAAAATCACATGTAATAGAATAGGAGCCTTGATTTTCTGTATCGAACTCCCATGGTGGGGACACTCGACATAGCGAACAGAGCAAGGCCGCTGTCGCTTCTCCTGCCTCCTGCGGTCGCATTGCCTCGGCGGCGAGCACATAGCTCGCGTTGCAGGGCTGACAGACTGCCAAGCCAGCATACGTGCACAGACATACGCAGCAAAAAAACAATTGTAGAAAAAAAACAGCTACTAAGAAAAAAAAATGTAGGATGGCAAAAGCAAGGTGAAGGGCACGCGCGCACGTAGGGAGGGCAGGGAGTGCCCACTGTTGGAGCAGTAGCATTCACTCTTTTCCCGAACATTGGTGTCGCTACGCGATTCCTTAAAAGGATGGTGAACCGAAATTTGGATTTAAAAAAAATAATGCAGGAGTTGTAGGAGGGACGCTACAATTCCTACAACACTACTCGTAAGACAATATCTCGGGACGGCTGTATTTTTGGAAAAAGAGGTTGAGATTGAACGAAGCCAACAAGGCGCGTGACGTCAAGATATCTCGTTTCCTCCTCTATTCGCTTTGCCCCCTCTAGGCGGCAAGGAGGAGAAGAGTTGAGGCAGTTCCTTCTCCTTCTCGGAGAAACATGACGTGAATATTTCTGTCAAATGCGCCTCCTTTTTTTGAAAAATATAGTCATCCGTTCGAGATATCGCTGTATGAGTGATGTTTTGGTGTTTGTAACATCCCATTGCTTTTGCCGTGTGTTTTGTGGAATCCAGATTTCGGTTCAGCATCTCTTTAACCCCTCAATAAAAGAGGAAAAAAAAAAAAAAGTCTTCATCAAGTTGTCAACTCGAGTGTGTCAACAACAGTGGTTGAGCAATCGCACTTTGAACGCCTCATCTTTGTTTATCTTTTTCTTTCACCGTTATTGCTTTGCCATTTTTTCTTTTTTTGCCTTGTGTTTTTTGCTGCCTAAATTTAGTGTGCTTTCTTTTTTGTTGCTTGCTTAACTGTATTCTATGGATTGAGATTTTTTTATGCGGCTCACTTTTTCTGTTCTTTCATTTTTTTTAAAATTATTTTTGTGTTTTGTCACCAGTGCTGTGCGTGGCCAGGCGTGCGCATAAACAATCGCAAACATTGCCGCACATTGCTGCGTTTATGCGGCAGTGTTTCATCGTTTACGTTTGCCTTTACCTTCTCAAGTTGTGCTTTCGCATTCACAACTTATAAGAAGTGCTTAGGTGTACCTCAAGCCTTTTCTTTTGCCGTTATTGCTTTGTCATTTTTGTTTTTTTACCTTTCTTTTTTTGCTGCCTGAATTTAGTGAGCTTTTTTTTTTTGTTGCTTGCTTAACTTTATACTACGGATAGAGTTTTTTTTATTTTGTTTTGCTGCTGGTAAACAGGTAATACCGAAGGCGAGTGCGTAAACGATCGCAAATACCGCCGCGTAAACGCGGCGATGTTTGCGATCTTCACCAATTACACTGTACTGTGTTTGGTGGCTCTTATATGCTCTATTTGGTAAGGCCCCTTTTTTCGTGGCCTTCGGTATTAGCAGACGTGCGGAAATTTCAACTGGAGCTTAAGTTAACATATTTTTTGTATATCAAATTATCAATGTATCAAACTATTCTGGACCCTCTTTGAATTCAATATATCTGGGTTCGACTGTATTGTTTACAAAATTTGTGGGCTTTCCCACTGCTTTATTCCGTCATTGCCGAGACCAAGAGAGGTTCCTCTGCCTTCAGTTTAGTCAGTAAGGGGTTCATCGAGATCAAAAAGTTTGAGAATCCCTGCCCTAGGCAAGAGAAGCAGATGAGATGTTAATTTAGAAACTACATGCACAGAAAACATGCCATTCAGTGAACCTGGTACGAGAGAAAAAGTACTTGCTTGCTTTTATCCTTGGACTTCAAGGTCATTTTAAAGTTTTAAAGTGAGAAACTTTATTATACGAAGTGCCTCTGAAACAAATTAATGCAACTAGTTTTTAAGTGCAGTGTGAGAGCTAATATTACGGCTCTTGTGTATGCTTGGGAGGAGTGGGCCAATCCCCCTGCCGGGACCGAACTCCTCCTCTGGCCGCTCTTAGTTCAGCACGTTAAAAACGTGCTGGGCGATGAGTGGTAAAGAAAATGACCCAGGACGAATTGTTGGGTGCGAATAAATGTTTACTCTCTCTCTCTTCCGGACTAATGGATGTTTTATTAATTTTTACTGCATTTTTATGCGGAGCGCAAGGTTGTCTGCCTCTTGTGTAGGGGGTTGCGGTGACATCAGAACGGCGAGCTCAGATTTGCTCTGATTGAAGAATAGTGGATAGACCTAAAGGTAGCCCGCTTTGAGGTCTACCCACTATCCTTCAATCAGCGAATTAAAGCTCGGCATTCTGATGTCACCACAACCCTTGCAAAAGAAGCAGACAAACTACTGCTCCACTTAGTTTCAGTGAACTTTTTAAGGTGTTCCTGATAGAGTAATACTCCCCATATACTAGTAAAATTGCTAACTGGTACCAGCAGGCTTATTATAAATGGGATCTGCTGTGTTCTCTTGTGTGACTTAGTGCTGCACTTGAGTAACTCGAAACCTGTGTAGTAGGGAACAAGGTATAAGCGGTCTCAAATCCCCCCGTTTTTTTTTTTGTTTTTATTTGTTATTTTAAATTAAAACAGAGTGCACCTTTGAGACAGGACGAAAAACCAGGTGAACAATGTTGTAGCATCTCTTCTTTTTCTTTTTTTCTTTGAGAAATAACAAAAAAAAATCTTTACAAGGTTGTCTTTGATATGTGGAGGAGTTGCGGCCAGTCGAACATGTCATCAGCAGTTGCACAAGACCTGGGTGTTTTGATAGCATCATACTTTGTTTTACTTTCAGAGAATTTATATTTACCATAAAATATTGAGCGCCCATTCCACAATAAGTGGTCACCCCTCAATTTTGTAACATTGAGAAAAGGCACGAAGGACACATATTTTTACATAATGTTGACCTAAGGAGCGCCCGTCCCCGATTTTACATTATCTCCAAATTCTGAGTGGGCGGTTGCTCGGGATTTGACGGTAGGTTACGTTTATCTTTCAAAATTATTTTTAACATCTTTGTTTTTTTTTTTATTTTTTCGGCCACATTTCAGGATAGGTACAGCCCACTCAAAAAGTTGAAAGAAACCTGTTCAACTCATTTTTAAATCATATAACAAAAAATTGTCCGTATTATGCTTATGAGCTGACCAAGGACTATTATTTTTTAATAGGGGTGTGCGATTACCGAATACTAGTTTTTGAATCGAATACCGAATCGAATTAAGAAAAAAAAAGCCGAATATCGAATAGTGATTTTATTTGTATGAATTTTTCAAAGTGTGCTGCCAATGCGATTATTATATGTGCAGAGTATGCGCCTGGTGCAGAATATGCATCTTGTACGGAACAAAGGCTCAAATGTATAAAAGTTCTGGTGAAAAAAAAAAAAAAAATGCAGCTGCTGACGGACGTTGGACACTAAAGATCCAAGTTTATGGCGCAAACATAATCTATCTACCCTAAACGTCGCAAAAAAACCAAAGTTACAGCCACGCGTGCCTTTTTGTTTTCTCGTTAAAAGCACACCCTAACACTGCAACCTTTTTTTTTTTTTGTATATTTTAGGAAAGGGACATTTTGCGATATTTGGTCTCCATTTTAAGGAAGAAAAAGGACACCCGGGATTTTATTTTACATAAATAAACAGATAGGTGTTAAATCTGAGTAAACAGGCTTAAACAATATAATCTGAAGAAAGAAAAAAAACGTGGCTAGGTGGCACAAGTTACCGTCCAACTGCCGCTATGCATCTATTCCTCCGTCCTCCTATCCTGTTTTAGAGAGCCTAGATTTAAGAGGGTGCAAGCGAAAGTGAAACCCTGGAGATGGCTGCAGCGCCGATTGGTTGTAAGTGCGCATGTGTTGTGTTGTCGCGTTGAAAGAAGGCGAGCAAACGGAAGAGCAACGACGCCTACCCTGCCTGCCTGATCCCGATCGACGCTTTCACCTTTTCGTCACCTTCTCGCAGTTCGTAATTCAAACGCGGCTATCGAACGATTGGAAACCCTCTCAAATCTAGGCACACTATTTTTCCGTTCCTTTTCGTTCAGAATCAGAATTTAAGCCGCCTCGGTGGCTCCGAGGCGAGAGCGCCGGCCTACGGATCCCCATGTGGCGGGTTCGAGTCCCGGCCGAGGTGCCCGCAATCTGACAGAGGCTTATTGCGGAGAAGGCGCCGTGTGACCGAGCTTTCCGTTGCACGTCAAAAGATCCCCAGGTGGTCGAAATTAATCCTCAGTCCTCCGCTGGGGCGTGCCAGATGCCCGTCGTTGGTTTGGCACTTAAAACCCCCAAATTTGACCGAATCAGAATTTGCGGCTTGTGGTTCCAAAAGAACGACGACGATAACTCGGCTGGTTTCATCGACATGGTTAATGTGGTCTTCATTCTTGGATTGTGCAGGCGCCGATTTCTGTGAGTGCGGCAAGTGTGTTCTACATCGGCGCTTCAATTTGAAGCGAGGCTTTACTTGTTAAAAGAATTAGGGCATGACGCGGAATTCCGGCTTCCCGACAGTTCCCCTCTGGAAGCGGCGCAAATGGGATGTTTCAGTTGTGATTCAAGGGTAGATTCTGTCACGATCATGAGTAAATCTGCGTGCTATAAAGTTCGTGGCATTCGTTACTTTCCTTTTTTCTAACCTGTGCCTTAGATTTTTGTGGAATGGTAGGACCAAGAGGTGTTTCTCACATGGTCTGTCTAACATCATGGTGCTAACATCGGGAGAAAAAACAGCTTTCTTGTCAGCTCCACGCTGACCGCGCGTCTTTGGCCGAATATATTGAATATTCGAGTGACCGAATACTAGGAATTCGATTCGCGAATCGAATTATTCGGGAACTTTCTATTCGATTCGAATTCGAGTATTTGCACACCCATATTTTTTAACCTTTTTGTCGTCCTCAGCTTAATGTTTGTATCTTAGCAACCGGCTGCCAAGAAAACGAAAGTAAAAAAGCACAAACAAGGTCGAGCCCGGAGAATGAGCTCGAGACAGTAGCAGCTTCCGAAGAGGATGGACGCGTACACACTCGTAAATAAATTTAGGATGCGACTTTATTTCCCAACAGTGCCATTCTTGAGTGCCATTCTTGCGTGCCACATTTGGATCCCGAGCTCGGGTCACGCCGTAAAACTGCAGCAAAGTAAAATCAACCTGAAAGATTTTACGCAGCGAGAGACAAAGATTTGTTTAAAGTTTGATCGCCGTATCGTGCAGTGGCATGCAGTGGATAAGACGCCGACGGTGCATTTCTTTTGTTTCCAGGCGGACCTGGTGCTGCTGGCGATGGGTTTTCTGGGCCCCGAAAAGTACCTCATCGACGAGCTGAGCCTGGAACAGGACCCCCGCTGCAACATCCGCACCCCGGCGGGCCGCTACAGCACCTCCGTTCATCGGGTCTATGCGGCCGGAGGTGGGTGCTCTCTTTGCTTGTTTTTCGTCTCGGCGCCCGGGAGTGCGTCTCTGATCGGCATGTCCAGCGTCCCGTCCCGTCTGTTATGTCAAAAGCGTTCTTAAAGCGGCAACAAAGGACGTCGCGAAAGCCGGCAATTCGTGCCGTTGAACGTGGATCCCGACGGCCGACGCTAAAAGTCGCAAAAAAAGGTGCAAGGGAATGCCAGCATTGCCATCGTCGCGGCGTCCCGACTCTCGACCACCGAGGCTTCCGCAGTATGTCAAGCTGGAAGACGACCCGCGGCAGAACGGGCGTCCGTGACGTTTGCCGCCGCAGCCGCCAAATCGCGGCCGACAACAACGCGACGCCTCTAGGACGTCATCGGGCAGAAACGAAGAGACCACTTTTGAGGACGACGTGGCGAGCACGCCAATCGGGTATGGGTTCTGGGCACCGTACTTCCATTCGTGGGTTCTCAAAATGGTTTCCTAATGATCCGGGAGTTCCCTGAACACCCTCGTGGGTTCCCCAAAGCCCGAGGGTCGTTCGAGGTCGAACGGGACGTTTGTCCTCAAGAAATCGCCGACCAAGTTTACCTCGACAAAACTTGCGGAGGACGGGAACGTAACACTCGTTAAATATCCACCACTCCGAATGGCTTACTTAGCCTGCGAGCGGCTATTCTAGCTGTCGTGGCAGCGAGCTGCGTGTCTAGCTGTGGAGCGGCGTTTCAAGATAAATTTTCTGGTGAGGAATAAAGTTGCACGCAGTATGGGGAACAACAATGGGCAAGAGTGTACATATTGGTGCAAATAGTGTGAACAGTTTAGTAAAAGGCAACGGGTGGTGCAAAAATAAATCTGACCGGCACGATTGTCTCGCTGCAGTCACGCAGCTCAGTTCTTTCTATGCCAGAAGGAGGGGGGGGGGGGTCCAGTTGCGTCCTTTGTGCCATTTTGATAAATTCCCACTTGCCTGCACCTTGCTGCACCCGAAGAGAAGAATTCCACCAAACTTCTCCAAAGCAAAGGATCAGCAAACGAATTGTTTTTTGGAGTTGTTTTCGTTTTCGTCTGGCAAGTGTGGGAATCTCACTCATCAGATTTTGAATGGTCATTCACAGTGCGAAAAATTGCGTGCATGAGGCGAGCTTTTTTTGCTTATTTTTGTATTGAAAAAAGTCATGCGCCGAAGAGGATGACACAGAGAGACGACGTCTCCGCACCCACTTTTTCCCTTGACGCATGCACTTTAGTCAATCAGCGAGCGGCCAGACGTGACGTGTTGCCTTTTTCTGGTTGGGACATTGTTTTCATTGTTTTTATTTCGGTATGTTGGTTTGAATGAATGCCATATTGCCATTCCTTCAAACCAATGTACCAAACAAACGAAGTTAGGTTATTTGTTTATCTACTTATTTATACATACTACGACCTCATTTTGGGTCATTGAAGGAGTAGAATACAGCTGAACAATACAAAATGCTCAGGGATCAACAAACGAAAACACCCTAGAAAGTAACAATCCAACACACCTACCGTAAAGTCTCATTCGGAGCCCACCCGAAATTAAGAGATAAATGGTGAAAATATGGGGTAAGCCATCTGTGGGGATGAGAGAGCAAAACTTTATAAAAAATTACCAGTAAACACGGCAGCCCCTACGAACCCCGTGGCATGGAAACTGATACCGCAGATCGCGGACACGGCAAATTCACGCGCAACAATGCAATGGACACGTGGGAATTCACTACGAACTCCCCTATCACAGGAAAAGATACAACACACTGCAGATGCAACTCAACTGATGCGTGTTTCAAGGTGCGATAACACGTGGAAACCAGCCACAAATTTGTGTTTCACGGGATACGATGTCGCGTCCGTGGCTTGCGGTAAAAGAATGCAGGAACTCTCTACGAACTCGCTGTCACAGGAACCAATATTGCGCATGCAGATTGCAGACAAAAACGCAAGAACCCGCTGTGAACTCGCTTGCCTCACGTAGCAGCACTACAGGTCGCGCGGTTCATGCGATTTCCATCGGACATCCCATGATGTTTGAGAGTAATGGGGGGTGGGCAATGCTTCGGAATTTATGTTACGGATATATTGCCAGAAAAATGGGATGGGCAATCTCTCGGGGTAGGGCGCGCCTTTAAGAGATTTCACGGTAGTCTTGTAAGCAGTGAGAGAGTGCAGGCGAGCTGGTAATCAATCGTCATCTTGTAAACCCTGAGATGGGGAACGATAAAAAAACGTTTTTTTATCGTTCCCCATCTCGGGGTTTACAAGATGACGGTAGTCAATTTAAAAAAAAAAAATTTGATGATTTCTGAGATAAAGTCAGAGTATGTGTGTAGGCCCATTGAAATTTTTTCAGATAAATTAATGTGCAGAAAGAATGCCCAAAACAATTAATGTGGATCCGAATTGACTCTGTTCAGGGGTAGGCATCGCATTCTTGACCAGCTCATCTTCGAAAAACTTCCCGAAAAACCCGGCAAAATGCTCGGTAAAGGTGGGGGATCACTCACAAAGAGCGCTAACATACCACAGCTCGGACCCTGTGGAGTAAAAGCTCCCACTGCAGAGCCCAGGGGTCCTCGGTTCAATTCCCATCCCTGAGCGTTTCGGTCTGGATTAGCATCGTGATGGTCTGCAATCATGTATCACTACTCCCAATACACGTTAAAGACATTCATATCAAAAATGGCGCAAAAAAGACGGAACAAAAAGACAAAGAAGCACACAGGATAAGCGCTTGTCCTGTATGCTTCTTAGTCTTTTTGTTTTGCCTTTTTTACGCTATTTTTAATATGAATATCGATTACCAACTTGCCCAGCAGACCAAGCTTTTACATAAAGACTCCAGGCTAGCAGTAGCACTACGTTGGGTGAATTTCTCATCCACATCGAAGACACCAGACGCCCATAGGGTTGGCTAGCTTCCTGCTGCCTTAACATAACACACATTTGGCACTCGGTAAATATCTCAAGACGACGTAACACAGCGCGTCCGTTCTGACCTTCCAGACTGCCGCAAGGGACAGTCCCTGGTGGTGCACGCCATCAACGAAGGCCGCCAAGCTGCCCGCGAGATCGACAGGGACCTTACCGGAAAGAGCGTCCTGGCAGGGCCCGGGGGGGTCATCCCCCACGTGTCTGAGCTCATCGTGGGCAGCTAAGCCCTCCAGCCGGACTTCGGCGGTGGGGTATCGCCGCCTGGCCCGAACTTCTTGCCGTTCGTCTCGCGGCACCAATCTTCTCGTGCTCCTTTCGTGGTTCCCTCTGTCCCAGTCTGGCATCTTCAGGGCTTTGGGGAAAAGTGTGAAAAAAAAAAAAAATGAAGCCCACTCTGTTACTGTTAGTGGAGTTGTTATCGTGGCCTGCAGTTTTACGTGTACTATCGGTAGGAAACGAAATACAAATGCCGGAACTCGTTGCCTTCGAGACATACTGTGCTACCTGGAGGCCCATAAAACTGCGGAGTGGAAAGGAGGATGTGCATGTTGAAGTGCGCCCTCTCGCAGCCCGCTCTCCACTCCGCAGTCTTACGAGCCTGCAGATAGCGCAGGCATTGAAGGCCATGCATTCCAGTATTCACGTTTCATTCCGTGTCATTAGTGCAAAACTTTTGTTGTCATTGGGCTGAGGCGGGGGGATAGCGTCGCCCGGAGAGAAGGGAAACGTGAGCCAAAGACGTCTGGTCACTTTGGTGAGGAATGCGTGTGTCATTCCAGCTTGCAGTATTACGAGAGTTCGAGACGCTCTTTAGCCGGGGCTTTGCCCGTCTGCCGCACCATTGTGCGTGCGAGAGTTGTTGAGTCTTGGTGAGGCTGGGGGCAGGTTTGAGTTGTCGACCCGATTTCTGAGGAAATTGATTGGTAAATAGAAAGAAATTCTTAGCATCTTTATCGATTTTATTTGGGTTGGTGCAGACCGGCGTAGGAGTGACTTTGGGTTTTTCAGGGAGTTGTATTCTGCTCCTCAGGTAGGTCCTTCTAAAGAACCATCTCTCACTTTTATTGCAGCCTCCGCGAGAACTTTACTGCGTTGTACTGTTGAAATGCAAGAAACTCGCCTCGAAATGCCGTGTCGCTATCTTTTCGAAGAGCCATTTGTGTGATGTTTTTATGCATTCCCGACATATTTAGAATGGTCAACAGGAAGATGCTATCAATAGAGAAACAAAGACAGCTCGGAGAGGAAACCACAAAACGTAGCACAATCGTTAGGAACTACTGAAAAGTGCAGCTTAGAGTGGTAGTACCTTCACACGGCCGAGGAAAACATTAGTCAATCGTGGCCATTGCCTGGCCACAAAAATTTTGTCCGTCTTTGCTTTGCCGAGCTTCTTAGCCAGGTTCTTTCGGCCAAGCTTATTTTGCCAAGGACCTTGCGAGTTACCTACCACGCTCGGTGTCTTCGTCACATATCCGTCGTCGGTCTCGTTGTGATTCCAGCACCACCTTTTTGTCCGTGTGGCGTACTGTGCTTTGTGCCCTTGTAGCCGCTTGGCAGCAATACTTGCAGCAGCGCCTCGGAGAAGAAAACTTGCGTCGGTACGTCGAAGTCTTTCATAGTGTGGTGCTACATGGGCTTCCGCTTCATTCCTTGTTCCCGACGTCGTAGATCGGTTTTGTCCGTCAGTGTTTCGAAGGAAAGAAATCGGCTCGAATCACGCCGAAGGGCATAGGCGCCGTCGGTCGGTTGGTTTCGCACTGCCAGTCGACGGGCAATGACGTCATCAATAGCAAATGTTTCAATCACGAGAAGAGTTTGACGCGTCATGGGGCAGCTCAGTTTCACGAGATCGTTCTTTTGCTTGGCATTTAGGCATTGCAGCTAACTGTCCGTCGCATTTTAGACTTACTGTTTTGTTTACAATCAAGCTATCCTCCGAGTGGGCTGAATTCTGGAGTTTTTTCGAATTGGCGCAGTGTACTTACACCAGTTCTTGTCTCTGTTCGTTTTTGTTTTAGTAGCTATTGCGATGTTTTGTGAACTGGCACCGCTGGGTGTCGGGTTACAGCAGCATAAAGAAATGCTTTTCTTAAACCTTGTGCGTCGATGCTAGACATTTATTATTTAAAGTTAGACCATTTAAAAAACTGTGCAGGAATGGCACATGTTAGCATTGCACGGATGTCCAGATACAACGGCAGAAATGTATAAATGTATCTCAAGAAATGCAGAAGACAGAAGGGGAATGCGATGCACATACTTATTTAGTGGCGCTTGTTTAATTACAGCGTGTGCCAACAGCAACGTGTACTATTCATAGTTGTTGAGTTTTCAGAGATTTACAGACTGAAGCTTTTGCAGATATTATGCTTTCATAACTTAAACATACATTACCGTAATATCCCGAGATAGCCCACATAAAATCGAGTGAAAATACGGAGTGGGCTCATTTTCAGAGTGCAATCAAGAGAAATTAAAAAATGCTATTTTTAGTATATCTGTCCCTGCCAAACTTATTCCGGCGAGGGGCAGTGTAGCAAAGATACCTACTTCCTGGTCAGCAACCTTTGCTTATATCGCGCCTTAGCTAACAAGCTTTATTTACGCCAAGGTCATCATTGATCCGAACACTACTTTTACTTAGAGTGGCCTATCTTTTGGTGCTTCAGAAAGAAAAAAAAAAAGAAAATTAAGTTAAACATAGAAGTGGGTTAGCTCTCGGGGCTGGGGATTCTCTCCGGATATTACGGTAATTCAGATGAATGACCTAGTCGAGAAAAGTATATTTAGGACCGTGCACACTAGTCACAATTTTCAAACTTTTAATTGGAAACAATTTTTTTTTTTTTTTTAATTTTAGACTGCTGAAATTTATACCAGAGATTGCATTGATACCTTCCTGTTGTTTTGTATTTGGTTTATATGTACAGTTCTGAGCCTCTATACGATTTGGATTTTTTCGTTCTGTGGCTTACGATTGCAAACCACCAGTCTTTCAGGGTAGATGACTTCCACTGAAACTGTGCTGTCCTTAGCCATATACGAAGAAACAGTATATACACAAGTGGAACTGGTAGAGATGTGTTTATGCATGCATAGGCTAGAACAAATCATTGAGGAGGTGTAAGGCAGCAGCTTATCTTTTGGTTTTTTCAGCATCTTCTTTGACACGGATCTGGTGAACATTTCAACACTGCACGTCGTTTTTGTGGAGTATCAACATCTGTGTCCATGTAAATAGCTGTTATGTAAAGTAACACATTAAAATGGAAAAGAATGAAAATGGCACACTGCTTTGTTCTTTATTCTATCAATTTTTGAAACCAGGGATATCATTTTATTTAACCTAAACACTCTCTTTAAGGCTCTTCTGTTACACAAAACTGGCAGCTAATCTGTGTATTTTGTGCAAATTTGTTGTTTGTCCGAACCTGAACAAAGCCAAAATTAAAAATTTAATAATGAAATATGCCAGAAATATATTGAAATCACCCCATTGGGGTTTATTTTGGAGTGTAACCATGGGGCAAATCCGGGGCACCCGATTGGCCATTTTTCGAGCATGTCACAAACTTGCGCCTTTCGGCAGATTAACACGTGCGGCAGTGGCTTCCTTGCCAATCGGAGAGACCCTTGGGTGGAAATTCTAGCTCTGCCATTTAGCTATGCCAGTGAGGAATAGAGTAAGTTGCAGAGCCAGAGTTTCGCCTTGCTTTTTCTTTCCCCACCAGCTCCTCATTGGCAGAGCCACATCTTGAGCGTCGGGTTTGGGGCGGGACCTACGTTTCGCTTTGCGCTCGCGGAATGCAGATCTTGCAGTGAGGTATGACAGCTGGTAGCTTCTTGGACCTTCGGACAGTAGTTTCGTTCGACTTACCGGCATTTCTGCAGAAAAGTGTAGGGTGGTGTACTTTCGGTTGCATCTCAATACACTTACCGGAAGCACACTGCCCTGACCATTCTGCACCGGTGCAGGTAAATCGAACGAAGCTATTGTGTGCACCACTTAGGCATGTGTAATTGCATTCTATTAATAACGCAAGCGCCGTTTCAAAGCGGCCGTGTTCAAGCAGACGACACGACGGCGGACAACGCAGCACGTGCGTGCTTCCAAGTGACCCGGGAGACGCACGAAGGCGCCAGTGCGGCGTCGCATACACAATGAACTGCGCCTCATGCTGTAGCACCCATTGGGTCTCCTGCAAGAATGACGTTCGCTTCCCCTCAATCAGGCACGTAGCCAGGGGGGAGGCCCATGGGGCCCGGGCCCCCCCCCCCCCCCGAAATCTTCCATTTTGCTGGGACCTCCTCTCCCCCTCATACAGCATTTTGTCATGGGCGGGCCCCCCCCGAAACAAAATCCTGGCTACATGCGTGCCCTCAATATAAAGTAAAAAATTTATTACCACTGCAATACTCTGCTCCGCAAGCGGAGCATACATTTACTCTAGTGAGGAGCGGCGCCATTCCAGTCCCTCAAGACAAAGTGCTTGGTGGCTGCGTGCAGCCACCAAGCACTCTGCACACTAAATGTACAGCTGTCGGTCAGACCCGCCGGCACGTCCACAGGGGACTGAAGTCTTTCCAAGCTTGGTACTAGCAGCAATGTCACAATCCCTCCCAACACATGGGTGAATTAAAGAGGGGACCACTCCAACCCCTACGACCCCAAGGGAGACCTTTATGGAGAAAAGGACATGCACCACATACTTTTATTAAGAAATGTTTCGCGTTTCGTGAAGTCGCAATTATTAAGAAGATGCCATAGATCTAAACAGAGGTTCGCCCGTGACGTGAATCTCTTTAAACCCCCACACAAACCCCCCCAGAAAGCCTGACCCACGAATCTGTCCCTGCTTCTCGAAAGGCCCTGGTGCCCTGAGCCTATGTCCGTGATGATGGCGTCAATGGTAAAGCCATCAGCTCTCATTTCACAATGAGGTTGAATGCAAAGTACTTTACTTTAGCCGAAAAATACAGTGTCCCTGGAAATAGATAATTCACATTGTGAAAAAGATAACTCACAATCATTTACATTAAAAGACAATAATGAAATGCAATACACCATTTTCTTGCATTAAACACGAGCAGAAACCAAAACTTTGGATTTGTTGGGAAACATTGGCCTCGGGCCACCAAACACATGACTAGCATGTGGTATGAGTGGTTACGTGGTCCTCTTGCGCGACGACAGGCGGGATCGGGGTGGGCCATTGTTGGGATGGGCGTATGCAAGGTGCAAGTGTCGTCTGCACTGCATTCTTCGCCACGTTTGGTGTCTACGATATCCGACGAAGTCTGCACAACTGCGGCATCGGTCTGCGCAAGTATAGTAGACAACAGTTGAATTTAGCGGCAAACGCGCCTCGAAAGGATCCATATTACTCCGCCAGCCAATCGCTTCCACTCATTCCTCGAGATCACCATCGTCTTGACAAATCATCTTTTCCAACATGGTGCGTGCTGTTTAGAACGTCCATTTCGCCAAGGGGCACCGGCTTCTTGAAGTTACATGGGTTTACGTCTCAGAGCTGTGCTGATATCCACTTTAGTGCACGATGGTTCTTGCGCTACGATGTGAAAATTCGGCGATCGTCTCACCGTTCACCATTGAGGTTCTTGGTGCTCTCGCTTGGACGATCGCGAAAGCCTCAACCGACAAAAGCGGCGCCGATGGCTTCTCGTCATTAGTTTGGTGTTCGCCCTGGAGACAAGTCGCATTGCAGAATTGAGGCTATGCGAGCAATTTTTCGTGGCAGTTTTTTGTGCGACGACACGAGAATGGTGGTATCTGGTGCTCTGTGCCCTCACTCAGAAAATAGCATAGGCCTTGCCGGTCGAGATCGGTGCAAGCTTCCTTTGCGCCGATGCCTCCGTTCGTTTAGTGTTTGCCCCCGCGACAAGGTATGTCGGAAAATCGTCGTGCTGTATGCGTTTTTTCACGGTGGGGTGACAATGCTGCGGTGACACCGCTATCGATGTGATAGGCTGCGTGAAATACTTGGGCGACACCTCTGCCGTGCTGCCCCGCCGGACACACCCCGCCTGCTTCCCTGCTTGCTTTAATAAATGAAGGATGCCTGCTAGTGTGGTGCCTTTGAAGGTACATTTATTTATCCGTGAAGGTGGCGACCTCGTTGAGTCTGGTCGTCGTGTTCAGTCTGTGGTGGATCAGGTAAGCTGCAATTGCAATTAGCTTCATAAAAACCATGTCTGCTGTCGGTAGCTGTTGCAAATCACGTGCAGTCGCAACAAGAAAGCGCGTGATCTGTGCCAAGGGTTCTGAAAATTCCCCGCCATTGTGGCGCTGTTTGAATTGCAACAGGTCTGTTGTCTAACGCCGAGAGAAGACGCTGCTGACGTCACCTGTTGCTTGCCCGGAGAAGTAAAAACGAACAAAAAGTAGCAATATTGATGACGTAACCTTGAGTGCACTGTTGATTATGCCTCAATTAGCCCGCTAGATTTGGCCAATTTCGGCACCTTGGTGCGTTCCAAAGTTCTCTGAACTGTTTAAGAAAGATTTAGATGGAACTAGGTAAACAATATTTGATATGTGGTATTCCTAGGTGATAATGAAGAGGACTGCATTGTTTTTGTTTCAGAAACAAAAATGAAGTGAAGTTGCCCTTTAGGGATTCTATTAGCATTAAAATGAACCTCACTGGTAGGTATTTGTTTTAGGAACACGTGTGGTTACCTGTAAATTTGTACGCAATAGTCTGCTTTCAGTGTGACAACATTCCTGCAAGCGTGAAAACAAAACGGTCCATCGGTGGAGATGTTGCCAGGAGCCAGAGGGGCAGGGGTCTTTCCGACGACTTTCTTCAGAGATGGATCGTAGTCTTTGCCCCGGGGTTATCCGCACCTCATGTATCATAAGAGCAGCATGGCACTTCACGGGCAATATCGAAGCAACTTTGGCCTTGAGCGACGAAGAAAGCCCGGTCAGAATACCTGCATACAAACAAAATTTGCAAATTGCATTCAGGTTCTAATAAAACAAAACAAACTATGAAGAATATCTGCCAAAAAATGGGGGTGTAACCTGGAGTGAAGAAATGGGAATTCTGCTAATGACGATTCCTAGCAACCACAAAAAGAAGGCAAATTTCTCTTACTCCAGCAGATATGGGCGCCCGAAGGGGGGGTACAAAGAAACCTAACCCCCCCCCCCCCCCCGTCTTGAAATTCCGGGTGTATTGACGACGAGACATTTTGGAGGCATGCTCTTGGACGGCGGTCACGCCGCTCATACAAAAGACAGCCTGCACACACTGTCGGAGCGTGTTTCTTGTACGACAGTCCTCACATTGGTCGTACAAAAACTGTCTACGGGCATGTTTGAAGCACACACATGTAGGACACAAGCGTGCTGAAAGGTGTCTCGAGGCACGTCCGGAAATAATTCTGTCGTCGTGTCTGCAACGAATACAGCGTCGTTTGTACAAGGTACGGGCAGCGTGACGGCAGCTTTATGGTCCCTACTCGCGATCATGGGATTATCAAACGTGGGCGACAAGCTCCGTGGCACGTGTAGCAAGCGGGACGGAAGCTCGAGGCCATTGTGTTCACGAAGCCAACACCGTCCAAGTCGACAGTCTTGACATCGCTCATATCTTCGTCCGTTAAAGCAGAATAATATGACGAAAGGACTCTGATCCCACTAAAACGTCACGGTGCCCGTTTGGTCAGTTATGGCTTGCCACGGCGATGCTATTTTTCCCGTAATTCCGGGGTCGCTTCCGTCCAAAGAGAGATTGCATGCCCCCCAGGGTATGCAATTGGTGCCATGCTCGTGTGCGACCCTTCCTTCCACCCTACGAGGGACGCAAAGCGGCGGCTGCGCACCTCGGCCACGGGGGGGGGGCAGGACCGTCGGTGCAAAGATGCACTCCTATGGGACACCGGAACCTAAAAACTCGTCCAAACGTGTGTTTTTTTTTTCAACGCCGTGTACGAGGATGAGAATTCTCTGGCATTTACCTGACCGGCTGCCAGCAGCATTCGAAGCTCGTTCAGGAGGATTTCTTTCTCTTTCTCAAGCTTCCTCACTCGTCCTTCTGCATTCTGTAATTTCCTCTCCAGCTCTCTAATTCGCTCCTCATGAATGAAGCAAACTGAAACAGAAAACACTCATCTCAATATTTATTATAAGGTAAAAAAAATCTCATCTCAACCTGCACAAAAAGAGGTGGATGAGAAGGCATCAAGATAAACACTTTTTACGATGGACCCATGGAGCTTCGTAAGACCGCAGTCAAGCCCACTAATAATGGCACCCACTTAAAATGAACACTGTTATTAAAACAATTTCTCATTGCTGAACATACTCTGCGAGAATCGTACAAGGGACGGTCCACTCTTAATGGCCTGTTCCAAGCGCGATTCTCGGACAGAATGAAATGAAGCGCAGCGTCGTGACCTTGGCTGCCGGCGATATTACGGCAGGCCATTGAACGCGGGGGAAAGAAGGAGCAGAACACGGGAGGACCTTTGTACCACTGGGATCCTGGGGAAGGGGGGATACAGGGAAGGAAGAAGGTGCTCAAGGTTATCGGTTTGCGCGCTCTCGATTCGGTTCAAGGTTGTTGGCCCCTTCTCTTCCGTAGGTTCCACTGCTCTCTAGGCTTAGGAGTGGACGGAGTATTATGTCTTGCAAGTTTTCTTTTTTTCTTTTGTTATTTCTGGCTGCTGCGGCTTTGTGGTCTTTTCAGCTTTGTCCGTCAAAAGCATTTGGTCAAGAAGAGTCTCTTTTCGTCTGGTTTTGTCTTGTACCTATTCTTTTTGGGACACTCCCTGGCTTTGAGTCGTCACTTCAAAGGAACGGAAAGCAATCGACATGGGCTTGAAATCTGCAATTCAACAAAAACTAAATGCCAAAGAAAAAAAAAAAAGTGAGCAGTTTTGTGTTTCTTCACAGTAGTCGCAGCAATTGCTGCGACAAGTCATGGTAGGCATTGGTGTCGCTTTCAGGCACTACGGGATGCGTGAACAAAAGCGTTCAGAACAAAATAGGCACCTGACCATTTAGTTTATAATACTTTTGTTTCTTTGCGCGTGAAAGTGTGTTTCCCAGCACAAGCTCTTGGCACTGAAAGTGCCACATTTTGTTACTGGCTATATTTTTTTTTTAAGTGCATGTGCAGCGGGTTGCGAGTTTTACAAAAACCTGAAGTATAAAGCGGGTTGTTAATGCTGTGGCATAGCTCTGCGGTAACACCTCCGCTTCGCAAGTAGTGGACCCAGGTTCGACTACCGCTGGCGGCGGGCTATCTTTTTCAAGGATTTGGCAACATCGATAACGGACGTCATTTCCAGTGATGGGAAGAGCCCTTAATAACAGCTGTCACTGTAAAACGGCGACTTGTGCAGGAAATATGGCTTATCCAAATCCATCATTTCGATCATCGCTAAAGGCAAGGAAAAGATAACGGCAGCGACGAGCATGAACGGTGACTGCAGCGCTCGGAAACGGCTGCGGCATGCTGCGTACAAGGACTTTGAAGACACTCCCTTCAAGCGGTTTCTCAACGCAACAATGAATGTTTACATCAGCAACTGAAGAAAGCCAAAGACTGCATTTCTCCCAAATTTTCCCGAGTTCTGGCCTGGAAATGGGTGGATGTATCCTTTTAAGCAGCAACACAGGATTGTTTACAAGTTGGTCGTCAGGGAAGCTGCATCCGTGGACGTGGAGATGGCGGGGCAGTGGCCTACTTGGATAAGATCTACAGCTACGATGAGCAAAACGTCTGCCCCGCAGATGAGACTGCCTCGTTTGAACAGATGAGGCCTGTGCACATGCACCTGATGAAGGGCGACAAATCCGTTGGTGGCAAGCACAAGACGTGCACAACCATTTTAGTGCTTGCAATGCGGATGGCAGTGACAGGCACTTATCGTTTGTTGTTAGAGGAGTGAAGAAGCCGCGGCGTCTCACCAAGCCCCTGCCCGTACGGTACCTAGACTGTGCCAAGGATAGGATGACTCGGGAACTTGTCTCTGAATAACTCGTGGATAGGGATGCCGCAAACTTTTTTCGAGCCGAAGTTTCGATGAATGAATCAAGCGGTTCGAAAGATATCCAATTTCAAAATTTCTATATCGAAAAATTCAATGGAAGTCGAATTTTAGAACTTGTTAGAAACTTGATAGAAACTAAGAAGTTTGAAGCTTTTCAAACTGCACGTTAAGAAATGCAGTGTTTTTCAAACCTTCAAACTTATTACGCTAAAAAATTCAATCCTTTTCAAACTTTCAAACTTATTAAGCTGCAAAATTTGATGCTTGTCAAACTTTCGAACTTGATAGACAAAAAAGCCATTCTTGATTTTTTTTTTTTTTTAAATTTTCTTCTTGTTTTACATTTCTGGGACGTGCTTCTTCTAGCCTGTGCACATTTTGGTAGGAGAAACTTGCTTCGAAGTTGTGAGCCTCTGAATATGCAAGGATACATCACTTACAGCGGGTTATTGATAGTTTTTTTTTTTCTCTCCAGCTTTTCACCCCCGCATTTATTGTTTATATATATATCTTTTTTTTACCAATGGCACAGTTATTTAGGTCAAAAAGACATAGCTTTGAACTTCCGATCCACTAAGCATGTGACGAGTAGTGCCTTCAGACAATGAGTTTCCGACAATGACCATCTATGCGACCTTTTATGCAGTGAAGAACGACAGTAGCTATACATATGCATAAATAATTTCAGATGAAAATAAGCTCAACCACGCCCTCTCTCCCCGTATTGTTTTCTTAAACAGTCCGAAATATCTAAGAGGAGGCCCGGCCCCCCCCAACACTCATTTTCCCATCATCTTCCTCTTCCAATGCCACTGGTATGGTAGTAAGCTCCTCGACCTCTACTTGTGTCGGCTTCTGTGCTTTCTGCTCGGCGTTTCCTCCATCCCGGAAAATAAACCTCCAGAATAATTACAAACTAAACTTACTATATATGCCATTTTCGCAGGACACCGGGACGCGGTGCCCTGCGAAATGGCGACAGCAACATGGTCAGCGTCTATCTTCGCGCGTATTTAGTCTATTTTGGCACTTTGTTTTTTTTTTTATATCGATAGTATGAGGTCTAAAAAGCACTGAAAACCGATACAATGGCACGATGCCCATGTGTATTGACGGGCGGAGGCATGTCGGACTGCTCTTCGATCGCAGTTCGCAGACAGCTCCCCAGACGACGCTCGTTACTCGAAAAAGGTCCATTACTACCAGCGTGCAAGCGGGTGGGGAGGCAGTTTGCCAGATCGCTTCAAAGTTTTTCTAAGCCTCAACCTCCTGCCTGCCCCTGGCCGTTTCGAACTGGTTGAGTATCGTTAAACAGTGCATTCGTGGGATCACTACTGCGTGATGCACGTTAAAGACAGATCCGGGCTGGCGGCCACAAATAATGATTTATGGTCACATCTCGGACACTCGTCTCATTTAATTGCCTCAGTCTAACCATAATACCCAAACCTTCCTAAACCTGATTTCGTGAACACCAGTGAGGCACGAAAACATTATTTGAAACTGAAACTGTGGAGGAACATGAAAACCGGACTTCAGACTTTGCGAACTCTTACTCGAAAGAAATTAGAAATCCCAAGTTTTTTTTCAAATTTAGCCCTAAAAGAGAATCGAAACCTTCAAACTTTATGTAGAAAGAAATTCGTAATCTTCGAATTTTTCTAATTTCAAATCGAACCTCACATTAAAAGTGTTTCGAATCTTCGAATTTTTCGAACTTCAGATCCCAAGAAATGCAAAATTTTCGAATCTCTCGAATTTCAGGTCAGGAAAGTTTGAAATCTTTGAATTTCTCCGACCTCAGTAAAAAAAATATTCAAACCCAAACTTTTAAAAATTGTGAAAGCTTCGAACTTTTCAAATTCGAAACTCTAAGGTGTTCGAAAGTTGCGACGTTTTTGACTTTGAACCTTGGTACGGTTCTAAAATATTGAAATCTTTTCAATTCGCATCTCGGTTCGGTTAAAAAGTATTGCAACCTTTTGAATCTTAACCCAGGGTGGTTCGCGAAATCCCTACTCGCGGAGCTTGACGAGGCCACGGTCTAGCAGCTGAATGCCATCACTTTGACATTCCCCTCTCCGAAGGCCACTGCCGAGCCCCAAACACTCGACATGGGAATCCGAAATTTCAAAGTGTGCCACCGCCGCGTCGTCGTCGAAAAGATGCTCATCACAATCAGCCGACCGAGTGCATAAGAGCCTCGGCTGGCGAAACCCCCTTACAAACGCGGTGAAAATGCTAGAGGCCTCGTGGATGGAGATTGGGGCTGGGAGCATCAAGAATTGCTTTCCGAAAGCTCGGATTTGGGAATTTTCTCCCACGGGAGCAGGCGAAAACTATGCGCGAAGCATCAACTGCTCTCTGTGGACCGAAGCCGTCGCTGCCAGCCTGGCAGACTTGGGATGACTTTGTCGACACCGACGAAAATGTGGTCCTGTCAAAGTGCACCTCCGATGAAGCTATCGTGCGGGAGATGCGGCCGGCTGTCCAGACATCGCAGCGTTCGATGACTAGGGTAACGATGAAGACGACAGCGGCGATGGGTTTGCTCTTTCTCCTCCAGTCTCGACGACGACGGCGTTGGGCCACATAGCTTCGCTCAAGCAGCTGGTCTATGTACGGAGATAGAGCGTTCCCAAATTGATTAGCTAAAAAACCTGGACAGCGATATCACCGGGTTTGTGCAGCTCAAACAGACCGCAATTACAAAGTTCCTCGAATATATGGAGCACACGTCAACTGTGGGTGTCGCGCATTGAATGTGCCATGCTTAGTTGTTTTTCTGCGATTTTGAAGGTAAGTCCAATTATAAGGAAGTTCTGTTATAGCGAACGTGTTTTGCGTCGTGGAGGGGGTTCGTTATAAGCGGGTTTGACTGTATATTCATTGTATTTCCTACCTCTGGTCGTTGCACACACTTGTTTGTCGCTCGTGGTCAAGCTTCCAGGCAGTATATATTCGTCACCTGTTCAGAAAAACAGTATATATTTGTCACTTGTTCAGAAAAAGCAAAAGAGTGACGTTGACTGTTAATGCAGCAGATGAGAGATTTAGCCAACACAGAAGAAGCGCTAGCCTGGAATCTTGAAACATGCATCTGGCAATAGTGCTGAACAACTACATATCCATATGATGCCTATCCAGGTGGAGAAAACAGGGGCAGGCATCTCATAAGTGGGAAGGGACTGACACTGCTGACAACTGAGAGCTACAGTGAGTTCAGGAGACTGGACTGCTGCCACATACCTTCGGCCATTGCCAAGGCTGCTTCGTCGCTCATGGCCGAGTTCTGAGGCGGCACGTTTGCATCACCTGCTTGGACAAAGCACACGCACACATCATTTATGTAAATGTACGAGGTCTGATCAAAGAGTCACTAGACTGGTTCTGTAGTGTAAAAAGAGTGGGCAGCACAGTGATGCGTGCGCAGCAGTCGAAGGCATCGACCTTCCTGCATCGTTATGCCAAAGGGCGTTGCTCTGTGAACATTTGGAACTGCGCTACACGAGTTTGTTTGACCACATGCGCGAGCATAATGGCGATCTCTCCGTAGACTGCAAACCAAAGCGAGAGCGAACATCAATATTACATCAAACTCGCAAATCTAAAACAGACCAATGAAATAATTAGAAGGCTTACCATATTTATTTGAATATAGGTCAACCTATTTTTCCCAGAAATGTTCTCCAAAACAAGGGTCGACCTATAATCATAAAGAATTTCTACCTATATTTGTGGTCCAAGTTCGCAAGCGGATCGAGTGATCAGATTTTTCCGTTGCACCTGCCGCTCCTGAATTAGGGCCGGCAGCACTAGTATCTATGTACATCCACCTGAAGCACATTCTCTTTGTACTGAGCATATAAAAAATGAGTCCAAAAAGTGAAAGAAGAACAAATGACAGGAAAAAGCTTGAACAACAAGACCACCACACTCGCTGTTGGCCATCTGCGCTCCACGCGATGTGCGGTTGGAGTGAGCTGATGTAGCAGCTAGAGGGCTAGACTCGGTGCAACTCTGGGTGTCTTCAAACTGAGTGCGACTGTGATGGTACGTGGTTTGTGTGTTTAGGGTGTTAATAGAAGTATGGAAGACACAGGATGCATCAGGGAATATTTCACTATTGCGACATAGACATCAGAGGAAAAGAAAAACCAAATATTTACACCGCGACTATTTACAGAATGTCATTGTACGTGTTGTCTCTCTCACAGTTTTTTTCCCTGGTCACATGGAGGGGTAGCGCCGAAGGAGGATGGTGAAGGGCCCGTCGTTGATGGGCTCGGCGGCAGTTGTTGTTAGCCCGGAGCGTCTCGTTCCCGGAGATGTCGGTGAACCCGGTCGCTGGAGTTGTCTTCAGCGCCTCAAGCAGTCCAGTCGGCCTCAGGCACGCCGGCGCCTTGACCACGAGAGGAGGCGGAGACAGAGTTGGGCCTCCAACGCCTGGTCACAGCTTCGCCTTCAGAGTCCGAGATGTGCTCGCGCTCCTCTCAACCCTTTTTCGAAAACCGCGCCATTCCTCGTGCATCTCTTTTCTTCCTTGTCTTCGTGGTGGATCACCCATCACAGCGACCGATGGAGACTAGCGCCACCTCATGAACGAAAAGGGAAGCGAAATATGAAACTAGCAGCGTGCTTGGCTGGCTTGGTGCACTGCATTGCGTACCCGACCGAGTCCACCCCCACCCTCGTGCCCCCGTCTCTTGCTCCGCTTCATGCTTTGTCATTTCGTCTTGCTACGTGCGCTTGGTAGTGTTTGTCTCTGTTTCTACTTATTTTTGATTGCCGCTCCTGCCAATTTGTGATTGTTTCTGTTTCAACGCAACGTTTTGCTTTTGCTGCTGTTCTGAGGATGTCACGTCGGATGAGTTACACAGCCATGTTCAAGCGTTGAGCGATACTCTTTGCTGAGAGCTCGAATAATTGCACTGCTCAGTGAGAGTTCAGCGTTAATGAGAAGTTGATTAGAGCATGGCGCCAACAACGAGACACACTTTTCGCGTGCAATGTACTGCGTCATAGCTTTCTTGGCCCTACAATCGGGAGGCACGATACCCTAGAAAAAGAACTCGGACTTCACATGGAAGAAGAGCTTGCGAAAGGGCTTAAGCGTCCTGCGAAGATATTCAGATGAAAAGCAGTTGGCGCTGCGAGATGGGATAGGTCAACACTCAAAGCGAGTCGGGGCTGGGTCCAGAAGTTCAAGCCGTGGAACGGACCCTCCCATCGTCACAGAATTACCATCTGCCAGCGTCTTCCAGCGGGGTTCGAGGAGCGACTGGCGTAGTTTCAGCGCTATGTGACCAAGCTTAGGCAGGAAAACTATTACCTTCTCGGCCAGATCCAAAATGTAGACCAAACCCCGTTTACCTTGACATGCCCAGCCGCACGCCGGTAACAACGAAAGGGGCGAAGGACGTGCGCCTGTTGACGACAGGACAGGAGCATGCACGGTTCACTGTGATGCTGTGCTGCACGGCTGATGGGTGGAAGTTGCCGCCATACATTGTGTTTCGCCGGAAGACCATCCCCAAGGGTGAAGTTCTCCCGAAGAAAATTATAATTTGCGCAAATGAAAAGGAATTTATGAATGAGGAAATGGTAAAGGAGTGGTTTGAGATGGTTTGGCTGCAGACTCGAAACTTCCGAACATGCCGGTCCAAAAATCTTTTAGAGGCCACGTTTGTCAGGGAGTGAAGAAGGCCATCTGGGAGGCAGGTGTAATGTGGGAGGTGTAAAAAAGGGAAGGATTCCCTTGGATTAAAAGAACAACAAACTGGTGTTTATTCATTAGTTGGTAGCCATCTTGGAGAGTGTTCCAGTTGCCAGACCAAGCCAGATTTATGGCTAGATTTCACTACAGTAGACACTACATTTATCCCCCTGAGAAAATAGTTTCGACAAGACTGCAACACTAAACGTATACTGAAAATGTCCGATTGGTAGAGGAGTTCTCTTTCATACCAGTTATCCCCCTGAGAAAATAAGACTCAAAGATTTGGTTTGCTCCGATACATTCCGTTAACTTGCAATGTTTCTTTGAAAAAAAAATTCCTCATCAACATTTCGTTAGAAACATTTTCTACACTGCAAAGTTTGAAAGATGACGAGGAACACGACAAACTCTTGCCGGATAACGGCGCCCGGCACAATTTGGTTGGATCACTGGCGGTGCAGATGGGGCCAGAGATGAACAATGGTCTAAGGGGATGTGATTGCCAGGGTTGGGATGGAGGGGGCTCAGGGTCTTCGATGTCCAGTTCTTCTCGTCCAGGCGTGATGATCACTTGCGATGCATCCTTGTGGAAAGCGGCGTTTCGCGTTATGACTTTTCCATTGCAAAAGGCCTTGGTGCAAGATTCATGAACCTCAATGACTGTGTAGGGCTTGGGGTCGTAGAACGGAGTGAACTTGTTACGCCGCTCTTGTCTGCAGATTACTAGTTTACCAGGAACAAACTTGTCATGCTGAGTGTGTCGCCGTGCATCAGCAAATTCTTTGTTGTATCTTTTCCTAGATTCGTCGTTTCTTTATGCCTTGATGTGAGTAGGGCTTCTGTTGTCTGGGTCAGGGATTACTGGAAGTAGGTTGCGCACTGTGCGCTTGAAGAGGAGCTCAAACGGTGAAGTTCCTGTAGAGCCATGTGGAATGGAGCGGTAGGCTAGCAGGAAGGATGGTAGCTCGTCCGTCCAGTCCTTGCCTCCGATTCTGCTTGACAAGACTAGCTTGTTGAGCGTTCTCATAAATCTCTCTACCTCACCGCTTGCCTCGGGCCAAAGTGGCGTGACACGGTGGTGTTTGAATCCGAATTCTTCAGCGAATCTTAAGAAGTCTCTACTGTGAAACCATTGTCAGTCTTTAGCACCGTTGGAATGCCGAACTGGGCGAAAATGGTACGTAGTTTACTGATGACAACTGGTGCGGCAAGTATTTGCAGAATGTTTACTACTGGATATTTTCAGTGGTCGTTGATGAGGACCATTGCATACTTGCCATCGGCAAATGGTCCAGCGAAGTCTAGAGACAACTCAGTCCAAGGACAATCCGGTAGTTTGGACGCAGGCAGTGGATCGCGGTGGTGTTCAGGTGTTGCTGCCTGGCAGGCAATGCAGCCCTTCACAATACTGTCCACGAGCTTGTCTACCCCAGGGAACCAGACTTTGCTTTGCAGCAGTTGTTTTGTTTTAACGATTCCTTGGTGCCCCTTGTGTGCAAGGTGGACTGCCTTATGCTGTAGGGTGGTAAAGGTATCACGATCCGCGTCCCTCGCAGGATCAGTCCTTCTCTGGACCCACGCCGAGTTCACTCATTACTCGGGAAAATAGACGGAGAAGTCTATCCATCCAAGCATTTTTGTCGAGTTGCGGCAGTTGCAAGGCTTTGGTCACCTTGGTCAGTTGGGGGTCTGCCTTGGTTTCCTTTAAGACATTTTCCAAGGTCATGACTCATGGTAAGCTGTGCTGTATCATGCAGGCCACGTAGTCTTCTGACATCTTTACAAGGGTGCAAAGCCTGTCTTTCTTTTCTGGTGGGGTCTGTGGTGGATGTCGAGACAAGTAATCGCTGGGATTAGTTGACCCCTTGCTGTGTGCGACGTCGAAGCTGTATGGCTCAAGTTGAAGTGCCAGACGTTCGATCCTTGCTGACGAAGAAGAATGTGGGTTAGACAGGATGTTGACGAGCGGTTTGTGGCCGGTGCGTGCTCGAAAGATGGTGGTGAACAAATAGATCTGGAAGTGCTCGACGCCCCAGACCACAGCCAACATCTCTTGTTCTATCTGAGAGTACCGCGTTTCCACAGCCGTCAAGCCTCGGCTTCCGTAGGCAACCACCTTAGTTCCAGCTGCGGAAGACTGGGCAAGAATTGCACCGAGACCATGTGGTGCAGCATCGACGATGAGATCTATGCTCTTCTCGGGGTCAAAATAGGCTAGAGTAGTAGAGTTCAAGAGCATGCCTTTGAGCTCACCGAATGCTCTTTGTTCAACGCTGGTCAAAGTTCATGGAGTTCCTTTGATGGTCAGCTGGCGCAACGGTTGAGTCAGGTTTGCGAGGTTGGGGAGGAAACGTCCGCAGTAGTTGAACATCCCTAGGAGGACTTTATTGGCATTTGTTGGTGGGGCAGCGTTTTGAAGAGCCGACACCTTCATCGGATCTGGTTGTACTCCAGCACTCGAGAAGACGTGTCCAGAAAAAGTGAGCTGCTCTTGAAAGAAACTACACTTCTTGGGATTTAGCGTGAGCCCCCCTTTGGTCAGAGATTCCAACGTTGCCTCAAGGGCTTTGTCGTGGTCTTCCTTGGTCATGCCGTAAACCAGGATATCGTCACCGATGTTAAGAATGTTGGGAATGCTGCCGAGGACTTGTCGTATGGTGTCTTAAAATACTTCTGCTGCTGAGTTGATACCAAAATTCAGACGTTTGTACCTGAAGAGTCCGGCGTGTGTCAAGAAAGTTGTGATTGGCCAGGAGTCTTCGTGCAACTCAAGCTGGAGGTGCCCTTCCTTGAGGTCGAGTTTGGAGAACACCGTTGCTCCATTGAGTGCTGTGAGGATGTCGTCAGTTGTTGGCGTGACGTGCCGTTCGTGGCAGATCGCCTTGTTGGCGCATCGCATGTCTACGCACATCCGCAAAGCTTCCTGGTCGTGTGTCTTGGGCACTAAAACAACCGGAGACACCCACGATGTTGGCCCTTCTGTTTTTTCAATGATGTCGAGTGCAAGCAGTCTAGTCAGTTCTGCCTCTAGTGGTTTCCCATGGCGAAAGGGATGCAACGGTGTGGTTGTGCAACTGGTGGCACACTGTCATCCACATGCAGGCGCACCTGCTGGTCTCGAAGGCCTCCAACTTCCTTGAAAAGCTGGGGGTACTGTTGATGAATATTGTTTTCCGTCAGGGTGTCTTCGACGCTGTAGGTGATGTGGACTAATCCCAGACGTGAGGCTGCAGAAAAACTCAGAAGGGCTGGATGGTCACCGTTGACAACGAAGATTTCGCCTGTGCCTTCCTGAGCTTTGTATTTCATGGTCACAAACAGTTTGTCAAGTACTGGCAGTGGGGACGTTGCACCATATGCGAAAAGTTTTACACCTGCTTGCTCCAAGCTGTGGCGGAGCCCAAGGTTCGTCAGGTCGCTTGATCCGACGGTTGACACAGTAGCTCCTGTATTGAGGGTGAATTCTACTGGCGTGCCGTTGACCTCCTAGATCACTCGCGGTGATCTCGAGATTTATTCTTTATTCAGAGATTACCTCGCAGTGCCCGAGGGCTTTACAGCAGGGGGGTTACAATGCTGAAAAAAACACATCTTCACTTTCACTGCACACTTGCAGCTCCGACAGCCCATTCCACTCTCGTATCGTTTTAACAAAAAAAGAGTTGGCGTACATGCTCGTCCTGGTGCGGAACTCTCTAATTTTGAAAGCATGATCGTTCCGTTTAGAAATATAAATAACATCATATTATATAAAATATAATATAATGTCGCATGAGGTGTCAGTTGCGAAAGTGTACTCGTCGTTGTCCGAGCTAGCGTTCTTGCATATAGCATGGATGGTGACTGGAGCCAGCCGACATACTTTGGAGAAGTGGCCAACCTTCTGGCATGACCTGCAGGACTTGCCTCTGGCTGGGCAGCTAGATCGACCACCGTCGTGCAGCCATGATCCTCCACAGTTGTAGCATGTTGCATCCGGGTGTTGACGACGTGAATTATCACGAGGCTGTGATGCGGTTTTCTGATGGTGCTTGAACGGGTGGTGGGAAGACGGCTTGGTGTTCGCTGCTATCGCTGCCACTGTGTTCTCACTGGGCTGCTGCTGGCTTCCTTGTTCCATCAAGGTGACCGTTGTGCTCCACTTCTTCAAATAATCTGCCCTGTTTGAGGATTCCCTCCAAATCGAGGTCATGCTGCATGGCATAGCGGCAAAGGTGCGAAGACGTTGTAGACAGCAGGATCTGATTTTTGATTTCCGTGTCTGGTTCGGCGAAGGCGCAGTGTCGCACTAGTTGTCGTAGTTTGGTGCAAAATGAGTCAAGGGACTCTCCTTCTACTTGCTTGGCTTGCCAGAAACGGTAGACCTTGATGGTTGTGTTGACCCTTGGAGCGAAGTAGGCGTCCAGCTTCTTGCGTGCTGCGGTGTAGAGCGGGCTTTCGCCAGCGGTGCTCGAGACGGTTGACGCTGTTGCCGCAGGTGTCGTCGCAGGAGGTTCGGAGAGCACGCAGTAGGTGTCATGGACTTCCTCCCTGATGTAGTGTAGCAGCAAAGCGGTCTTACGGGTGTCGCTTGTGATGCCGCAGGCCACCACGAAGTTCTCAAAGCGTCTCACCCACTTCAACCACTCGGTGCCAACATTATTGGCGACAGTGGCACGCGCGTTGAAGAAGGAAAACGTCGGGAGCGTGCTGTGCTCCATCCCGTCGAACAAGATGTCCGTTGTTGGGTGTGGAGGTGTCCGTGCGGTTCAAAATCGCTATTGGGTGATTCTTGTGTTTTCTAACGCATCCTCGTCGCCATTGTAATGTGGGAGGTGTGGAAAAGGGAAGGATTCCCCTGGACTAAAACAACAAACTGGCGTTTATTCGTTAGTTGGTAGCCATCTTGGAAAGTGTTCCAGTAGCCAGACAAAGCCAGATTTATGGCTAGATTCCACTACAGTAGACACTAGAGCAGGCACGGACCTGATCGTTATACTCGGTGGTAAGACGTCTCAGCTGCAGCCCTTGGAGCTGTCAATGAGCCCTTTGAGGTCTGCGTCGCTGCATCCTATGAGGACTGGTTGGCGAGGGACGCTGCAGCCAAGACCCGGATGGGACGCCGCAAGAAGTTGCGACTTGGGTGAAGGACGCGAGGGAAGATCTGCCGGTGGACATTATCCAGACTGGATTAGGACGCTCTCGACAGCACCGAGGACGACTTTGTCTGGGGCGCTGAGGACGCCAGCAAAGATGTTAGCGAAGCATCTGACGAAGACGATGCAGCGTGTAGCTCCAATCAGCGGGATTTAAGCGACCACAATGTTAATAAAGGTGTCTTGATAAGTTTTCTCCATTTTTCTCTGAAAAATTTAGGTCAACCTATATTTGAATATTCTTTTTTATTCTCGGCAAGTTGAACATAGGGGAAGGTCGATCCATATTCATGCTCGACTTATATTAAAAAAAACTATGGTGCGTCGAAAAGCAGCGAGGTGTGAGAGGTGTTTTGAGTGGCACTCACATCTCAAGAATGGCAGAATGTAGTTGAAGTCAAGGAGAAGCTGGATCAGGTCGCAGTACCACTCTTCGTCTTACACCGATGTTCTGCCGTTTCTGAAGCTCGAGTGCCACTTAAAACACTTTGCGAAATTCAATGCTTTTTAACACAAGCTTGTGGAATCATTTCAAAGGTCTCTGTTTTATATTTGCCGGTTTGACGCAGGATTTATGTTCGCTCTCGCTCTGGTTTGCAGCCTACAGTGAAACATTGTGACTGTGCACGTCGTCACAATAACTTGTGTAGCGCGGCTCCAAGTCTTCACAGAGCGATGCCCTTTGGTACAACGAGACAGGAAGGTCCTTCGACTGCTGCGTGCACATCACTCTGCTGCCCTCTTTTTACGCTACAAAATCAGTCTCGGAACTTTTTGATCACGCCTCGTATGCTTCAGCTGGTGCCATTCCTGAGGTGCGACTTCTGCCAAATGCAAAAGGTGCTGTACAGTCTTTGCCAAAAGTTTAGAGCCCATTGTGCACACGGCCGGAGCAATCTCGCTCTTGTGCAGCGGTGCTGCTACCGTCGGCACTCGCTGGCTGCACGCGCAATGGGCTCTAAACTTTTGGCAAAGACAACAACTCATTCAACCATCGTTTGAAGACAGCCTGCATGCTCCTGCCATCGTCTATAAATTCTCAATGGGACGAAGCCAATAAACAGACTTGGCAACAGACCTTTGTGGTTGAGTCATTTCGGATAGTTAATGCCTAGTATCCTGCAGGTTATGGCACCTCAATCGCAGGTATCTCATCAGTAAGAACCGACTGACATTGCTGACACCGAGAACTTTTATAGTGAATTCAGGAAACTGGATAGATGTCACCTACCTTCAACCATTGCCGAGGCTGCTTCGTTGCCCATGGCCGAGTTCCCAGGCTGCACATTTGCATCACCTGTATGGACGAAGCACACATGCATAATTTGTGTAAACATTTGTGTCGTGTATAGAGGGTGCTGAATTCATGTATTATCAATTGTATATAAGAGCATCACCATCGGCATAAAGATCAGTCAGCCTGCAGCTCCTGTCTCGTGTCCGTCACTGTTGTGTGGCCTTACAGCCACGTTCGCCAGCCTACACCGCATTGGCGCAGTCGACAAAAGCACTTCCTCGGCAGCAGTCAGGATGACAGCCGTTCTGCGCAACTAGTGCACGAGGGGCGTTACCCAGTAATGCAAGGATGAATACGTTTGGGATGCCATTGGTAGCCCTGTTTTTAGAGGCGCCGGGAGACCCGGCAGTGCCATGGCGGCAATGGCGAGAGGACTTCGAGATCTTTCTGCAATAAGCGACGAAAATGGACGCGAAACTGCCAGCGCAACGAAAGGCGATACTGCAACAATGTTTGGGGGTGGAAGGTCGAAGAGTGTTTTGCACGTTGGTTCCAGAGCCTTCTGCTGCACCACCAATTATGCTGCAACTGAAAGTACGCCGGAGGAGACCACTTAAGGAGGTGGTTCTGGAGTACCTGAGTATTTAAAGGGCAACTCCCCATGCGACCACCGGCATGTCTCCGGCGTTTTTGCTACACGGAAGGTGGCCACGAACAAGACTGGACATCGTGGGACTGCCGGAGAGAGGGTTTTTCGACAACCCATAGCCTCACGTCGCCGAACTGCAATGCCGTGTCAAAGAGCGACAGCAGAGGAAAAAGAAATACACTGATGAAAGACACTCCATCATTGAACCCGGCGACTTTGTAAAAATAAAGAGGTGGGGAGGACCAAAAGTACAGCAGAGGTTTTCTTTGCCAATAGAAGTAAAAAAACGCATGGGAAAAAATTCCTTTCTGTTAGACAATGGGAAGAAATGGAACGCCGCAAAGTTGACAGTAGTGGCCAAAGGAGGAGCACCAGGTGCCCGGAACTTGGTAGAAAAAGTTATGGAACGACGTGGGACGGTAACAGACCAGTTATGTGACCTGGATTCAGCCAGCAAAGAGGGGGCATCACAACCACCATCACCACGGGACGTCACAACCACCAGAGCCCCAGAGACACTATCGCCAGGTGACGACAGCGCTACCGTCGCTACGCATCGAGCTGCAAGGGTGCTGAGACACTTCCAGACACCACACGTCAGGAGACTGAAATCTTGTCGACACCAGGAGAGTTGGCGCCAGCTCCAGAGCAAGTCGAAGCGGAGGACACGTCCGGCCAACAGGAGTTGTTGACCACGGTACCGTTGTACGGCAGGCCTCAGCGACAAAGAAGAATGCCCGGAAGATACAATGACTATGTTTTGCACTAGAGTTATCTGTTATAGTAGTTCCAGAACTATATAAATAACTGTAAATTATTGATGAAATTTATGTTCTAGTTACTGGGGTTCTGTTTTTTTTAAGGGGGGGAAATATGCTGTGTACAGAGGGCACTGAATTCATGTATTATCAATCGTATATAACAGCATCACCATCGGCATAAAGATCAGTCAGCGTGCAGCTCCTGTCTCGTGTCCGTCATTGTTCTGCAGCCTTCCGGCCGCGTTCGCCGGCCTACACCACAATATGCTTCAGCTGGCACATTTCTGAGGACTTACACCAAATGAAGACAAAATGCAAAAAGTAATGTACATGTCATTAGACTGTCGCTCGGAAACCGCTTGCGAGCTTCTGCCAAGCATAAAACAGGTGCGGGGAAAGCAAGGACTATAGCCTATCCTCCTTGTCAAAGAATGGCTTCATCCAGTTGTCCACAGAACTTTTTCGTAATAAGAATTGCAGAGAAGATAAAGGCACTGTAAAAAATTCAGGCGTCTTTTCAATTCTCCTTTTTTTTGATGATGTTCTTGCCGCTTTTAATCTCCGTTCTTCCCGCTGTTTTCCTCTCTTGGTCCCCGAAAGATTTGCTCGTTGGCGGGATTGGTTTTGTTGGCGGTGGGAGGTGACGGATTAAGTTTCATCTTTGGGCACAGTTTTGTGGAGTTGACCTCGCAGACAGAAGGGTGGGTGTGCTGACGTGCGAATGTTGCTGACTTGGCATGCGAAGGCGCCGCCGGGACACTGGGTATCACCGAGTTATCCTCATTTTTCTCTATTGCTCCCAAATAGGATATGTTTCCACTGGCTAGCGCACTTTTTGGAGGCGGCTGCTTTGCTCAGTCTGTCGTAGTTGTTGTTTCTGGGCTTGTACGGGGAAATGAATCTGCACATGTGTTTAGTTGTCGAAAATTGTAATAGATGCAAAAATAGTCCAAAAGCCGGGAGATGTCATGGCTCTTCGTACATTGGGGAGACCGGACGGAAGAAGATAACCAGAATGAAAGAACACCAACGTGATGTCAAGTATTCCACGAATGCCACCCGTCTCAAGACGGAGCTGGTCGACCACGCGTGGACCACAGGACACACCTTTGACTTCACAGCCGCGACGACCTTGGTGAAGGAGGATAGGTGGGGCCCACGCAAACTACTTGAGTCATGGTTCATCCGCGGAGATAAGACGGCGTGCAACAAGAACCGTGGCCCCCTCCCGGAAGCTTATATGGACCTTCCCGATAAATAGGACTGCGTTGACCGAAGCTCTCTCATTCCTGTGTATGTACTGATGATGCCTCCCGCATGGGAGGCGAAACGTTTAATGAAGTTGTTTTTCTTGTTATGTGAAGTCGGTGTTCTTATTTTAATCATTGTAATAGATGTTGCCATTTTGGTTGATACCGGGTAGATTTTTTCTCTGGGATGATGGCTGACCCAAAAGCCAGGGTCAGCATGTCGGTCAGTGGAAGAGCCTATATAAGAGGATTTTGTAACAAAGATGGAGCCTCGGAGCGGGCCGGGTTGCTGCTAGCGACATGTCTCCTCGCAGTACGCGAGTGTTGGGGTATTTTTTTCGTTTGAAGTTTTTGGTCTTGCCTGTCGAGTTTTCTTCATTTCTATGTGCGCTGTTGGGAGAGTGAAAGTGGAGTGTGGTGATGACTCCTCTCCGAGCGTCGGACGAACAGTTTGCCAAGACGACCCCCTTCTCCGGTTGACGACTCCAAGGTTCTGGCAGCGTTGCGACTCTGACTCTATATGCGAGTTAAGACTCATATTTTGGCCGTTCAGCTTCAGCCTCTGGCAATGCAGTGCAAAGTGGGGAACTTTTGAAAGTTTTAGAGCAGTGCTAATTTCTGTCGCTGTTGGGTTTTTGGGGTGAGTGTGGTGTAGCGGTAGCATTCGCCCTCAATCGTTTGCTTTCCTTAATTGGTCAGTGTTGAATTTGCCGTCCCTGTTTTTTCTTTGTTTCGCAGTTTTGTTTTATGGGTGTCGGGTCTTGCGTGCGTTAATCTCTGGCTCGCATGAAATACGCAGCCTCGCGCTCAGAGTGCGTTTCTGTTGGTGTTGGGGTTGCCGTGCGCGGCTGAGTTTACTACAGTATTAAATTTAATTTGGTTTGTTTGTTATGCTCTCGTGTCTTCGCCTCTTTGCGTTTTTTTTTTTTTTTTCACCTAGCGTGGTTTGACTGTTAGTCACCGGTAGAACCTAGTTCTTCTGTTCTTTTCAAGTAATTTTTTCGTTTAACCTCCAAATCGGTGAATACTGTTTTTTTTTTTTTCTCAATCTTTTTCAGTTTTACTCTGCGACAGGAACGTTGGGGAACTTTCAATATCTTAGAATGAGGAAAAAAAAAGATACACAGTCAGGCCTCGATACTTTTGTGTGTCGCCCCCTACTTCATTCCTGCTTCTCAGATAAAAAAAAAGTTCTTTCTAGTTTACAGAAATATAGTATATGTAGTTTACGGAAATATAGTATAATGTCCAAAAATAAGCCCTGCATTTATATATCCATGTTTGACAGTCACGCATTCTAGCAGAAGGTCACCAGCAACATTTTTATAACCTACTTATAGGTTCTTAAACCAAAGTTTGGTTGCAGTTCTAGTCGCCCATGTAGAAAAGCCCGCCGTAAAAGAATATGACGTTTCTCGATTACAGTGACGCATGCTCGGATGAAAAGCTCTCGCAAATCGTGAAACAGGCACAAAAATTTCGGAATCTGCGGCTTACCGCTGACGAGGGAGCCCCTTGTCCTTATTTTAATTTATCACGTTTTGCGATACGAGTAAAATAAGGTACAGTTCAATGACTGATTGACCTACTTTGTGCGTACCCTCTCATTCATATTTTAGTTTCACTTATAAACATTCTTTCTGTTCGAAATTCAGAAAATATGAAAGTGAGAAAGGCAGACAGCTCCAAAATGAGTGTACGAGTGTAGAAGCCATAGATTGAAGAAGCTAAGAAATTCACTCTTAATAATACAAACTTACAAAAATAAAACAAAAAACTCCAGAATTATCAACAAAAACAAAAGTACACCTCGAAATACCAATACCCCCTAAACAATCTCCTCATATACAGAACCCCGATTACAATTGATTCCCAGGAACAATTACTGATCAGCGCCTACCTACTGATTGATTAACATTGACAATAAATCTAGGCTTTATCTGTTTTTTGTACCAGTAAATTTTCGGCCAATTATATTTCTGGACTTTGCCATTTATCTATCCCTTCATCTCCAATAGTTTTCGCTATCATCAACTAAACTTAGAAATACAACCTAGCTCTTGATAGGTAATGCGTGGTGTGTTTGCTTTATTCCAGAGTTCAATAAAATTAGTTTTAGCGTGCTGTATGCTTCTGCCTGGGGCTTGCATTCACCTGATCAAATTTAGTTTTACCCGGAAACATCAACCGTTATTTAAAAATCGGTATATATGTAAGAAATCAGTTGAGGGTGGATCCTTTGATAAGCTGGATTTTTAAAGCCGGAGGTTGCTCATGACGACTGAGACAGGAGTTGCCAGAATAAACACAGACGTCAGAGGTTACTCTTTTCTTCTTCCTACTAGATGGACTGCCGTGATCAATGTCGTCTATAAAAAAAAGTTCCTAATATTCTTTGCTATTTTTTACCCATATTGGCCAGCTATGACATAATAAAAGGGGGAGTAAATGGCGAGCTCTCAAGCACGTGTGAAGGAAAAGCCAAAGCCGAAGTGACTGGGCGATCTCTGATGCCCCTCTTCCTGTGTGTGGGTTGGTGAGACTGTGTTATAGTCCACCAGTCGGTTATGTTGACGACTTGGTGTGAATTTGGTTTAGCGGAACTGCATTCTCCAAAAGAGAACACCCGACTATCTTCTCTCCACCCAGCCCCCCAACCTCTTCGGAGGGTGATCACCACCCCTCATGGCCAGTTTTTTCTGTGAATCGTCCATAAAAATGGTAATAGAGTTTTCGTAGATTGTTTCGGCTGTCCTGCAAGGATCTCCACAACCCGCTACGGGATCCGGGACTCTGCAGGCAAAGCTAGCGTTGCACACGCGCAGTAGTGGTGTCTTCGTTCAGGAGAGCATAACGGAGGTGGGAAAACAGTCTACGAAAAGTCTCTAACTACCGTGACTCGGGAGCCCCGTTCTCAAGGCATACTAGAGCGAACAGACTCATTCCTTTACGGCCCTTACGGTAAAGGTTGTTTCTCCCTTCCACCGCAGCTCGATGTGGTGACTGAGACCCTATCCTTCCTGCAGCGCTTTAACTCCTCCCAAGGAGGTACCCCAGGCTTCTCAATATTGGCCACCAGCTTTCTGCCTTTGATAACACCTCCGCGCACGCGCAGCCAAAGCCTGGAAGCCTCAATGCTGGCTGTACTGCGCTGGCTGAATTTCTCATCTACCAAGGACACATCAGACGCTGGCTTTTCAAACACTACACTGTTCGCATGCGAGCATTGTATTTAGACTGCAGGTAAGTTACCTTCAACGTGCATTTCTGAATATGCTCACTGACGAGCTGGTATTCATATTTATTTAAAGCCTTACTCGTATAAAAACAAGACTCTCAAATCACCTTTTTATCATAATTAAATCACCGACACTCGAAACCACGAAGTTCAGTACTGCTATATAAAAAACTGGGCATGGTTTGTTTCTTTTCTTTTTGTGCTACATTTTTTATATGGGAAGCTATTTTTAAGATGGCTGCCACTAAAAACTGTACGTTCTGTCCTCCTCCTCCTCCTCTCCTCCTCCCTCCCCCCTCCCCCTCTCCTCTCCCCCCACCCCCCCCAAACTTCGAATGGATATATGCCCCTGACTCACAGTAACTTGAAGACTTTCGAAGTGGCAGTAACCAATCAGGGACACAATGTTTTCACGTGACACCCTGTGGCGGTGATGATGACAACTGAAGACTTCGTCCTGGTTTGAAATTGATTGTTTTTGGAAATAAATTGTTTCAGAAAGTTGAGTTAGTATTCTCAACGCCATCTAAAGGTAAAAAACGTGTTCATAGCCCGTAACTGTGTGTCTAAATAGTGCAAGAAAAATAAAATTTATTGATGATGATATCAAATTACAGCAATTGGTTGCTGCATGTGAACGCGGGCAGCCCATGTTGCTTGTGTTGCAACGTCAAGTTGCTGGAAGAAATTGCCATGTCTGAAGTGGCCTTATGAGCTGGAAGTTTGCCGGGCCGTCGAAGACACTGCCTGGTGGCGTTTGCAAAGAAAAGGGTGTATGCGGAGCGCAAGTTCGTCTGCCCCTTTTGCGAGGTTGTGACAACGTCAGAACGCTGAGCTCTGGTTGTTTCTAATAGACCTATTGCTAAATTGCCCAAGCGTCAAGGAGAGTGCAGGGAATGGTGTTCCATGCGCCACAAGTGCTGGCGTCCACAGCAGTAACTGTTCTAGAGCAAAAGCCTAGAACTAATGCCATCTTGCACGCGCGTTCGTCAACGCTTTATTTCTGTTATTTACTTTAAATATTTTATACAGGAAGGCGGGCGCATGCAGCGCGTGGAACACCATTCCCTGCATTCTTCTTGATGTTTGTGTAATATATAGCAACAGGTCTATAGGAGGTATTCACTGAACGCCATATTTGAGGGCAATGTTTAGAGCGCATGCTCAGAACGAGCTCACATTAATAGCCTGCTAAGACCGGGAACCTTGATGGTGCTAAATGCACACTCCAAAAGGACTGCGGAAGCTCGCCGTCAGCACGCGCTCAGCAGCAGCGCACACGGATATGGGCGCCAGTGAATACTCCCTATTGAACGGTAGTGGGTAGACCTCAAGGCAGCTTGCTTAGAGGGGGTCTACCCATTATCTTTCAATCAGAGCCAATCAGAACTCGGTGTCATTCTGCACCGCAACCCCTGAGAAAGAAGCTATGCGGAGTGCAAGAACTTGCTCTCCGCAAAGAGTCAAAGCCAAACTATACTCACATCGTATACTTTTCTGTCGGGGAGGCCGCCTTGCATGCGTCCGTGGTTTGAAGGGAGCGAAAACCGAGGGCACGGCGTTGGGTTTTAGCTTGCGTTTTCCGTCTGCTCGGTGTCTTTCAAACGCGTCTGGCGTAAAATGATCCTGTTGGTTGAAGGGACATTTACACCGAGATAAAGTGAAGTTACGTTATTGCTCACCTCGCAGAGCCGTGTCTGCCCCGACGGCGTAAAATTCTTGCGGTTTATTCTCCGCAACCATTCTTCCCGACGGGCGACATCTCGCTTGCCCGATGGCACTCTAAAAAGGCGCTTGCCGTCTTTGAAGCGGCTGCTACAACCGACGGCGCAGCACATGGGCATCTTGCCAACTTTCTTTCACAAAACGGAAACCCGGCGAGCAGCAAGTGTCTGGAGGGTCTGGAGTTTGAACTGTTTGAACGTGTCTGGAGCGTCTAGAACCTAGAGCCAGAGCAACACCGGCAACACCCGGACATTAGTAGCGCCTCCCTTGCCTCCGAAGGGAGTGCGGGGAGTGCCTCGAGTTGGAGTCATCGGAGCGCCTACTGAACGGCAAAAAAACCCGCGGCCCCGCGGCTCCAAACCTGCTTCTACGCAACTTCCGCTTCCTCCCCTGCGCCAGACGGTCTCCGAATAAACTGGAAGCAGACGATGGCGAGCACGATCGCTTTTATTTGACCCCGGTATTGAAGAAGTCTTTACAAGGTCGTTGAAGAACAAGCGGGTGATTGTACACATCAGCGCTGCTGTTCGAAGCGATGCAATGCGATCGAGCCCTTCGCTTGGCGGTGCAAAGGCAGCTACTGTTATAAAAGCCGACAAAAAACGTCGTCAGCACACGCAAAATACAGAGCTTAGCGAATCTACCCCGCCGGTTGCGATACTTTTATACGGCCATAAGTTTGTTCTGCCCTTCGTAACGAACTTCCTATAAAATGTATTCGTATACACACGGGAAGTTCGGCCGCGCTCGGCGATCAAGGTTTTGTCGGCCGAAGCGAGCCTCAGCCAACGTGCACCCCGATTTAGCTACGCAAACAAAACATTAATCGGTATCATGCTCTGCGTGAGTGTCCAACCGGCTTCCAAAGTCGCGTTCATACCCTGTTTTGCTCTGTTGAGCGCGGACAGGACTATCGTCAATTACCGAGTTTCCGTGCAACGGTGATCGAGACACAGCGTCAAATGAACGTTTGCGTTGTTTATTAGCATATTCAAACCAAACAAAATACTGTCCAATGCATTTTCCAAAAGAGCCTTACCTGAAAAAGATATTCGAACGCGTTATTCGTCTTACCTAGAGCACTTTTCATTAACAAAAGCGAGCAAACCGCGCACCCGCGACAGAACCGAAGCAGTTTATCCCGCCATATTGTTTGTTTTTTCCTCTTTTAGCGCCGGAAATCGTCACCAGTCAGGAAATTACGTCATTTTAGCTCCTTTGACTCTACGTGCACCGTCTCCGGACTCGGTGCTTCGGAGCTTGACTCCGAAGCCCCGGAGTTACGTGCACCGGAAATGACTTTTGGCCGTCCAGTGGAAGGAGTCAGTGACTCCTTGACTCCGGGGCCGCTACTGAACGCGCCCATAGGGCCAATGGAGTCGATGGATGGATGAATACGGCTGAGCCCTTTGGATCGGGCGGTAGCTTACGCCACCTAGCCATTTTGTTTTACCATTTAAGCTTAGAATATTTAAATGTGAAATCTATATTCACTCCGCAGTGCAAAGAAAGTGAGGCTATGAAACCCCCTTGCCATCAGTGGATAAGAAAATACCTAGTTTTCTCTCGATTTCTGCCACCATTCACTTAATCTTTGCTTGGTAATCTCTACAGTCTTGAAATCCACTCTCCCTTCGCTGTCTCTAAAACCCAATGACTTTATTAAGTCTATGTTGTCTTCGGTAGGCATAGGGTGAAGCCCTTTACAGTAGAGTATCAAGTGCTCAGCCGTCTCGTCCTCCTCTCCACAAGCAGTGCACACTGTATCAATTTCCTGGTACTTCACTCCAGGGCCGTACCCAGAAAAAAATTTCGGGGGGGGGTTTTCGGGGACAACGGCGGCCATTTTGAAAGTGTCTATTGTCTTATTTTCGCCTATGAATCATGTGCATCGGTGGTATATAATGGAGAGTTGCAGCAAACCGGAGAATCGGTCCCGGTTTGGTATCCGGTAGCCGACCGGCGCCACTGCGCGTGCGCAGAGGTGGAGATTAAAATCGGCTGGCTGCAAGTGCACCGACCAGGGCCGTACCCAGAAAAAACTTTCGGGGGGGGGGGGGGGGGTCAGAACCCCCTATCCCCCCCCCCCCCCCCCCCCCCCTGGTTACGGCCCTGCTTCACTCTGTATGTTCTGGTTCGCAGAACACCCGTTCTTGCCTCAAACAGCAATGAGCTTCCCCTAGAATTGTCATAAATGCTTTCTTTGGCAATAACTCTTTTGTTTAATCTATACGCCTTGCAAGTGGGCTCATTTTCGTCTTCTGCGCATGAGAAAGGAAGTAGCGGTGACGTCAGAACGCCGAGCCCTGATTGGCTGATCGCGACCCCTATCTGAGCGTCGTCTGCTCCTTTGCAACGTCGTCTGCTCGCAACCTCGTCTGCGGCTGTCTTACCTTTTCTGCGACTTTCGGAAGTGCAGGTCTTTACGAGCGAGCTCGACTTCGGTACGTTGTTTTTGCCTAAGAACTAGCAGACGCGCATCAAGGAGGGAAGTCAAATGACTCACTGGCGAGGTGTCCCGAAGCGTCGAGGTTTGTTTGCTAAGAACCGAGAGGGTGTGAGCGTGTTAGTGTCCGCAAGTTCCCTTCCAAATACTTTTTCCCTCCTTTCGTGTGCGGCGAGACCCCTGATTCTTTAACGGCATCGGCGGGTTGGCGCAGTTAATATCGTCTGCGTTACGCCTGCTAGTCAAAGCGATGGCTGCTTTACCTTTCCCGCGTCTGCGGGAGATTCACCGCTTTTTCACCGGCGAGAGTCACCGTTGCCTCGGGGAACAAGGAGATAACAAGAGGAAGAAAATGACCTCTTAAAGGGACACTGACACCCCCCAAAATTTATTTTTAATTTTTTGCCAGGCGCTTCATTATGGTGTCGGAGGACTACCCAATTAATATTTTGCAACAGAGTACCGTATTTTTTTAATAAAGCCAAAAGACGCAACTGCTCGAAACCGAAACCGAAACCTGACGGAGGTCGGAGAAGTGGAGAGAAGAGAGTGGAGTGGCGGAAGTCACGTGGCTGCACCCGACCGTGTGTTTTTTTTTTTTTCTTTTTCCCGGTAGCAGACGACATGCGGCGTATGGGAACTGCTCGCCGTGGGATTCTTTTGCAGTTATGTTTGTTCCGCTCGTTGTTCTGTACTCCAAGATGAGTTGTTTTGTACATTGAGGAGTTGGAGATGAGTAGTGAGTGCCCGTGGTGAATTTTGATCGGCTCCGAAAAGAATACACCCAAGATGTTGCGTGAAGAGCTGGCTCACATGTCCCGCGTCCGAAACAGAAGTGGCATTGTGCGACAGAGTTTCCGAAAGATCAACGGGATCGGGACCAATGGCTGGCTGCAATTCCTGTAGACCATTTACGGGCACCTCAGGAAGCGGACGGTACCTGATTTATATGCTCCTTGCATTTTGTGGAAAGTGATTACATTGAGTTCGCAGGTGTCAAAAAGGAAATCCCATACCATTTAATTCAGCGACATGTCGTCCACAAAATTTGTTTCTTATTTTTTGTTTTTGTTTCTTCAGTAATAATTGTAAAAAAAAAAAAAAAGAAATGTAGACATCAAAAGTATTTAGAAAAAAAAAAAAAAAAAAAAGAGTTTCACGGGGGATCGAACCAGGCTCTACCGCGTGTGAAGGGGACGTCTTTCCCACTGAGCTACTGGGGCATATCGAAAATGCGGTATCTCTTTCCTTAGCAATAATTTAGCCGATAAACTGTAGGTTGAAAAGTTTGCTGCCGATTTTCCTCTAGCAAAAGCACTCCCGGGTCGAAGTCGGGATGCACCACGCATTCGCGACATTCTCACCTAGTAAAGAAATCGTACGCTTGCATATTCAACTCGAAGTAGACACGTCGCGCTTGGCGTTTGCGCGAGCGATGTCTTCAGCCACGAGAAGGGAGCGGCGGCTCGGCGACGTCTTCGTGCAAATCGGCTTGGTGGTCGGGCGTGTCGTACGGGATGAATACCAATCCTTTTGACCAGTCCCAAATTTATCTTTTAAAGGCAGACGAAATTCGCCGGTACCGCGAACGACAGTTCTGAAATAGAGGTCCCACGCCCGTCGTCCGCTGCCATCGCCGTCCCCGCGAGTCCCACGATACGCGAAACGACGCACGCACAGAATGCTTCCGGTTGTCTGTGGAACTTTTTTTTCAATCAACGTATTTGCAGCTTTTTAGAAGCCACAAAAAATGGGTTTTATATTTTTTTATATTTTTAATATTGAGTGTGTGCCTTCAGTGACCTACGACTTTGATTAAATTTGGTGGTCGCATCGATACCTTAGAAAACGGCCCGTGACCGCGGAAAAGAGGGTGAGCGAGACTCGAACCGGCCAGTTCTTGATCGGCAGTTTTCGGGCGGAAAGAAACCGAATTTCGAGCCGCAAATTCTGTTCTGGGTAGTTGAGCTCTCATATGTCACGTACAACTAAAAACCTCGGCGAGCATAAATACCCTGTCAGTGTCCCTTTAAAGTGTAATACGGGAAGGGTTCACAAGGGTCGCGCGGGCATATTCCATTCAGCACACCAGCCGGCCGTGTTCAGACGGTCGCCGAGTCGCGGAGTGCCTGCTAGGCCTAACTGCCGTGCTCGCTTGGTCGCGTTCGGTGGAATCGTGGCTGTTGGAGCTTTTCCCGGGTGTTTGTGAATCCAGCGTTCTTGTTCGTCGTGGTCTGTTTCAAGTACTTTTTACTTTTTTTTCTTGCTGCTTGAAGTCGGGACGCGTGAGAAGCGCACGTAGAAAAATAAACTTCCGTTGGTCGTCGCGACCGCGACGCTGTCGGCCATGCTCATTTGATCGTAAGAAGTGCGTAAGACAGCTTCGGAGCTGTCGTAGGATTTCGTTGTAACCTGCGCAAAACTTACGAAAATTTCGTTTCGTGAATACGGATCTGTTCTTAAGTTATGTCTTACGCACATTTTCGGCGTAAGATCGTCGCCTGCACTTCCAAAAGTCGCAGGAAAGGTAAGACAGACGCAGACGACGTTGCGAGCAGACGACGTGGTAAAGGAGCAGACGACGCTCAGATAGGGGGGCCGCGATCAGCCAATCAGGGCTCGGCGTTCTGACGTCACCGATACCCCCTGCGCAAGAAGCAGACGAACTTGCCCTCCGAATAGCTTTCCAGAGCCGTCTTTGACTGCATTCCCTCTAGCCACCAATCTCTTTCTGTGGCCTTAACTTTCTTCTTAACTGAGACTTGCTCTTCCGTATCTTCGCTATAGCCCCAAAACTTTCCTC